GTTTTAGTAGATTTAAAATTAAATTCAAGTTCAGGTCACTAAATAACATTAATTTAATACAAGTTTCTCCAAATTGAGATTAGGATTCCAAGTCCCCTCATTTATTTATACTTTATACGTCAGCAACGTCATTATAAACAATTGTCAACTCAATAGTGTGTGTTTAAAATTACAGTTATTCAAAATTATGGAGCGTCTTCACAATTGACCCCATGTCCTTATTCCATAAACCCTTAATTATAGATAAGCAGGGGTAATCAAGAGTCACATGATAACATCAGGTGTGTTGGAAGAGGGAAACATCTAAAACATGCTGGCTAGAGGCTCTTGAGGACCAGGATTGGGCACCCCTGCTTTAGACAAAATCCAGAGGAAGAGATGTGAGCCTGAATGATTCAGCTTTGGGTTTCAGTGGAGTAAGAAACAGCATGGACACAGTTTGCACCAGATAAGTGGGTTAAAGTGGGTTTTTCAGAACACACTGTTAGCAGATGTTTGGGAATGTTTTACAATCACTAGATAGAAATGACAGCAAACTGCACCTTGTCAAACTATTTAGAATCTCATTTAAAAAACAAAACTCAAAACTATTGGTCAATCAGTCTAAAGCCTGAAACATATTCTGTGTTAAGTGTACAAACAATTGTGGATTGTCTGCCAGAGTATGTTTCAGGCCTCGAGGTGTACGGTAGCATCTCCATGCTGAGAGCAGAATGTGGTCCAGTACGTGCAGAGTAAACAGGGCTCTTTCATAGGCTCGACTTTTAGAACCAACGCTCTCTCGAGACTTTAAGATTTTCGTGTTTAACACATTGCTGTGTTGTGTCTTCTGATTGCAATATTGCTCTATGGAAACTGCATAGAAACAAGTAATAAAACATACGATCATTTCAGGTCTAAAACCACAATCCTCAATTTTCTGTCCAATACATGCCTAAATTCTCCACTCCTGTGTCGGAGCCCTGTGCACCATAAAACACTGTTTCTTCCTCTTGTGCTCATCCTGAACTACTTCCTGCTTCACTGCTTCAGGACAGGCAGCTTCCTCCGCTTAACGAAGGCCTGCACCATCCCCATGGCAAAGATGTAAACTTTGGTGTCCACCACGATTTTATCTTTGCAGATCTGTGGGATTAACCAAGCCAAGTGTGAGTTCACTGTGTTTCTCACAACGCTCGCATTGAAAGATCTTAATACTGTGAGAAAGCGGAAGCCTCACCGTCTATTTTTGTCTGGAATTCATCAAGTGGTAAAAGAATGACTTCAACCAATTCTGGAAAGAGAAGGTGAAAGCCTCTGTTTATGATGTGCGTTCTGAGTAAAGATTATTTCTGAAAATGGAAGAGACATAGCTCACCTCTTTCACCTGTGGAAAAACAAAAAGAACGAGGTTCATCTTTAGCTTTATACATGACTTATAAATGTGTTCTCAATATCCAGCACAATGAAGCAGGCACAGGTTGTTGGCAACGTTACGAGGACACTTTCCCATTCAACGCTGCTTTTGCCCTTTTTTTTTTTTTTTGTGAGGTTTGCTCATATGACCATCTCAAGTCAAATTTCCCATGTCTGGAACAATGAAGTTAATCTTGAATCTTTAATCTTGAAGTGAGACTCAGAGCCATCCTGACCCTGGTTCTCTACCTGCACAAACACATCAGAAATGGTTTGTTTCAAATGTGGACTGTCGCTCACCTGGGGCCTCATGTACAAAGACTTGCATGGATTTCATACTGAAACCTGGCGTACGCTTCAATCCAGACAACTCCGTACGCACAAAAAAAATCCAGATGAATGAAAGTGAGTCTACGCCTGAATCCAAGCACATTTCCTTTGTGCATCCCACTCAGCATGGAATTGACCCCACATGTTGGAGTACCGGACTCCTCCCTCTCCACGCCCCTCATTTAAATATGCAAATTGGTATAAACAGGGCCTGCAGGTGGGATTCCCCTCTCTGCATGATCAGATAACAGTAACAAGCTATGAGTAAGAAGGGTAAGAAGAGGAACTTCACACAATGTGAGCTGGAGATGCTCATCAACGAAGTCGAGGCCTGGAAAAATGTTCTTTTTGGCATGCTGTCCTCTGGCATCAACAGCAAACGCAAGAGGAGTGAGTGGGAGCGTGTGTGTGAGGCGGTGAATGCTGTGGGGTCAGAGCAGCACACACTCACAGAAGTAAAGAAAAGTGGTTGGACATCAAGGTGGACGTCACGAGGAGGACTGTTGCCCACTGCCAAAGCGTGGCCAAACAGGCGGGGGGAGAGGAGAGGATATATACCATTGTGGGCCAAACTTTAAAGTGGCATTGTGACATTACTAGTGGGCTGTCGGTTGGATCACTTTGCCACACGCTAGTAGACCATAAACATTTATCAAAAGAACCTAAAACTCAACTTTGGATTTTTTGTGGTTTGGCCTACTTTGGCACTCAACCCCTCAAGTGGCTTCCTCAGTTCAAATAAGACTCTTAGATGAGAAGTGAAACATTTCCAAGAATCAAAAAAGAGAAGTGCAGTTTCCTTCTACTGAACTTCTTAGGAATGTTGATCTTACCTACTGACACTGATTTATGTATATCTATGTATATATCTTTTTACAGTAACATGCCTTTCACTTCCACTGGTGGATTTGGGGGTTCAGAGAGTTAACAGGCAAGCGGCCTTTAATATCTTAGCAGGCTGAGGTAGAGCTGATTTTACTCATTTTATACGTTCGTCGAGTTGCTTCTTGTACTGTACAGTAATCACTGTCTTTAAAATCCTTTAATGTGCCAAGATATGTTTTCAAAGTCCTAATCTGCAGCTGTCAGTGGAGTAAAAAGTAATACTTCCTTAGAATTGTACTTCAGTACAATACCTGGGTACATTTACTAGAGTTCCTTGACACCACTGCTGCAACCTCATGAGTGTCTAAACTGTCTTTAGTGTAACAGCTCGACAGCACCAGCAGAGGTCTCAGTGTGGCTTCTTACTAACAGGCTCTTGGCAGTCATAGGAGCATTTAACTACTGTAACCTACTGTGTATGTGTTGTTTTTTTCTCTTCTGTGTGTTTTTACTTTATTATAGTATCACACACTGTTTGAATAGGGGAAAAAAAATCATGAAAGTACCATTAATACTCACTTTCAAGTACAATCTCAGCATTCAAAGTCCCATTTAGCCAGAAGTATAGAAGGGATATCAGTAAAAGAAAGCAAAAAAACAAAACAAGCGACTGCACTATTATTGTATACGACAGTATTACTGTAACTGTAACTGCTTGTTATACTGTTACTGGCAATTTAGTCTTTATGAGAATTTCGAGGGATCAGTCCACCTAGAAATCATGAACATCTGATGAATGAATAGAATGCTTTTATTGTCACTATACACATGTACAGTGAGATTGAGAGAATCTTTTTGCAAGATGGCGGCGGAATGACAAAGAGAGTCACTTCAACACTATCTTTTTATTTTATCTATTTTTTAATTATAGTATATTTGTGCTTTTGAAACTTTACAGTGCATTTTTCACATTTTTAATCACAGTGTATTTTGCACTTCATCATGCATTTTGAACCTAACTACATTTTTCTCATTTCTTATTTTTTTTTGTATTGTGGTGGTGGTCGTGACTTTAGTCTTTCTCTTTGCTACTGTAAAAACAGAGGTTCCCCTTTGCGATCAATACAGCATTTCTATTCTATTCTATTCTATTCTATTCTATTCTATTCTAATGACTGAGTTTGTTATGGTTCGTTCATTTATTCACTTTTACTATTTACAAGCAGTTAACTTACATTTAAATGGTACGGCTGAAATTTCACACTATATCCACAATTTCATACAAGAAGTGCAGATGGTCATCAACATACATACTAACTATATCTTCTGTTAACAATGAAACAAATATGGATCAGAAAGAACAACAAAGTCTTCAGTAAGACTCATGTAATTGTTGGATCACAGCAGTACATAAATTTGAGTTGCACTGCTGTTCATGCTGAAGACAAAACAATTCATCTGTTATTGGCTTTATGGAAAGTCTGATTACAGTAGATGTCTTCTGTGATGTTTTCATAGTCCGGTTGGTCGTCATCTACGTCGTCATACTGAAAACAGGGGCTCTGCTGTCTGGATTCCCTCTGCTTTGAGTACCTCACAACATCTTGATTTTCATAAATCTGTAAAAGAATCAAGCAATAAACAGAAAAAGGTGAATTTACTCACTACACACCAACACAGAGGCCACAGGTTTTATGGACATATTTAGAGTAGAATTTTGTCATTTTATTGGACAGAATACAAAACAACTAAGAATGCTGCTCCTAAATGGGTCATTAAGACACAAAACCAAAAAATGTATACAAAAATGAATAGAGTACATAAATAACCAACATTAAAATCTAACACGAGAAATAACAGCTACATCAGCATGCTGATTAAAGTATTGCACAGTATGACACAAGTTTGAATTAAACTCATTGCACAAGTATATGGATATGAGATATCCACATATTAAGTACAATAATTTTGCCACATTATCAACAGACCCCAGAAGCAGCCTGAAAATCAGTCAGTTGGTCAATATATCCGTACTGTACTTTTCTCCCTTGCAACGCATCATCTGACAAACTGATTAAACTTCAGTAGTGATTTTAGCTCATACCACTGTCTGCTAACAAGTCATACTTGATGGCTCTAAGGAGGTTTTTAAGCATAGCAAGATGCAAACATCAGCAGACCAACATGGTCACAGTGGTAATTTAAACACACATTTTAAGATCTGCCATAAGCAGGGTGTTGTGGAATGTGTTTAGCACATTCGTGTATAATGTGAGAAACAGGATGTGTCCACTAGCAACGCTTTTACACTTTTGTTTTCTTACATCTGCTCCACCCGTCGCTTCCCCTGCAGCTTCAGGTTTGTTTCTGTTTGTGGCGACTCCGGCACCTGCAGACGAACATTAAAAGACATGGTCACACAGTTGTTTGGCGTGCATGCATTTGTGTGCTTAGTCTTATGCAAGTGTTTCGATGTAAGACATACCTTGCCCTTTAGAACATTTGTATTTGTAGACAAAAACCAAGGCCAACGTCAGTATGAGCAGTGCAGCGGACACCGTGAAAACCACATAGAGCGCTGCGTCTGAAAAACAAACCAGAACGGAGTACAAATCTACACTTCCTGAAACCTTACCAATGAAATAACAGCAGAAGTAGCTGCAAATAAAAGCACTGTGGCCTCACAGCTTTAGGTGTTTTTAAAAAAATATATATTTTTTTATCACAGATGCACAGAACCACAGCTGGTTCTATAGTTGGAGGGTTATTTCTTTGACTTACACTCACTCCCTGGTGACTTACTCAAATCGAAACTATAAAAACTCAACCACAACCTGAACTGAAACCAAATGGTAACCCTACATAAAAAAAGGGTGTACACACACACACACACACACACACACACATATATTCTATATATATATATACCTTTAATATGTTTGCCAGAATCATGTGTTGAATTTGTTTCAGCAGTTTCCACAGTGATGGCAGAGATCACAGAGCTGGTCGGCTGCAGAAAGACTGTCAGAGAAAAACATTATTTTCAGCCACTTTTTCAGCAGGGCCCTGGGGATAGCATTGTTTTTTCAGTCAGTTGTTCAGTTTATCACTTTGGTTCACACTGAAATCTCTAAACAGCATTTAGATAAGATGAAAACAAATCAAATCAAACTTTATTTGTATTGCACTTCTCATACACAAAGTGCTTTACAGTGTTTAGATGCCTTGACATGAGAAGGTTTCTTTACCACACTGATCCTCAGAGGATGATCCACTGCCTATTATTTCAGGATGCCAGTTTTTCTTTTGTGAAAAAAATCTCACATCTCTTTGTTCACTTGTTTTCACTTTGTCCAGTCATTTGGAAAAAAAAAAACAAAACCTAATGACATTAAATTAATGTACTATGAATAGAACAATGGTTGATTTGCTATGTTAGACTATATGGCCAATTTTCCTTTTCCGTTGAAGATAATGATCTTAGAAAAAAGACGGTCGCTTGATGTGGACATTGAGAGGCCAGAAAAATGCTGTCGGTTGCCTTTCTGAGTTCAATCAATCAACATCTGTTCTCTCTGGCTTTAACCAATCAGCATCAAGAGCTGCTCAGCAGTTCAGCTGCTCAGAATGACCTTCCCTGGCCCTAAAAGAGTTTGTTCTCACATATATATGTATATATACATGCATATACACTGTTGCCCATAAAGTTGGAATAATTTTTGTTTTCAGACACATTCCTCTTTTTATTTCTATTTATACACATCAGTAATCACTTTTGAAAAGGTGCAATGATGACATATTGAGTCCCAGTTACGAGGTGAAACAAATTCTGACCTCTGGATCTGACTGAAGAGTGGGACGTCCTGCCCATTGATACCATCAGCAAGCTTGTGGACAGTATGCCACGATGTCTTAACGCACTGATCCATGTCAGGGGTGGCCGTACTCAATATAAGTGACTAAGTGACAACTGAAAGAGTAATACTTGACATTCTAATGCAGGAAATCCCCTTGAATATGTGTTTCCTGTTAAATTGACCAAGGTTGAAAAATTGAAGCAAAACCCTTAATCTATTTGTTCAATACCCCAATTTCATTTGAGCCTGAATATACAGTTTGTGAAAGTTCACTGTGGTTTAGTTTTTACTGTGACATGTATTGTATGTACATTGTGAAATCAATAAAGTTTTGAGAAGATATACACTTTATCTATCAAGAAAAAATCGCATTGTCACAATCATTCCATGACAAGAGGTAAAACAAATAATTTATTCCAACTTCATGGGCAACAGTGTATATATACTTTTATATATATATATTTATATTGCATATATACCTTTCGTAAGTTTGCCAGAATCAGGCGTTGAAATTGTTTTGACAGTTTCCACAGTGATGATCACAGAGCTGGTCGGCTGCAGAAAGACTGTCAGAGTAAAAACATTTTTTTAGCCACAATGGCAGCAGGGCCCTGGGGATAGCATTGTTTTTTTTCAGCCAGTTGTTCAGTTTATCACTTTGGTTCATACTGAAACCTTCAAATAGCACTTAGATGCCTTGAGATGAGAAGGTTTCTTCACCAAACTGATCCTCAGAGGATGATCTGCTGACCGTCATCTTGAGCTGCCAGTTTTTCTTTTGTGAAATATCTCAACAACTGATTACATTTTCCACAGACACGGACACTCACCATCAGCAAGTTAGATTTTTACTTTGTCCCGTCATTTGGAAAAAATAATGGCATTAAGTGTCTTTCCACTGCAGAATGTATGAATTGAACAATGGCCGATTTGTTATGTTAAACTTCATAATTTTACATTAGAGAGAAGACTGTTGCGTAACAACGACATTGTTTGGCCTGAAAAAAGCAGTTCAGCTGCTCAGAAGTACCTTCTCGGTTCTACACTGGCAGTTCTTACAGTCACAACACACAGAAAGAATCAAAAAGTTTTCTGTATGGAAAAAGGGTGATTAGATTAGTAAATTAACATTTATTTACTAAATACATTAGAACAAGTGCACCATCAGGAAGGGGGTGCTGGCACGCTGTAAAGCCACGCTGTTTTTAGCACCTAAGGTCAGATAAATTGATAATGTCAACAAAAAGGGAAACCATACATACAGCAGGTCCAAGAGCAAGTCAGTAAAAATGTTGAAACCAAGGTCTAATTTGGCTACTGACACCCTAGAGGCAGCATGCGTTTAAATTTTAGGATTCACTAATTCCCTCGGGCCTCTTACTGGTCTTATTTATTTATAGCTAATCCCCTGCACTTAGTGTGAAACCACAGAGTCTGCAGTTTTGTCATTATTTGAATCAACTGAAGGAAACTCCACCACTTGTGTTTATACAAACATGATGTAACTTACACCTGTATTCTTTTAATTCTCTTACACATCTGCGCTGATCTTACCTACTGACAGCTGAATCTTGGTGTAATTTCCAACACTCCACTGGCGGTCTGAACCACACCAGTACGTCCCAGCATCACCCGCTTCCAGGTCCGAGATGGTCACCAAAAACAAGTTGTTAGAAACGTCATACTGCATCGTGAACCTGCTCTGACTCGTCACCATGTCTGTGCAGTTGTTGCGGTGGTCTCCCTTACAGAGAAACTTCATGTTATTTCGATGATGAGGCGGATAAGGACACTGAAAAGTCATTTGCTGTCCCACAATGCCACTCATCTCCTTTGACTTCACACAGCACCAATCTGTGGGACAGAAAGAGCAAAAACGATCTCAGAATTACCAAATGTTCAACTTTCTTGATCTCTGTTCGACAGTAAACTATGCTTCCTTTGGGCTGATTCACATTATGTAAAATGTACTGAGGTTTTACTGTGACCTTTCACTTCCAGCTCAGCAGCAGAGAAAACATCCAGTCCGGTGTTTCTACGGACGCCACAGAGGTATGACCCAGAATCCTTTTGGGTCAGATTGCTGATGGCCACTGTGAATTTTCTGGACTCCTTGTCATCAGTTAGAGCGTACTGTCCCCTTTGTTGTTGGTCAGAGGTGATCAGTGCCTGCTGCAGACATGTGGACGGCTGCTTCCCCCTGCAGACGTACTTCAGGTTGTTCTGGTTCTCAGAATCATACGAACAACCGAAGGACGCCGAACCTCCCTCATGACTTTGGATTTGAACCACATTGTCACAGCAGCTGTCTGTCAAGAAGATAGACGAAACCAGAAGACACATTTTATAGCTTTACAGACAGTTCTACAGCTCTGAAGACAAGACTTAGGTTTTATATTCAGCTTATTGTTTCATGTTTTACGGTTCCTTCAATAATGTGCTCTTCGACGGTGATCTCCCTCCACTATCCATCGTTTACTGTTCTGCCTTCAGGATCACACTGTAAATCACCAAGTCATTGGTTTTCAGTAGATTCATAAGAGCTGTTTAAAGTTGTTAATTTTTTTTCACATCATCTGAGATTTAAATAGGGGGTTGAATTAATTTAACGCGATGTAAGTGCATCTATATCATTCTTTTATGGACTCATTGTTTCTTAAAGGTTTATCTGTCTGGAGTCTGTCCCAGCTGACTCAGGGTGAAGGCAGGGGACACCCAGGACAGGTCACCAGTCTATCACAGGGCTACACTTAGAGACAGACAACCAAGCAAACTCACATTCACACCTACAGACAGTTTAGAATCACCAATTAACCTCAACATGTTTTTGGACTGTGTGAGAGGAAGCTGGAGAACCTGGAGAGAACCCACGCTGCACGGAGAGAACATGCAAACTCCACGCAAACCGGCAGCCTTCTTGCTGTGAGGCAACAGTGCTAACCAACTGCGCCACCCTGCAGCCCAATGTAAAACCAGTTTAGGTAAATTAACTTGCGAAAGCAAGGTATTAAGTTGCATCAATGGCTACAGACTTGTTTTGCTTTTTACGTTAACTAGATTTAAGCATTTTTTCTACATTTAACATCAAAAAATTACAGTACGTAGCATCTGTGTGTTTTGAAGACTGACTTCAAAATTAACCTTAAAAATCATTAAAATTATTTTAATTATAATGAAAAGAATAATTTAATTTTACAAGGAGACACAGTACGTGTCTGTAATGTCTTTTGTTTCAAACTGCAAAAAACAAGAATCTCTGGGGAGTTTTATCACTTTACCAAAGCATCCTGGACAGTCTAGTTTTGTTTCTTCTAAACTCAATTTAAGATTTGAGTGAACTTCCAGCTATCCACTCATTATTTTAAGCCACGGTGCCTCAAGATATAAGAAGTAATGCTTATAACTTTTATTGCGGTCTGAAAATAATTTTTAAAAATAGACATTTTAAGTTCAATGAACTGGAAATTAGCAAAACTTATATACAATAGAAAAGGTGTGTTGATTTGACCACATTCCTTTATGATGTTTTCCAGTGTAGCAGTTCTGTATTTATTCAGTTGCCATTTCTTGTAATAACTACATTCGCAGTGTTTGCATTTGTGTATTATTTTTTCTTGATATCAATGTACATATTAAATTGTAGGAACTTTTACCTTGTTTTATCTCCAGGCTGACTTCTTTATAGATATCTTTCCCACTCCTGGTCACCCCGCAATAGTATTTCCCAGAATCCGAAGCACGAAGTTCAGAGATGGTCACAGTGGCCGTTCGTGCCTTTTTGTCGTCATAGATGGAATATCTGTTCTTCTCTGTTACTGCTGTCGTAATAAGAACATCATCCCATCCACAGTTGTCCTTGCACAGGTACTTCTCATAATCCTCGTAGCCCTGACCATAGCTGCAGGAAACATTCACATCTCTCCCCTCGTATCCAAACACACGGATCAAACCTGCTGCACTGGTCAAAGCACTCAGAGCAGCTGTAAAGGAAAAACAACACGAAGAAGGATTTTAACTTAGGCAGTCATCCTAGCAGTGTCAACAGCAGTAAAAATGAAATCATAATGTCCAATAACTGGTTGTGTTTTCCTGTTGTTAGCATTACTTCTAAAACAAACTGACTTCAAATACGCTAAAGAACTTACTGTAGCAGGTGAAGAGCAGGTTGCGAAGGCGCCTCATCTTTGTTTGACTTCAAAGAAACAGAAACCTAAAAGGACGGGTTTTGAATGTTGAAAATGTGACACCCACACTGTGTGTGGCCACGCCAACATCGATGCCTCTCACTTCTGCATTTAGATGAGCAGTTTTAAACTTTCACACAGTTACATTTATGATGACAAATTCATCTCTTGTTTTGTGAAAACTTTGAGCTAGTTTTACAATTACTCTGAATTAGGAGTTGGGAAATATGAGATGTGTTCACTGTCAGTGATGGTAATACGAAGAAATCAACTCAGATGTGTCAGATTTAATCTTCTCAATGAATTTAGTGTCTGCGTCAACAAATATCTATTATTAGTTTCTAGTTGGTGAATTTGCCATTGCACTTCATGTTGCTGCCACAGAAGGGCACTCCAGCCTCATATCCAAAGCCACAAAGTACATGAACAATGAAACAGTAAGTGACTTATAATCTGCATTTAAAGCTGGTGATACAATTTGTTTTGTTTTGCCTTTGTTCCTGGCTTGAAACCCATTCTTCCTTCATTTAAATCTTCAATGGCACAGTTAAGAAACTGGTTCAGAAAGTTGTCATTGCACTTCAATTTAATATTTTTCCTGTAGCGAAAACCTGGATAATATAATTTGTAAGGAGAACAAAAAAGAATAACATCTAATTTACTGATCTATCGCTACGTTTTTGTAATTCTTCATTTTTAAGATTTAAAAACTGGATTTACTGATGGCCAAAACTCCCTTTACCAGTCCTTTGAAGTCTCTTAATAACTTCAAAAGGCGTTTCTCCAAGATTACTTGGGCTGTTTGACCATTTTAGAAATATTCAGCATATCTACATATATCAAGATTTTTAATAAATTAAAAATATGTTGAATTTAGGTGTTTTTTATTTTAGGTTTTCCTTGAAAAAGGTTGCTACAACATGTATGTTTAGAATTCTGTCGCTGCTGCCTAATAACAGAATAATGCAAGCAAATTGTGAAAGTGCCAACAGCTGTAAGCAACATTCACTCAATTAGGTGTCAGCATAACATTTCCTTAAATCAAACTCCATCATAAACCTTTCTCACGAATGTGCTCATAAAGGCATCAGCCTGTGAACAGTATCATCAGCTATTTAATCAGTTTCATAAGGCTTCTTTCCCCATGCACGGGAAAGAGGAAGAACCAACTTCTGATGCACACATGTTGCTTTGATTGCCACGCGACACAAGGAAGGATGGTTGTGATAGCTCATTTTGCAAGTAAGAAGCAGAGCTATTTCTGTACTCACTGACAGCAAAGTTCAATTTCTGCATTCACAAATATCATTTAGAAGAGCTCTTGGATATTGCTCACGTCAGTATTACAACGCGTCAACAAAAGTAACTTTTAACAGCCCTTTTAATAGTTATTAATTGACAAAAGGCTTTTTATTACTCATTTTTAGAGATAAACAGGACAACTAACTTTTATCTAAGATCTGCCTTCAAGAATAAAAAAATCACCTTTTTCTTTATTTTAAAATCTGCGTGTGAACTTCATTAAGAGTATCAGTCTCTGTAAAGACTGGCCACATGTCACATCCTCTGGACCCTCTTTAGAAACCAGACATACTTACAACCAAAAATATTGTGCCACCATGTAAAACTACTGACCCCACCCTGACCAGTGCATTATAAAATGCCAGTGGCGGTGCACAGTATGTGGGTGGAAGCATGCATGTGTATTTTCCCTGAGCTCAGCCATTCCCTCGACTCCAGCTGACCGCTCAGCTGTGCCTCTCGCATACTGCAGCACAAACTGTTTCCATATCTCACACACTCTCACACCGAAAGGTTACCATTAAGACCCCTGTGCGGAGGGATAAGTGTGTCCCGAATTAGCGAGGATGCCAAGGCGAGCTGGGCTGTTGCCAGGGTGGGTTGCCAGGGGGTGTTGGGTGTTGCTCGGGTGGGTTGGGTTTCTGCAGTGTGGCCTGCTTGCATGTCGGCAGTGCGCAAGGCGCGTGTGCTGTGGTCTTCTCGGACTACAACCCAAGACAAACACACACACACACAAACACACACTTGGTCCGTAGTATGTAGGGGGGACTGTTATTTAAAGGTGACCCACTCAGGTCTCCTGGATCTATCTAAAACCTTCATGCTATGTGTTCATGCCTACCTCTGTTACTCTCTTACTTTCTTCCTCTCACTTATTTAAATTCAATGAGCTTTATTCACTCACTCAAGCAACTTTTGACAACTAGGATACAAATGAGTTTGAGTGTTTATTCACCACAAAGAGCCTCTACTGCACCCACTGTGCGTTAGCTGTAAGCTATCTAGCACCATCTGTGTGTGTGTGGGTTCGTTTCTTTCGTGTACAATTAAGTGAACTCAGCACAAACATTGTAGATGTTTCCCTGCAGTCTCTCCTGTTTTCCCTCATGTTTCTGTACATTTATAAAGCACGTGTAAAAGCTCTGGGATACGCAAAGGTCACACCGGGTAAAAGTAGCGCTTGGCAAATTCAGGTCTCCTTGCATTTCCATTAACTGTGAACGCTGCTGCCTCTGCAAGTCGCTTTGCTTTCTTTCTGTCTGAACCATAAAAGTCAGATATCTGAGTCTCTGCTGCTTCAGTGTTGACCAGACTTTATTTAATCTAGTCCTGCCGCGATTGATGACATTGTTCCTGAACATGCCTATTTGAATCATCATCACTGAATGTTTTAAACCAACAAGTTTGTTGACATTTGTTTTCAGTTAATTGCAACTCATGCTTTTCTTCTGTATCACTGCATAATTGCTGTGTCATGACGTCAGTTGTTTTTGGCTCCAGTCATTCGTCGGGTGCACTCAGACCTAGAAAGTATGGAAGCATTTCAAATTATCACACAACAAAAAGGCTTTAAAAAAAAAAAACACACACACACACATATGCGCTATCGTGGAAGAACAGCAAACTCACCTGAAACGTCTCTTTGTTAATATGAAGAGCTTTTTTTTATGGCTTTTGTCCCCATAGCTGCTGCACATCTCAAAGCTGCTCAATACAGCCACAAAGCTCAAAACTAAAAAATAAAATGAACTGACTGATTGGTATCATAGTTCATTTTTAATCTAGTGCACCAACTTTATGATTTAATGCATCAATGAACTGCTGGTGTCCTTTTAAATGTTTGAGAGAGCCCAGCAGTACATCTACAGGCCTGCAGTGTTTGTCTGATTCTCCGTGTTAACACCTACACAGACATTACTGACACAAAAAACACTGTCAAAACAAAAAAAAGTATGGTTCTGGTCAGAAAATAAGAATGGCGTATTTCATAGTATGTTGCAGGACTCGTGATTTGCCTCACCAGATCAAAGTGTGTGTGTGTGTGTGTGTGTGGGCTTGTGTTTGTACAGCTATCTTTGTAAGGACCACTAGGAGTTTTGCAGTAAGTAAGGACGGTCCTCACTTTCTGACACTCCTTCTAAGGAATGTTTGCGGTTTGGTTTTGGGGTTTAGGTTTGCAGAAGGTGTTTAGTTATGTTGGCTAAAGTTAAGGTAAATGCTGCAACATGTCAATGAATGTCCTCACAATGATAGCCAAACATGTGTGTGTCTGTGTGCTGAAAGGGGACATTCCATCCATTCTTGCTCTTCCTGAGGAAAGAGGGAAAGCATCACACACATACACACACACACACACACACACACACACACACACACACACGCACAACTGTTGACAGCAGGCGGAGGTGCACATACACCCCTCTAAGGCCATTCACACATCCGCCTCTTCTTTCGGCTCTCCACCCATCAGGCCCTAATCGTCTCCACCATCCCTCTGACAGTAGTGTTTAATTGTGACAGCCATCTATCATGACTGAACTCCACCATCAACTCCTGTAACTTCAGACACTTCTGTACTCTACAGATATATGATAATTCAGTCTTTCCTTAAGCCAGAGAAGAAGAAAAAAAAACATTCGCTATTGAACTGGACCTGCTTGGCTACTGTGGAAAATATAATTGCTTCTCCTTCTCCCACACAGCGGTGAATGGATACACACATGCGGGGAAAGAGGATGCCAACCAGAAGAGTGGCTCATCAAAGCTCCACGGGGGTGGCGACGCCAGCGCTGACGCACTGCTGCTCTCCTGCCAGCTAATGGTCGCTGAGCACTCATAATGGTTTTTTCTTTAGGGTAGTTAGGTGGATAATATGTCTTTGTTTGCGTCCATGTGGGCCAGCGGAGAGGCTGGTAACTTTTGGTCCTTTATTTTTTGTTCCTACTACGAGCTTCCCCCGCCACTTGTTTTTAATTATCTGCACGCCAACCACACCGAACCTCATTGTGCCGTGCAGTATGCGACATACACGGGTAGATTTGTCAAACACATCTATCTGAAGTTACAGTTTTGTTCATACTAGAACATGCACAAATGCAGACATAGACCACCTTCATCAACAGAAACACAGATGCCTTTTAATTTTCTGTCAATTTGTACAGACCCTTTTGAACTCAATAGCAAAACACACACACAAACTTATAAAGACTCACAGAGCTGCATACTATACACTTCTGTCAGAAGACTCCTAAATTTTACAAAAAGCTTTTTACAAAGCAAACTTTCATTTCAAGAATGAGCAGTATCATCAATGTGGGGAAAAAAAAAAGTTAACCAGTTAGGCACAAATTTAACTAATCAATCATTCATTCTCTGTCACTCATGCACACATTTATGCTTGCAGTATACATGACATTTCAGTTCAGCTGCTGAAACGTTCAGTGTCCAACTGTCCTTTCTGCTGCGAGGCAAAAATAAGCTGCACAGCACTAAAGAGAGTCTGGAGAAGTTGCCTTCAGTGATGACCAGGGGTTTATAAGCCCGCTTATCCCTTCTTGCTCGATCCCCCAACTTTCAACCTTCCTCGCTGACATTTTGAGCAACCCTCCTTCCTTTACACAAAGCCACGAGGAGATCTCTCAGTCTACGTCTATTTGACAGGGGTTTGTTCCCTCTTTCAGAGCTCTGATGTACAGACTCAGGAAGTCTTTGTAGCGAGGTGCACAGCCAAGCCAGGCTTCGCCAAAGTGGACAGAGCCAGTTAACAGGTACTCATCCTGGCCTGGATGTACAGCGCACTGTTTGGGAACGTTGACACGTCCCCGCCAGCTTCGTCCTCTGGCTCCACCCCAAGCAAACACCCCGCTCTTCTGACGAAACAGTCGGCTCAGAGTGACCACAACCGGGGAGTGTTTGTTGGTGCCCGACGCCACACCTCCAAAGACGCCGCTGCCAGCTACAGAGTCAGGAACAGGTGAGATAAAAAGAAGCAGATTCAGTAAATGAATCAATCAAACCTGAAATTAGTAAGGGAGAATGGAATCTGGACTAAATAACACTGGAAAGTAAATAAACAAAACCTTATTCATTCCAATACAGTTTGGATTTTGCTGTTGGTCTGATGAGTTCTGGAGCTATTGTATAAGTGACGTAACTGAGTTAATCTACTGACTTTATAGCTCAGGAATATTGGATGATCAATCACATTTAAGGTACCATTTTCTTTTAAATGCCAGCTGTGGTCACTGTTCAGTAACACATTTACTGTTTTGGCAGGAATTAGAAGAGAAAACTGATACCACTCTGATGTGTGTTTGCTAAATACGTAGCTGGAACCAGCAGCAGCAGCAGCAGCAGCTTGGATTAGTTTAGCATGAAAACCAAAAACAGAAGCTCTCTGAAGTCTTACAGAAAAAGTTCACTACATAACATGTCTGCCAAATGGACAGATACGATGCGTTATATCTTGTTTCCAGTTTTAAAGTTAACCAGCTGCTGGCAGTAGCTTTATATTTACTGCACAGACAACGTCTGGGCAAGAAACATAATAAGCAATACTGTACTTTTTCATTTTAAAATATTCTTTTAACCCTCTTAACCTGAAGCAGTTTTGGGGTGTTTTTTTTTCACATTGTACTCACTGGGGGCTCATTTTCAACTGAAATATGAAGCCCTGAACCTTTCTGGAGAAAGCCCAACCATGGCTTGAAGTAGAAACAACTTACACATGTTTCTTTTTGTGTTGTATGTCACAGTTATAATGACATAAATGAAAAAATAAAGCTGAATTTCTTTTTTTCTTTTACAAAAAATGAAAAAATGTGGAATCTAGTGCCTATAGAGGTTACCAATACTGCTATATGACTACATATTCTCTATATTTTACTGTTTACAGTTTTAATTTGTTAAAATAACACAGCCTGCAGCTCAGCCAAAGACTCCCTGAACCAATACTGTTGGTCACAGCTGAGTCTCTAATTACTTCACAGTTGTGACGAGGAGTGCACTTTTTTTTTTTCAACATGACATGGTTAACATTTTAATTTTCGACAAACTTTTAAATGTGATTAAAGTGATTTTGATGAAACATCCCATTTTTAGGTTTAGATTTCAGTAATTCTCTTGACATGATTTGCTCGAGGACAGGTGGAAAGTTGCAATTCTGGTGATTCTTTCCTATTTTATAGTTTCTGTCTCTGATAAATGATGTCATTTTGGCTTTATAAAAAAAAAGTGATAGCATGCCTTTTAAACCTGTCGGCAGGTTTTGGGGTTCAGAGGGTTAATGTGCACATCTGTGTATGTATTTACCAAAGTCGCTGGTACACACAGCCATGAGCACCTCTTCGTCTGAGCAGGGTTTGCAGGTGACTGAAACAAAAAACATAAAAATGACAAATTATTTGAACATAAAAACATAAAAGCTCTTATTTCAAAGACCCATTTCATCTTCCCTTGTTAGTTTGTGTATTATCCTATAAATTGGTTCACATTGTCTGTTGTTCTGGCTTTAAATGTGTTGCTTTGTGTTTTTTTTCCTTCAAAAATCGAGAGTATATGGTGAGTAAGAAACAGCAGGTGAGGGAAGAGACTTGAATCAGAGTATTAGCCCTTGACCCTGTCAGCTACAAAAACAGCCATAAAGCTTCCAGACACTCAGACAGGGAACTCCACTGGAAAGACTTTCTTCTCTGTCTACACTTTACCTATATGGGTGGGCTATACCCCAAACCCCCCTGCGTTGAGAAGCAGGCAGGTCTGTTCTTGATTGACAGCTGAGAGACGATGGGTTGACCTTTGTGCTTGACCCGAACAAGACCTTTTGATTGGCCTGCTTGTTTTCATACGTCTGGCTGACACCGGGGGAGGAGGGAGGTGAGGAAGTGGGGGAGGAGGGTGTCAGAAAGCGGCTGAGATGAAGAAAGTGTGAAACGGTAACGTGGCCTTTTCTTTCTTTTCTTTTTTTTCAGTCTGTCACCCTCACTTCTTGTCAGTGAACTGTGTCAGGCAACGAGGAGCTTAACAGACCATTTTAGCCAATTACCAGGAGGCTGTGGACGATTGAAACTGAAATTTACTAGAAACAGTTAACAGTGAACATTGAATCTTTTTTCAGTGGAAACAATGACCCTGTGACCTGGAAGTGTTTTGTTTGTTGGTGCATTTAAGCGCACAAACAACTAAATGTTGTTTACTGGAGAGCAGCGATTTCACTACAATGCCAGTTTGAAATGTTGTCCTTCAAACCGTTTCTAGCTCATCATTTAAAATCTAGATATAATTTTCCAACAACGCGTGGCTACAATTGGGTTTAAGCATCACCTGATTGCACCAAAAGCAACATATTCCCAGCTCACAACTTCAACATGACGCAATAATTACTTTAAATTTTGGAAATCACATGAGATTTGTGCAAAGAGAGAGAGCTAAAGTTTCAAATATACTGCGTGGTAAAAACTTGTAAGTGATCAATAAAAGTAAATACAGTGATTTAAATGTATAAAAACTAGCAGAAGGCTGAAGAATGTACTCAGTATCAGTGTTTATACAGAAAATCAACCTCTCTAGTGGAACAACTTTCCTTCCTAATGCAAATTACATAATAGAATACAATCAAAATGGCTGTTACCTAGACCAGGGTGCAGGTATGGGTACATGTGCGCCCCCGGCCCCTGGCTGGGCACCAGCTCATACTGGAAAGCCGTGATCCTCCGGCTGATGTCTGCCTGCGGGATGGCCTCCACAAAGAGAGCCCCCTCTGCCAGGCTGAAGCAGTGAACCGCCGCCTGGTCCTCATCCGCCAGCAGCAGCCTCAGATCCCCTGCATGCTCCAGGTACACGTGAGAACCCTGAACAAGCACAAAGATTTCTGATCAGAACTACTGCGATTCACCCAAACTCTAGATACACCGGAGCCAAAGCTCTACCTGGGAGTAAGTCCGGGGCTTGATGCACACATGGAGGCCCGACACGCGTCCTGACGAAGGCTCTACGTTGGGTCTCAGGTTGACGATGATGGCACCGGTGGGGTAGAGCCACTCCAGAGACCCCTGAGAGCAGCGGAGGTAGACCTGCTCCACGTCTCTGCGGTGAGACTCGTGGCTCAAACCGCTGCAGAGGAGAAAACAGACTTTTAAAAAGGCAAATAGAGAGGAGGAAATAAAACCACCAACATGACCGATATGAGGAGAATATAAAACACTCCTGAACACAGAGTTAAAGACACATACAGAGGGGGTTTAATGACACTCGTTAACTCTGGCAGCTGTCCCAAAGCCAATCCTTCACTTGTCTCTGATGTGCATAAAACTACCTCAACACCAGGAACTGATTAAGCAGTTAGAAGATTTGAGTAAACTTTACAACACAGAGTGCAAAGTACAGGCTTTCTTTTTTTTTATGACTTGGGGACTTGGAGGAGCGATCAAAGGCACCATGTGGCTGTATTTACTTAAGATTAGGAGCTGGAGCAGAGACATTCCTGTGATCAGAAATACATTGGTAAAAATCCTACAGGGGGCATTTAGTAGATGGAGTACTCTGGCAAAAACAAGTAAAGCATCACTCTTGTTCACGGATGATCTGTTGTTTTCTGAGTCATTTTCCTTTCTGAGAACAGTGACTGTTAAAAGATTCCGATGAATGCAACGTGGATTAATAATCAGATGTGACGTCAGTGCATTTCTCGATATTAACCACAAGTAAAAGCGCAATGCGGTCACACTCATCCCTGAACTTTCTTTCTAACTCATTTTCCGCTGACCTTCCAGCGCCCTTCCTGAGGATACCGTAGAATCTTAATTATACATGTGTGCGTGTAATTACTCCTTTGAGCCTGCACAGAATCCAGAGTAATGGACAACAGAAGCGGTTCAAAGGCGCAGCTTCTCTTTCACCAGTAAAAGCGACTCTTTCGGCAAATCCGTGGATTGAAGTCAAACGCACGGATCACTTCAAACACAGTCACACGTTTACTTTCGCACTTCTTTAACAAAATGATCCCCAACGTTCCTGAATGAACTGTGTGTTGCTTCTGTGAAATCAGCCTGCGATTCTAAACACAAACTGGCCAGGAATCCTCCATCCTCACCTTCCTCGCCAGCTACACTGGTCGCTGGAGTACTGCGCCACCGCCCGACACAGGAGCACAGCTGTGATCCACTGCGCAGCCCACGGCCGGAGCATGGTGGCCCGTCCGCCCCGGCGGTCACCGGATCCCGCACACCAGACCACACCAACACCGCAACACCAGCCAGCCAGCCAGCCAGCCGCCCGCTCCGCAGCTCCCGGTTTAAAAATATATAAGTATCCCCAAATGCGCCGCTGAGAGCGCGCAGGCTACATGTTCGGGTTCAGCCGTGGCAAAGGCTGCGTCCGACGGAGACAAACATCCTGAGGAGGAGTGCGCAGAAGGAGCAGAGTGCGCCCAGCAGCAGGACAAGAGGGAGACTGTTTGACAAACTTTCGCCGTGTGCGCTCCGCCGCGCGTCAGCGGGGACGCGTGCCAGCAGCTGACTGCGCTTGAGTGACACGCGAACGCTCGCTCCAAAAACCACTCCCACAGACCCACTGGAGAGATACGAGCACACGGAGCTCCCAGTTCAACAAACAAACAGCAGAAAGCCTGGACGCGGAATAAAGTGGTGCACTGTAAAAGAAAAAGTAAAAATAATTAAATAAGAAAGGTGAAAATCTGGCAGTGAGGGCGCCTGAAAAGACATGTTGAAGAATAATGGAAAGCTGTCATGTTCAGAAACTGTAAATACATCAAGAAAGACATGGTGAATATGTCAAGTACCTGTAAGATTATGAGAACTGTTTGTGGATGTTTTTTTAAAACAGTAAAAACTGTTTGGTCACACATTGTTCAAGAACAAATGACTTAAAAAAAAATCTAAAATACTGATTTTCAATGTAGCTATGTGTACAGTTCTGGCAAAAATTTATTTATTTATTTATTTTTTTTAATGAAGAGTCCACATGTAAATAATGTTTTTTTTTCATTTCCTGTAAGAAACCAGGAAATGTATGTAAAGTAACAGGCAAACAATATTTACAATTATTCATCCTTAATATACATATTTGTTCTTTCAAACAAGTGTCAATATCTGTAAAATATTGATTTTTTTTTTTTGCTGATTTAAGGTATAGTTATATATATATTAAAAAAAAAAATCTATCTGTAATCTAACAACCATGGCAAATTCTGTAAAGTAACAGTTAAAATATTTACCATCTTCCAGTTCTTGATATGCTATTTTTTTTATATTTCACATCAAATATCTGTAAAACTGTGATATTTTTTGCTGATTTAAATACAGTAAAAAGAAGATCATTAAAGTCGAATGTTGTAAAAAAAAAAAAAAAAAAAAAAAAAGATGTGGATGCAATTTACATTTAAAAAAAACTACATTTTATTAAATTTTTTACATTTATATATATATTGCATTTTTTACAGTGTGGCTTCCCGGTGCTGAGCCTGCAGTGAGCAGTCAGGTCACATTTTGACTCGTAAATAATTAAAAACAACCAAGAATTTAAAAAAAAAAAAAAACGCATCAGCAAGTGTGTGAGCACTAAATAAGTGACGTTTAAGTGAAAACAAACGTGTAAAATCTGCAAACAGAAACACAGTAGTCGTGAATAAAAAGTGTCAAGTCTGAATCTGTTTCTCAAATACTACTACTAATAATAATTAAATAATGAAATGGACCTGTTCAGCACCATGTCTGAGTCCAGCAGGTCCCCTTATAGTGTCAGCGTGACTGTTGGCTTCACAAACACATGGATCACATCATCACCGTGAAGATCAGATCCGCATGCAGCTCTGGACCAGCAGCACCCCCCAAAAACCCTCTGGCTCAGCCCCTCCCTGCTGCTCAGCTCTGTTCGTTCAGGTCCACTCAGAACCGCTGCAGGACTAATTTAACACAAGTGTGACTTAGTGGTCTGTCGCCAGTTTTAATTGTGTCTAATATTCCTGCGCCACTGCTCTGACGGCGGTTTCCTGAGCCTGCTGGAAAAAGAACAGAAAGAAAGAAAAAGAAAAAAGGGCCCCTGAACGCAACACAAAGTCACACATGTGCTCTAAACGCGTGTTTGGAAGTCGGGCGGTTTTCCCGTGAGAACACCAGAACCGAGCGCATGGTACTGACTCGTCACATTCCCCCGGACGGCCTGAGCAAGCTAACGCACGTCGACAAAATACTGGAACAAAGTCACACACACACACACACACACACACACACACACACACACACAGCTGCTCTTATAAGAAGCATGTGTGTTGTGCAAGTTGGACGGTATAAATGAAATAACCTCATTTCTTAACTGATTGTTATTCATGATAATAAAAGGTTTATTAACTATTAATAACACATTTAATCATGTTTTGTGGCCTAAGACGTCAATTAGAACAGCTTTTTGGTCACCAGGTTGACAATTATTAGTTGTTTTTTTTCTTAAACAAACATTTTTAAGAAACACCTCAACATCTACTTATGTTTCATGGCTTTTGGTTGATCTTAATGGTCCTAATATTGAAATTTTTTTTTTCAATTTCAGAAATTGATCTTGGCTGTTTGAGTATTTTATACAGTTTTATATAGTTTTCATTTGCAATAACAGATAACTCCATTTTTGTAGATTTTCAGAAAAGTTTTTTGTTGTTTGCTTGAGAGAATATCAATCAAACTGAAGATGAGTTGATTTGACTCAGTAGAAATGACAAAAACAGAGATAACTTAGGTTTGATTGATGTTGTCTCAGGTAGACGATGGAAAAGTGGATTTTCTGAAGGTTTGTGAAGATGGAGTTATCTGTTTTTGCAAATGACACAATCACGTTAGTTTAAAAGTGCTGTACTGATAAATTAGATGAGGTTTGATTGAACTTCTTCGTATTCTGTACAAATACTATACAACTATAACGCTTTCTTTTACTCATATCACTGTTTTTCTTTGTATTTTCTAATTGATTACATTTTATCTGAACCTCATTATTTATAGCTGGGTTTCGATTTCTTTAAAGGATCTTTATTTATTTTATTGAGCTGAATAGTTTCATCTGAGTTTCCTCATAAAAAGCACCAGAGAAGAGGGACTGGGCTACGATGTATTTATTAACCAACATTAGTTCTTATGAATGCTTTATGAGTCACCTATAAACCATGATTTATAGGTTACTGATGTGGAAGTGGTGCCACGCCACACACAAAATATAATACACAGGAAAGGAAAAAAGGCAGGAGAAAAAAAAAATGTGTCTGTTAAAAACATCTCCTCTGGTCCTTGGGTTTGAAATAGATGTAGTTTCTGTATAAACACTGGGCTGCAGAGGGAGTTAAGTTGAATCCAGTCCCGTCACCACAGCAGAGCCTCACAGTGCTGATGTGCAGCTTGACCTCAGATGCTCCTTCACCGTGTTTACAGAGCAGCACAGCCTCTGACCTTCTGTCTGATCCTCCTGCCGTCACCTGGATCTTCTCAAGCCGCCTGACAGCAGGAACGTTCTGTCTGTCTGCACACTGAGCCCTGCACACATTCCTCTATCTCCCATTTCAACCTGCGTGACCTTTATTTCCTCTCGCTTTTAAAGAAATCTTTATTTACCCACGAGCCGGTTCAACAGCTCCACCGAGTCTGCAGCCAGGCTGAGCGCCTTGCTCGAGGAAACGGGAGAACATCTCATACCACTGAAGTAGCGCCTCATGTTTCCCTGCAAAGGAACAGAGCCGAGAGAGAAACGGAGGGAAAAACAACAACAACAACAACAACAACAACAACAAAAAGCAGTGAAAATCTGGCAGCAAGGGTGCCAAAAAATATGTGTTTTTTTTCTTTTTTTTCTGGCTTGTTTTTGTTTTTTTTTAAAGTATGGACTAATATACTGTTCAAAAAACTTTAAATAAATAAACAATGTACAAATAACATATTACAAAAAAAATAAATGACAATTTTTACCTTTTTTTTTTCATTTAACATTATTCAAGTTTGTTTTTCAAATAACAGCACACATCTATGAAATGTTTTTTTTGTTGTCGCAGATTTACCATTTCTCTATTCTCAACATATATTTTTTGGTCACTTTTTGAACTTAAAAATAGCAAAAAGTATTTAAAAGAGTGTAATTTTATAGTCAAACATTATAAAGGACCAAATTACCATTTTTAATAAATACAGAATTTTACAGTTTTGGACTTTGTTTTTTGTTTATTTTATCTGTTTATGTTTTTCTTTTAAAGAAAACGTGTAAATGAATTCTTTATGCTGAAGCATCACTTCATATTTAACTGGACGGGCAGTGAGCAGTGACAGAATGACCAACTAGCTGCATGAAGCAGAAATATCAGGTCTATTGTTATTGCTGTTTAGGTTGACTGAGAACTTTCTTAACTTCAATAAAAATCCCACATGAGGCCGAAAATAATGAAGAAACACAACAGTTCTTTTTGTGAGCTGCTCTTCTACTTCCACTACTATGATTTAAATGGGCCTCAGGTGGTGAAGTGGGTTCTCAGCCCATCACAGGGTTGGTGGTTTAACCCCCGTTCCCTCCTGTCCAAGTGCCCTTTGGCAGGATACCAAACACCGAGCTGCTCCCTATAGCAGGCCAGCGCCCTGCACGGCAGCTCCACCGCCATCAGTGTGTGTGCGTGTGCATAAGAAACACATTGTAAAGCGCTTTGGAGCCACTGAGGTAATAAAAGCGGCGTATAAGAGCGGACCATTTACCATTCAAATATAGTCGAACTACTAAATCAAGTGAATTCTCTGCAGATGTGGAGAAGGCAGCTCCAGCTACTCTGCTGGAAATATTACCTTCAATGGAGCACGTGTGGATTCACGTTCTGCTTTTTTGATAAAAAGCTGCTTCAACAAGACACCGTTTCATCAAACTTAGAACATTCTAACTGGACCGCGTTGTCTTTCTGCTTTGGGGGAAAAAAAACTGTTATATTTCTATAAACTAATAACAACTGTATTGATAAATATAAACTGTAAAATAAAGCCTCTGAAAACAGTGACCAGGGAATTGTTTTAGTGAAACATTTGCATTCAGGGAATTGAACATTAAAATGATTAGTTCATAAAAAAAACTAAAACAACAACAAAAACCGAGCAGGGTTGAAATACTGCTCAATACAAATCTTCTGTAACGCTCCATATGTTCAGTGCGGTACGATGCTAGCTCAGAGGTTGTTTCACTAAATGAAGGGGGTTTTAAAATCAGGAGCAGGTACATTGTTTAAAAAGGGAAAAAAAAGTTTAAAAAATCCTCAAAGATTCTGAAACTCTGGCAGCAATGATGCCAGAAAAAATAGATTTAAAAAAAAGTGTGAAAATAACAGCAAATATCTACAAAATTACAGAAAAAAACTAAGTTCTCTGCTAATTTGAAGAGAGGAAAACAGTGTGACTAATGTGAAAAAACAAATTGCTATTTGTAAAAATACAGATTTTTCATGCAAGCGTTAGAAACCGTTTTGTTATTTTTACTGTCAGTGTGTGAATTCCATCCATCCATTGTCCATACACCGCCTAATCCTCACTAGGGTTGTGGAGCACACTCACATTCACACCTACAGACAATCTAGAATGGTTTTGGATCTTGTAGGAGAACCCGGAGAGAACCCACGCTGCACGGGGAGAACATGCAAACTCCACGCAGAAAGATCCCGGGTGTCCTCACCGGGACGCGAACTGGCGACCTTCTTACTGTGAGGCAACAGTGCTAACCACTGATCCACCGTGCAGCCTGATGTGTGAATTCATTCTTCTTTTGTTACTGGTTATTCTTCTCTATGTTACTGGTACGTATTTAGTTAAAGTTTAAAAAATCTTTCTGTGTAAATATCTCATGTTATGTTTCCATAGAGATGGCGGCGTACATAGATGCAGCGGCCCCTTCAGGAGACAGCGAGAGTGAAAGTTCTGAGTGTCTTGGCTATCTCAGACACTCATTCTGCAAAACCTTACAGCCGAAAGACTTTGCTGAACATCAGAGCAATGAACGTCGCTAAAATTGCGGCGCTCGGATGTGATGTGGACATACTACACCAACATGGAGTCTGATCGGAGAGACTACGCCGGCAGTTACCCGAGAGAGAAGGAAGCGGCATGAACGTAAACAAAGGAGGAGGAAGAGATCCAGGATCCATGCTAGGCTAAAGGCTAAACCCTCCAGACCAACAGGACCGTCCTCCTACACTCCAATGTCCGCTCCCTCCACAACAAGCTGGACGTTTGCTGAGAGAAACCTGCACAGAGTGGAAACACTGCTGTGTGTTTGCTTTAAACAGAAACATGGCTCCATGACAACATCCCAGACGGACATACAGCTGGAGGAGATGACATCGTTCCGGGTGGACAGACAGACAGACAGCTAGCTCTGAACTTGTCCAGAGGAGCAGGACCCTGAACACTATCAGGGACTCCTCCCATCCTCTCCATAAACCGTTTCAACTGCTGCCATCAGGCAAACGTCTCCGGAGCATTAAACGAAGAATCTCCAGACTGATCAACAGCTTCAACAGCTTCATTCCACAAGCTGACAGAATGCTGAACTGCTGGTCCAGATATGCAAACACTTCTTTATTTAATTGCTTTTAGTTTTTGGATCCTGAAGAAACACTCTCTCATCTTGTTTCTGTTGTATGTTCAGCAAAATGACAATAAACTGGATTTGATCTGATGTAACAACGTGGACACCTGCAGCCTATATATGTACAACATGTGTTTTCTTTTTCAAGTTAGGGGGTGTGGCTTATATTCAGGTGTGCTCAATAGTCCAGAATTTAAGTTGTTGAAAAAAAATTGCAGTTAAAACTGTTGACAAATACTCATTGTTTTACAGGGTAAATAGCAGAAGGGGAGGAGAGAGCAGCTAAAATGGTGTCCAGTGGCAACCCTACACCTGCAATCTACATCTAGTGAATTAAACTACATCAAACTTCATATTTCACACTTAAAAATTACAGACAGCGAGAATTCTGTTGAAGAAATTTTAGTTTAGGCTTCAATGAAGTCGCTCAATAACTAGTTTACACCATTAGTTGTTTTTTTTTAAACAAATATTACACATTTCTGAGGGAGGCAGAATAGTTTCTATATGGTAAAACAGGTGCAAAGAATTCACAATAAGAGGCGTTCTTTGGTGTTTCGGTGCATCTTTGCCCCGTCGTGTGAATCACCATCGACACACACATCTGACTTGTTGAAACAAAGGAATGTGCAGAGTTCCAGGTGAACGAAAAAGCCTCCAGACCTCCGTGACCTCTCCTCACTCCAACACACCCCACTCTTATCTCTCCGTCTTATCAGTCACACCGCCAGAGACTGTGCAGCTCAGTGTGTGTGTGTGTGTGTGTGTGTGTGTGTATTAGTTCTGCACACGCGCGGGTTTATTTGAGCAGCGAGGGCGAGCGGGCTGCAGGTCAGGGTCATTCATTGTGCCCGTGTGTGTGTGTGTGTGTTATCAGGCCCGATGTCTGCAGAGAGACGGAGTGTAAACACCGAGTAAAGCTCTGTTTACTCTCGTTCTGAGCCTCTTTCATGGATCCTCCATTAGAGCTCACTCTGATCATCTACCAAGTGCTTTATCACGAGGGCAGAGTGGGGAAAGGAGACAGGATGTATTTAGACAGATCGTGGTCTTACTTAAACAACTCGCTCTGGTTTGCTACATTCTAACATATATGGCGTCCATTCATCCAAAGGCTTATAGCTTCATGCACTCTGAGTGAGTGGCTGCAGTCGGAAGCAGAGATGTTGAGCCTCAGTTGTGGCTTTTTTTTCGGTTCAGGATCATTTGTAATCACAATGACAATAATGGTTGGTTTCAGTGCTACTGCACAACATCATCTCTCTGAGGAAAACACTTGGTTGTTGAAGTGTTTGTGTGTAGATGGAGACTACGTGCTAAAGAGGATGTGATATTTTTCCATATGTGGGTGGCAGAGGAATGAAGCTGTCACCTCAAACCTGTGTTGGAATATATTATTTTCTAACAGCACTGCTAGCTTAACACACACATTGACGCCATTTAATGTGAACTAATGAATGAGTTGTGCTGATCTGAAGTAAAGGGAAAGAAGGATTCAAGCATCAGGCCCTGAAGGACTGAACCCATGAAGGTTACGTCAGGTCAGATAGAAGGAATACTGCTATACATTCATACACACACATCCGCTCTCACCCCCACACACACACTCACACACACACCAGAACACAGCATGGTGTTGCTCTGATAAAGATGTCATATGAAACTGACCACACTGGTACACATCTACTACTGCTTTGATGTAGTTGTCCATGTACTGACACACTAACCTCCCTAAGAAGTGACAGCTGTAGCACAACGACGAATAAAGAAAAAGTACTGACAGTCAGAGAGCGGTAAATATTGGTAGGGAAGGTTCTTTTTACAGGGTGTGGTTGCTGAGGATTGGATGAATCGTGTGTCAGTCGTGTGTCAAGAGATATGGACATATCTGTGCACCTACGAAGGGAGAGCTAAATCTAAACCGCAGCTCTCCCCAACCATGTAGCCAATCACGTTGCACTATTTGAGTTAAACGTGTGTGTTCACTAGCCAGTCACATTGCACTATACTGACTAAACTCCATCCACTACTGGGGAAGCTGGTTACAGATTAACAGCTTGCTGCCTGTGATTTTCTGAACCAGTGCTGGATCCTTGATCAAGTAAAATATCCCATTATTACACTGTAGAATAAACAGTAAATGAGAGAAGTTGTTTGTCTTCTATCTCAAAAAACCAACACGCCTCAGCACCTGTCTCCACTGAATCAACCTTTGCTATGTATGTAACCCTAAATCACATCCAAACTTCTAATAGTGTTTCTGTGCGCTCACACCCCTGTGCAACTGTACACTCAGCTTGTGATAACAAACAGAGGTTGTGAAAACAAAACTTTGGCAGAGAGGAGGGCCTTTTTTCTTTTTTTCTTTTTTAACCATCATTGCCATTTTCTTTTAAACTGCTGTGGGCAGATTTACAGTAAGGCGGACCACCTCGCCGACCCAGGAAACACTGAGGGGGAGAGTTTGCGGGGAAAGGTCTGTTTACCTTTGGGCTGAAAAACTCCTCACTCTGTGAGGTAAAATAAACTTGTTTTATGTGTTTATGTATCAGAACTGCACCCTCTTAAAGAGGTTATTGTTCTTTAGATTTCATAAGAGACCCAGGGAAAGGAAAACAAATGTGTGCAGAATCCATGTTTGTACATTTGTAGCAGATGTGTGTGTATCAGATTTTACACGGTTGCATCAGAGGAGGCTGTTAAGAAATCTGGTCATGACACATCGTAGCCTTTGTAAGTCGAACCTTCTGTGAGGAGACTTCCTCCAACTTCAACACATGTTCAAACAGGCAGGCTGGCAAACATCAATCTCAGTCCACACAGGATTAGAAAACAACCACAGTTTATTCCTCCAGTGGTCAACACTGGTGATGGTCAAGATAAATAGCTACTGTACAGTAAAACATAAAGGACCCACCTTCTGTAATTTAAAACATCAGTTCATGACTTCTCGCTTGCCATCTCTTTCAACTCTATTTCTAAAAGATATAGTTTAGCATTTTGGGAAATATGTACATTCCGGTTTTTGCCAATAAATAAATGAGAAAGTCAGAATCACTCTCGTATCTGTGCACTAGATATGAAGGTGCAGCCAGTTAGCTTAGCTTAGCATAAAGACTAGAAAGAGCAGGAAACAGCTGGTGTGAAATGAAATGAAATGAAAAATACTTTATTTATCCCAGAAGGGAAATTCAATGTGGCTGAGGTAACAACATAAAAACATGTTACGTATAAAAAAGAAAAAAAAAATCTGTGTCTGACTAGAATATCGGCAGACACATGAAGCCTTTGATGGGTTTGATTCGTCCGGTTTGTTACGTATGAAACTCTGGAAGTCTGAAACGCGACTGTCACTGATAACCTGCAGTATCAATGTGGAAATGTCATTCAATAGCTGATATTTTATCTATGATGTGCTTAAATAAAGACATTTAGACATGTTATCAAGGAAAAAAACAACTTTCGTCGTCGTTAAACAAACTACATATAAGCCTCAGTGGTGCTGACAGGTTTCTGCTGTTGCTGGTTTCATGCTAAACTGAACTAAATATCTCCTGGCTGTAGCTTCATATCTAATATATGAGACCTTTTATTAACTGTGGGACTGGAATCAATCTTCACATCTAACTCTCACTAAGAAAGCGGATAAGCGTGTTTCCGCAAAATGTGGAATTCTTCCTCTAAGCTTCTCTGAAAACAGCCAACTGCAACAACCTCAGTGATGTGGTTAAAGAGGGAGGCAGAGAAATCAGAAATCAGATCTGGGATGTGCTGCTGCGCCTTTATCAACCGTTCCATCAAATTTGCCAAGTAAAACTATGACCGCTTGAAAGTCTTCACCCTCTTTGCACGTGTAAAAAAGCCCTTTTTATACTTCAAACACATTCTAAGCGTCTCTTTCCCCTCGTCTTGTTATTGTCCTCCACTCCGTTCCAGTGTTCGCTCTTGCCCCGTTATTACCTGCCGTCTCTCAGCTTGTGTATATGTGTTAGTAATCCTCTGCATTCCTCTGAGTGTTGAACCTGCAGGGCTCCATCCCTCTGAGCGCTCAGTTGAAATGGTAGAAATGGATTCCCTCTTTCAGCTGCAAAGAGTTGAGGTTTTCCTCCAGAACGCCTCCTGTCATGTCCTAAGAATGACAAATTAAAAAAAAAAAAAAAAACAACATGTGAGGAACATCAGAAAACATGGTTTAAGGCAAAAACAACAACAAAACAACTTACATAAGAATCACTACAAATTGCCCTACTGGCTGAACTGGCAGACTTTTCTGCTGTGTTTTTTTTTTCTGTGTTGAGCTTCAGCCAAAGGTTATAGTCAGACTCACCTACAGTAAACCAGGTTTACACATATCCTATGAGAAAACTTTGAATATATTTGTTGATTACTTGACATCTGGGTGTAAAACTTGTGTGATTGAGTCCAGGTGTTTATGTGAGTCCTATAGAACAAGAGAGAGCATGATTGAGTCCAGGTCTCCTTGTCCTCTGACTCTGATTACCTCTCCCAATTCCCATAATTGAGCAATTAGCAGCCCCCTTAGGTGGGGTCATTCTAGATTTAAATCTGAATCTGCCCGGGTGATAAATAAGCAATTACTGATATAACTTCCAGAGCAGCTGTGAGTGTGTTATTACATATTAAACTAAAATGAATAAAAAAAACAGTACCATTGAGGCTCTGAACTGGCTGTGAGTACTTCCAGCACCGTGCAGCATAAAATGCAACTTAAACCGAATGGCGGCAAAAACACGACGTGTTTACACAAGCGTCATGTGATCAAAGATCAGGCTGCTGTCTCTGCCCATTTCCTGACAGCCTCCTCTGTGTTTGTGTGCGTTACGTCCTGTGCTGGACACACGCCCTTCATCATTATGTTGTTACCGTAGATTACAGACACGAGGGACGGACGGGTCAGAAACAGCAAACATGCGGCACACAAACGCGCTTTCTGCTCACCAGTTTAACACAGATGACGAAGGGGGCGGACGCCACTTTGTAGTGCAGAATTGGGATTTTTGGCTTCGGCCTTTCCTGGAGGGATATCAGCACAAAAGAGAGAGAGACCCACACCCTTTATAACTGCTGCTCCGTAATAACTTCATTCTATCACTCTTTGATCCTGGTTTCTGTACATTAATCACAACAAAAACCTGTTGTTGTGCTTGGTATCCACAGTGACCTCACCTTGGATTCCTCATATGTGTAGAAGCCTTTCTGGATCTTGTTCTCGTCCACGTCACAGAAGGCTTTGACCTAACGCAACAGAATGGCATTTGAATGCTGACGCGCTCTCAACATTTCGCAACTTCTTTGCTCTGCTTGGAGACAGAAAGCAGAACAATGCAGAATTTGGCTTGACAGCTGAACGTAACGTACTTTCTTCTGATTTGTCGGGCTCAGGCATCGGTACAGCTTTCGGCCCTGTTTCCCAGCGTTCCATATGGTGAAGGTCTCCCACTGGCTGAGGACTCTCTCCTGCAGGAAGTCCACTCGCAGCCTCCAAATAGTCTCCCTGCCAACAGAGAGGGTGCAGAGGAGAAGTGAGAGATGTGAAAGTCAAAATTAGGGACATTTATTAAACACCTAAAACCTCATCTTTGTGTATCAAAGTTACATATTTAGAGCTATTTCCCATGAAAAAATTCCCCTCCTGCCTAGATGTCACTACACACTGATGCTTCCGCTACCTGTATAACTACTCTGCCCAACGGTAAGCTGTAATTTTGGAGTAAATCAGGAAACGAATTCTGAACAATAATCATACAGAAAGTGACACCCTGTACATTGACAGGATTAGTTCCTCAGGTGTGTAGCGTATGAAACCTCAGAAGCCTGAATGCGTGTTTTTGAGACAATCATCGTTGCACTGCAGTGTGAAGATGGAGATACTCTTCCACGGCATTGACTGCTTGTTTTGCCTCTTACATGTCTTCTAGGTGTTAAGGTGAAAAACATCTCTTTACTTAGAATTCACTGCAGAAAAACAAGCTTAAATGAGCACGTTTTTTGTTTGTTTATGTGTACAGGCCCAACAAACACATAGAATCAACTTTATGCTTAAACATTTCTTGAAGCGACCATCGTCCATGAACATGATCTGTGATTCAACGCCATGCTCACTGTAACAAACTATATATTGGATAACAGAAAAAATCTGCAGGTTTTTAAACTTTCAGACAATCCTTGAACTGCTCGTTTGTGACAATTTTAACCTAAAATAAGTTTAAATTGGTGATATTTCATCAAAACCACTTTATTGCACTTTTCGTTTAAGCAGTTTGCTCTCACCAGATTCTATAAATTTATCTATTTTTTAAAAATCTGCGCGGGTTGACAAGCCATTAGTGAATCAGCTGCAAGCAAAAGTCACGTGACAAAAATTCAGGGATTTTTCAGCTGAACTGCAGGATGTGTAGAGCCTCTGTTTTTTCTAGTAATGGTAACACCTGTGGGCACTTGGAACAATGCTGTGCATGTTGAGTCCAGGTTTCTTCATTTTTGTAAAACAAATAGTCAAGACAATACTACTTTAGTTTCTTTTTTTTGTCTGTGTTCACAATTAATGGCACAATAACTTTGTTTTCCTATGCATAAGACATTTTGGAATTTTCTAGCCATGATTGCGCTGTTTCCATAAAGGTGCAGGACTTTATATTGCAGTAAAATTAAGTAAAAATGTGACAGGAGCATAAAACACAAGGGAACTGCTTGAGTTGAGAGAGTTAATATGTTGTACGTTACATTTAGTTTTTAACACTTGTTTATTTATACCATAACCGAAGCCTGCACCTTAAATTGTATTATGTGCAATGAAAATAATCTATTCTACTGTGTTCTTTGGTATTTATACTGTCCTCATGCCCTCAGCCCCTCCTCCTCCTCCTCCTGATCCTCGCACTCTGACACACACAGAGGCTCTGATGTTGAGTAATTATACAGACACATTCACAGGAAGTATTTCACTCGCATCTCTTGTTATGAGCTTCTTACTGTGCCTAGCTGTGGGCCTCTTATGGCAAACAAATCCAAATCCACCACCGTCGTGGAGTCCGGGTGGTCCCCAGATTCCTTCGCTATGCATTCTCCATACGGGCTTTGATTCAAAGGACATGGCAGCAACATGGCAGGGATTTACTATATACACACATCGAAGCCCTCCACTCACATTTATAAACACAGCCTTTCTGTGTTAGAAAGCTCCTCATCTCAGTTACTCTTTTAACCACTTTTTTAAAAAGACGCTTCTCACGTAACACGCAGGGCATCTACAACTATGTGCCAGACAGAAATAAGATGATGGTTTCATTCGACTAAAGAGAGGAAGTAAGTAGGCAGCGCATTTGAAGGGGTGACAAGTAGTGGGGGAGAGTGGAAAGCTTGAAATAGACCTCCGAAAATAGACGGACGGTAGATGAAGACAGAGAGGAGGATGATCGGTGAAGGAGTGCGTCAACAAGGGCAGATATACGAGCAGCGGAGAGGAAGCAAGGCAGGAGGGAAGGAAGGAAAGAGGAAAGGAGGGAGGGAAAACAGGAAAGAGGGGATGAAAGACAGGGAGGCGTTGGGGGAGGGAAGTCAGGAAAGCCCTTTTTCTTTGGTGTGTTTTACATTTAGAAGCACGCGCGCACACACACACACACACACACACACACACGCACACACACACACACACACACACCTGCAGACTCTACATGCTTCAGCGAAGGCAACAGCTGGAACGTCAGCTCTACACACAACATGTCAAACAGCTCCGCTCACGACAACATCCGACTCCCTCCCAACAGCGTCGGGCGGACACTGAACATTCCACACTGAGAAGAAAACAGGTTGAAATTCCTGTTTCATATGCTGGCAAAGTGGCTGGAATTCCAAAAACACGGTCTGAAAATCTCAGGGTTGTGTGCGCATATTTGTGTGTGTGAGAGCATCGAGCCCTGAGAAACTCCGGGATGCCGGTGGGCAGCTGTGAGTAGGTGGAGGATCAACGCAAGAATGCGCTTGTGAGTGCAGCTGAGTGGGAACGAGGGTGTACGGTGAGACTGACTCGGTTACAGAGTGAGTGGCGGCCTTCTCGTGGTAACGGTAGACCAGCAGGCACCGGTCGACCCTGGACAGACTCCCTCCTTGACGAAGACTCTGGTAGAAGAAGAGCAGATCCTCCGGGACTCCCTGGAGACAAAGAAGAAGTAATAGAGCATGATATGACTGCCTGAACAGATTATCATTGAGTCTGTCAGCTAATAATGGGGAGAACTACTGAAAAATATTAACGGAGCCTGCTGATGAGGAAAACTTTGCATTAGGTGCAGTGGTGGTCAGGTGACATTAGCCCCATATTGTGCCTCTTTTCAGCAAATGAATGAAAGTTTCACACATCCTCAGATTGTGTCTTCATTTCATCATGACTCTACGACTCCTGGCTGTATCCTGTTTTAAATGGACTGTTTCAGTGTCTGTAGCTTTAAAAGCTACTTAATTACCGCTGTCCATGGCTTCTTCAGGAAGAAGACTCTCTCTGTGCCTGATTAACAGCGCTGAGTAAAACAGTTAGTCAGTCCTATGACAGGATTCATACAGCAGCCGACACAGATGCAACTGAGTGTGAGACCAGGTCTTTCTATTGCTTCTAACTTTCTCTCTGAGTGATCGTTTTTCATGGAAAAATTTGCCAAACTCATAGAACAGTGGTGTGTCATGTATGTGGAGGTGTTGTCAGATCACATGGCAGTTATAAAAGCAGTAGTTTTCTGACAACAGAAACAGAAAATATGTAAATGAGGACAGCTTTCCTGGGAATTCTGCTGTATTAAAATGCAGTAGAGAGAAGCTAACAGATGGTCGCATTAAAACACAACGGGCGACATAAAAACACTGTAACCCACCCAGCTCTTGTTTATTTGTCTGTGTTAATGTTTCCACCATGCCTAAATGTCCCACAGCATTACAGTTTTAACACACCTTTGGCTGATGGAAACATGATCAAAGCTAATGATAACATTAGTCACATTAGCTGCACAATATCCTAATACTGAGAATTTTCTTGTTTCCGTGGAGACACTGCCAGCAATAATATTCCACTGAACCTTCAGCTCCTCAAATGCTGGTAGTGCATGAAGACTCTTATGTTTACTCTTGCAGCCAACAGTAAAACATTTGGTGTACTTGACTTGTAGCTGTGACATTTTAAAGGTTAGCAGAAGCAGCTCTACACAGTCAATAAACCTGACAGACTAGGTCTTAAGTAGAAGTAAACGCCTTCACATCTTGATGGCTTTCACTTTATACCAGTTTATTGCAACCACAAAACACAATAAAAATGGAGTTTTTCACCATATGGAAACTTTAAGAACGTATGGTCTACATTGTGACTTCACCAGAAATGATACAAAACGAGGCCGCACAACCGCTGACGGTCAGAGAAAAATAGAAAAATGAGCAAAGACAATGCAGAGAGTGGGAGGTTTAAAGTGTCGGCATGCTTTAACTGATGTGTTTGTTGGTTGGAAAGTGCTACATCTCAACCACCTTTACACTCATCGCTTTTTCTTCTTCACACCATCTATTCTGTCATTAGTTGTGTGGGTGAGTGCAACAATATAAACGGCTCTGAGGAGAGCACATCTGAAAGTGTGCACACCCGTCTTTATGAATGTCCCTACAGGGCGTCACTGATCGTAGGTGTCTGGTACAGCTATAAACACCTTTTTCCGTCAGAGGTGTTGAGACGACGCTTTACGCAAAGTAGTTCATTTCAGGTAAACTGACGCCTTCAGAGGTTTGTCTGGGGAACAGTTGGAGTGTGAACCCTCACCTTGCCTCCCTCATCAAACGGTCCAACCTTCAGGTACCATTTCCTTGAGCAGAACCACGTCGGCATGACGACTGTGGGCCCGTGAGAGGTATACGCCTAAAATACAAAAACAGGTAAGACTATAACACACAAACCTCTGACAAACATGTAGATCCATTAACCACGAGAATATAAGACATTTTGAAATGAGGTATAATATAATGTAATGTAGCCACCAAAAACACTGTCACCAACTACATCATAATCTTCCTAAATGCAGAATTTGTGACAGATGTGGAGTATTATATTGCAGTAAATTACAAGGGAGAACCTTACAAAGTGGCCAGGTTGTGTATATACAGTGTCATGTAAGCAAAACACTGCAACTCACACAAATTATGCATTTCAACATAAATTGTTAAACCATAGACATACTTATTTTTTAAATCTCATTCATAGAACTCAAGTTGTGCATCTCTTTTTATACGTCTCTTGCTCTATTTTAATTAAAAAGTCCATCTCTGCCTTTAGCCAAGTTCAGTTTTGTGTGTCTGGTGAAAACTCAAAAATTATATCTGACCTAAAAACAATGACAAATACAGGAGAAACCACCAAAAACGTGTTCGCATGTTCAACCACCAGAATACCTCTAATGAGCATTAAAGATGTTCTGGAGGCTCTTGGTGGTTAAACGTGCAGTCAGACATTTAAGCGTAACAGCCCAAAACCGTTGATTTATTGTGAATCTTTATTGGACCGACAGGTTTCTTCTGGATGGAAATAACACTTTGTTCCAATTCTCCAATAGGTTTTTTTGGAAACATATTCTCACCAGTTTTTCCTGTAAATGAGCGGCAGTTAAATAAAAGTCTGTAAAATTAGATGTAACTTTATTGTCACTGCGGAGTACAACTACCAAGACAACAAAATGTGAATGAATAATGAAGCCGATGACGCTACAGCAGGAACAGCGCACCTGAAAACAGAGTATGTTGTCATAGTAACACAACATAAAGACCATATCAGCCAGAACAGATCAGGATCTAGATGATTCCTCTGGGGAAAAATGTTATATTTGGCTTTAAGGGACAAGCAGTCAAATGAAGAAGGAGTGTGCTGTAGTGTATGTGTCATCCTGAAAACAAAACAGGTTAGAGTGCAGCCGCATGCGCTTCTTTACGGGATTGTGTGCTTCCTGGAGTGGAAGCTTCCATCTTCTCGCACATGATCTTTGACTAACGAGTTTGTTTTGGCCTCTCGTTCTCTCTCTGACCGCAAACTCTTTAATACATCGGGACCACATTATGGCCTCGTTCCACCGGTGCCCGGCCCCTTCTTCTGCCCCTCCACCCCTTCTTGTTGCTCTGTGTGTTTTGTAACAGTATCGAATCTGAGGGTCATTCCAGGCAGATCTACTTTTCCCTCCAACCACATCGCTGCGTTTCACACACTGTGCAGATGTGTGCGCGTGCATGCGACTGTTTTTGGTTAAAGTGTAACGCTCCTGCATGACAGAAATGCATCACAGATGATGAGGAAAATTGTGCAAAACATCTGGATTCAGCTAGTCGAGCAGCTGGACAGAATCTACTCAGTGTGTGTGTGTGTGGTTGTGTCCACCTACGTACATCTATTCACCCTTCTGTTGTAATATTGCAACATTTCGCAGATGTAATCTGTGGCCAAAAGCATGAATAAGAGGAATAAGAATGAGTTCTGGGAAAAAACAAGGGACAGGGAAAGATGAATGTGTGTGGATGTGAGCAGTCGGAGGGGTAGGGAAGGTTTTGGATAACCATAACTAATGCTCTGCAGATGAGCGCTCCAGAGAAACAATCAGCACCCTGTGAAAAACTCTTGTTGAAGACGGTTAGGTTCTGCTTCTTTACCCAGAAAGTGAAAGTAAGGGCAGATGAAGTGAAGAAAGAGAAGGGGAAGGAAAAGGAGTGGCTTTCGAGCCTGCAGAATCAATGTATGATCTCATTCTCATGCTCCGTGAAACCTAATATCATATAAATATCCTGGAATGTCTGCTAAGGAGTTATGCAGACTGTGTGAGTATTAAAATGTGTGTGTGTGTGCTAGAGAGAGCGAGTCCAGGTTGTCTTGTATCCTTGGTGACAGTGTGTTTTGTCAAGTCAGAAACAGCAGACTTCCATCTCTACGTAAACAGAAAATGCTTGCTGTGGTTTTACTTCTGTATCTCTGGCTCTCTTATCATCTCATGCAAAATGTGGCAGAAGTATGAACTGGAACAGATTTTTACACACCTTTTAGCAGGCCCTGAGATGCACAGTTGTTTCTTTTAAATTGGTCACTGTCTCTGTTGAAGAGGCAGGAAAGTCAGACGTTTTTGCAGAAGTGTGGCAAATATACTACGTCTGAAAGCCAAATGATTACAGGTTCTGTCTGGCAAGTCAACACTGGCTCAACGTTGATCTGCTGCAGGAAGCTGCATAGGTCCACTCTGAACCAAGAACCTTACCTATTTATAAACCTTCTACTGCCTCAATGTTGGCTAGTTTGCCCCATTTAGAATATTTAGGCTGGTTCTGAGCAGATGTTGGTGATGGACAAATTCTGCTTCAAGTATTCACATCCCTTTATATTGCAAACACATTACATCCCTGTCAAAATCTAGCATTGAGTTGAGGAACAGCATCAAACACGTTACAGCAGGAAGAGCACAGGCGTAAAGACTAAAATGATTGATTCTTCATTTTCAGGTTCAAATAGGAGTAGAAGTTACAAGAATGGATTTGTCCTTGTTGATGACGATGTCTGAGAGAACTGTACATTAAAAGGAGATGGACAGAGCACTTGTTGCTGTTGTCTTCTCAAAGTTTAATCAATCATTGTTGAGCTCCGCCCAGCAGATTTTCAGAGCAGCTCAGAACTACCCCACCTGAAATAAATACTTTTTCTTTCCCCCAAAAAAGGGCATAGAAAGAAGTTCTACAAGCTTTCTTTTGGTTAACATGAACAAAAACAGCCCACAAGTTCCTACAGGGCAAAACGACTTAAAACAACAGAAGCATCCCTAAATAACTCTCCTGACTTACGATTACACTTCTCCAACACTGAAAGACTGATGATAGGCATTTTTAAAATGTATCAGAGCCAATCCACACATTCTTCTTCTTTGTCAAAACCTGGCAACTGCATTTCCCACAGTGCAAATCAACCACAGACTCAGAGATTCAGGTGTACAGTACTCCTAGCAGCTGATGTAGCCTCGAGCTGCTAGCCTCATGCAGAGGCGAAGAGCACGTTACAGAGGTTTGTAAAGCTCACTTCATTCTAACTCCACTTTATTTCATCTTCTAGTCTTCAGCTCAGACCAACGTTGCCTCAAGCAACTTGGGGAAATTCATCAGGCTGTGTGCTGCTCCCTCCGGAGCCACAAAAGGCTTTACACAACTCTTGTCATGTATACAGTAGTTTTACCCAAGACTTGTAAACAGTGTGTTAAATTGCTGTTCTCCTTGAACGTTATTAGTAACACCAGGGTTTTTCCAACTATGAAGAGTCAAAATGACTGCTGAATTTGGCAGGACTCTGCAACATTTGGTCATGATGACCCACACTTGTTTCCTACCAGCCCACTATGTTGTTGCTCCAACGCTTTTGCTTTGAAGTGCAAAAAAAACAAAAAGGGCTGGCTGCCCTTGATAAGAGCAAACTAGAGTCCATTTATTTCACCGTGTGGCACAGGAAACTCTGACATCTGTTTTGAGCCATAAAGCAGTTTCTCATCACATCCAAATTGGTTTCCTTCACTGACGGAAAAGTAGAGTGCAGAGCTTCTATATTTTGGTAACAGGATTCATCTGTTACATGTATTTTAGTACTACTGATGCATGGTAACCTTTAGACAGTGGCGCACTACAATAAGCACCATAAATCTGAATGTCTGCTTGGAAGAGAAACACAGAAGGCTCCTCGTAGTTTTTTGTTTGCAAAATTACCTTTACCACTGCCAACACCACTATTTATTACCATAAGCAGACAGCTGGCAGCGTGACCCGTTTCCTCCACTGGGAGCGTGATGGACAGAAAGGTCAGGAGCGATGCTGCGTCCTCCCTCCAGTCATCGTCCACATTTCCGTGGAAAGTGCGGACAGCAGGTACGTATCCTGTTTCTATGTGACCTAGTAGCTGCCTGACACACGACCTCTCAGATTCACACAAACACACACGTTCATCGACATCAAAACACGCACGCTGTGCCGAGCTGTGCGTTTTTTTTTTTTTACCTGTGTGATGAGCTGGTCCTGAGAGAGTGTGTTTATCCAGCGAGTGTAACGCTCCGTAGATCCTTCCGGCACCCTCTGGACTCTACAGCCAATCAGCTATCATAAAAACACACATTTGCACCTTTAGGAGTTTATTATTTGCCTTTTGAGAACCATTAAAAACATGTGCAGTGATTAAAAAAGCAATAAAAGAAGCTTTTAAGTTTGTTTTTTGAAAGTTTAGCTGTCCAGAAAAACCAAGATCACCTGAGATGTTGGTCGTAAGCCTTCGGAATGAAGTCAAATTGTAAACAGTTTGCTTGATGAGAGTTTAAAAATTTGCATAGAACATTTATGATGGGAAATTCTCAATATTTTCTCACATTTTATGGTTCAAAAGATTTATCAATCAACCGAAACACTAATTTTTAGCATAGTCGACGACAAAAATAAATGTTTGTTGCAGTCCTCATCACATATGGCACCGTTTTTTTCATTGCAAATCCAAACTGTGTCATAACAGGTGGACCCTTATAGACATAGACAAGAAATCCTGCTGAAAAAAGAGATAAATGAGAAGTAAAGAAGGGCTACCATAGAGGTGAAAAATAAAACTGAAAAACAAGACAGAGGATCAGATTCCAAAACCATAAAAAATTACAGTCATAACAGAAAGGGGTCGGTTGTTTTTTCAGGACAGCAAGCCTGCTGTCTCCATGCTGTCTCCCTCACTTCCCTCACACACACGACCTCTAACCTCTGACCGGGCAGGCCACAAAAGGCATCAACACCGGATACTCACACTCTCGTGCATGCCAACTGCATGGAAGCACACACACACACGTACACATGTTCACTGACACAAACAACGTGAGTACTTTCTCATTCTAAGTGAAGGGTTTGTCAGAAAAAGAGAGAGAGAAAGGAAGAGAAAAGAAGGGAAGAAGAGGGTGAAAGCAGAGCACCAAAAGAGAGGGAAGGAAGTGAGCAAGCAGACAAGCGAGAACTTACAGTGTTTTGGTGGAGGACACATGCATCGTACTGCAGACGAACTCTTTGGGGCAACATCATGTCGTCCTAAAATTAAGAAAAATATCATTTCAAATGCACAAGTTGCATGAATTATAGCAGGCATTCAGCAACATGTGACAACACATGCATGCAGCACTGCTTGCAAAAAGTATTCACCCTCCTTGAAAGTTATAACTTCTAACTGCTTTTTAACATTAAATAATTGTCAATGTAATTTGGCCTTTTGACAAGAACTACAAATCAAGATTCCTGCATGTTAAAGTAAACACAGATTTGTACAAAGTAATGTCAATTCATTAAAGATGTTAAACATAAAACAAGTGATTGCTTAAGTATATAGTAGACCTACAAGTCTGTATTTAGTAGATTCCAGAAATAAGTGACTGAAATGTAACTAAAATACACAAGCTGCTGTTAAATCATCAGTTTTCAATCCTGTGATGACCGCAACAGCAAACCTCCTCGTTGGTCTTTGTGAGGAAACACTGTGAGCAATTTGGGGGATAAACCACCAGAAATGACTTTTATGGCTTAATTTTATGGCTTTTGTGGCGAAATTAAATGATTTTCTCTGTTTTATACACCACAGGTACTTTCATACCCAGTATTTGACAGGGCTGCAGTGGAAAACAGATCCTAGGATATTCTGATGATTAACATAATATTTAGCGTCGGAGAGGAACGGCTTTTGTTTGTGAACTGTTTGGGTTTTTTTTTTCTTCTTGTTGGCCGTAGTTACAGCACTGAGCCCTGCACTTCTCAATGCTGCATATTATCACATTTCTATTTGCAAAACTGCTCAAGGTCTGTCAGGTTGCACAGGGATTGTGAACGAACGGCCCTTTTAAAGTCCAACCAAAAATTCTCAATAACATTGAGGTCTGGGCTCTGACTTGGCAACTCCAAAACATTCCCCTTGTTGCCTTTAAACCACTTAGGTCGCTTTGGCTGTATGCTTCAGGTCACTGTCTTGCTGGAAATCAAAACTTCTCTCAAATCCCAGTTCTCTTGTAGACTGTATCAGGATTTCCTGATGACTTAGCTGCTTTGATTTAGCCCTCTGCCTTCACAAGCCTTCCAGGGTCTGCTGCCAATAAATATCCTCACATCATGATGCTGCCGCCACCATGCTTCACAGTGAGGATGATGATGTGCAGTGTTTGATGTCTGCCAAATACAATGTTTAATAATTTAATTTTGGTCTCCTAAGATCTTCTGGTGAACTCTAGCTGTGACATAATATGAACTGTTTTTCAAAAGTGGCTTTCTTTTTTTTTTTTTTTACTCTCCCATGAAGCTTGACGGGTCAAACCCAGGCCACAGCTGCAGTATTCCATCTCTCTCATCTCTTAGGTGAGTTACTTTATATCGTGAATACTTTTTCTGGGCCTTGTACATTGCCTTGAGAGAAACATGCATGTGCTTAGTTTCTTTTTTTTTTTTTACTCCTTTAATCTATTACAGTTGAGGAAAAAAGTTATCTTAGCATTGATAAAATCAACACCATACTTTAAAGTCTAATTCCACTTAAAAACTACATTCCTTTTAAGCCTGGTTTGTCTACTAAGACAAACAGATGTAAGACAGGAGGGAAGAATTTTAATGAACTCAAGTGCTTAAAAAGACATTTTTTGAATTAAAGCTAAATTTATGGTATGACAGATATGACACAGCAGGATATGAGCAACAGAACTGAAACAAATTTGAAAAACAAATTGAAGAAGTTGGTCGTGCTCTGAGAAAGCAATCTTTGAGTCACCGAGACTTTATCTGGGAACCGTCTGTCAGTAGAACACAGTTGAGTTGATATAATGTGGTTCGAGCAGCTAAGAAGCAGAACTAAACAGAAGTAGTCAGAGGTCACAAATTTATACGTTGTGGCCTTTTATTTGTAGTTTTGACAACTAAGCCTTCAGACAAGCAACTACAGACAAGCTGTCTGCCGCCGAACATAAAACACATACAGCATACTGTATATCAAACACGGCTCTGAGCTCATTAGCTTTGTGTTCTGACAGGTCTGTCAAACAGTCACTGAAATGCTGAGGCCTGTGTGTGAATGTGTGCGTAACGGGACAAACCAATATGGCTTAATAAGTTTTGACTCACTGCTGTATGTGTTATGAGAGATGTGGACAGTGAAATGAAGCATGCAAAGTCCACACACACACACTTACCGCATCCTGAAAGCACAAGTACTGTCCGCAGCTCTGAGATATTGCCTTATTCTTCGCATATCCCACTGAAAGGACAAGAGACATTGTGTGTTTTTGTTCAAATGTCATGCATTCATATACACCAACCATTTCCATTTGGATGTGTGCTTGCACTTACATTTAACTATCAAATGTGAACACACAGAAAATAGGAAAAGTGCATTAACATCTGACTAAAAGTTTCCTGTAGATTTTGGATTTACTTCTTTTCCCCTAAAAAAAAAAAAATCAACAAATTTGCAATTTACAGTTAACTTTTCTTCATGTATTTTTCTTTAATGTATGACAAAAAAAAGATCATTTTCCACTTTCACTTCTTCCCCTTTCTTTTAAACTCTACAAGACACTAAACAAACTTTAAAAACAGACAATATCCTTTGTGTGTGATCCAAGTTAACCATTTATCGGCCTGAACGATTCTAGGATTTGACATTGAGCATTTTTCTAATTATAGGTGTCAGTATTGTTTTGACCATTTCCTGATATGAAAATTTTATTTAAATATGTGGTAATTTGGTTCTGACACAGCTGCCTCTCTTTATCTGTAGTCACCATCTGTGGTGTTGAGCAATGTCCTACTCACAGCACTATCCTGTAGGTTACACAAATAACTCTGAAACATACATTTTAAAGTGCTATTTTAATAAAGGACTTTCATATGCTATTTTGAATTTTGACACCAACATTTTTATTTTTAATGCAAATGTATGTTGGTTTCAGATATATGTCACTAGTCTCGCTGATTATAAATAATCGGTATTGGCCCTGAAAAAATACTAAACACTTGACCAAAAAGGCGTCAGACACCATCGGAAAAAGCTGGATTTTTAGGAGCTCGAACACTTTAAGCATGTTTCACCGTTTTGCCAATTTTATGGGCATTTTTCCCAAACTAAACAACTGTCTGATCAGTTCCTTCCATTGGTCAGTTCTTTCACTGAGCCCATCACATTTCACATAATAAACAAAAATCAGGAGTTAAAGTTTAACAAGACACTCCATCGTCACTGATCAACAGTCTGAACACACTACTGACCTCCTCTGGGTTGGGGCGAGTTGTGACCAGAGACCACCAATGAGATGCCCCTCACCTTAAGCTTCTCCCTCCAACTCTCCACCACTTTTCTGGAGTCATCCTAAAGGACACACGGAGCTCACATTACGAGACAGATTACAGCTTCACATGTGTAAATATGCAATCAAACATACAGTGCTTGCGTCATCAAACACAGAGAGCTCCATGGATCCAGTGAAGTCTTGGTCTATTATGGCTTGTAGACACTCATCCAGCCAACATGATGCATTGTACACTGGCATGACGATACTCTGAGTAAACACACAGAGAGAGAAAGGTTACACTCAGTTCACTGATGCTTTGACAACCAGACAAACAGCAACCAACTAGAAATTGTGCAAACTGGAAGTCCAAGGGGGAAGTGAACTTGAAAATGTGTAAAAGTGCAACGGTGCCACTTCTTGAAGCCCTTATCAAAAAAGGCACCAAAAAAAAAAAATCACAAGTCAAAGAAATTACATTAAAAATTGCTGGTGTTTACATGGGACTGCAAGGTGGCGCAGTTGGTAGCACTGTTACCTCACAGCAAGAAGGTTGCCGGTTCGCGTCGGGATCTTTCTGCGTGGAGTTTGCATGTTCTCCCTGTGCAGTGTGGGTTCTCTCCGGGTTCTCCGGCTTCCTCCCACACAGTCCAAAAACCATGTTGAGGTTAATTGGTGATTCTAAATTGTCCATAGGTGTGAATGTGAGTGTGCTTGGTTGTCTGTCTCTAAGTGTAGCCCTGTGATAGACTGGTGACCTGTCCAGGGTGTCCCCTGCATTCACCCTGAGTCAGCTGGGATAGGCTCCAGCCACCCCGCGACCCTAGTGAGGATTAAGCGTTGAATAGATATTGGAGGGATGGATGGTGTTTACACGCACTCAACTGACTAAAACTAATGCAGTCAGGTACAACAGTCCTGCAACAGATTCTACCTCCTCAAAGGTTGTACTGTGATGTTTTTAATTAAAACCCTGAAAACTCATCTCTGTGTATCAAAGTTGCATACATGGATTTTTTTTTACATGACAATAATCCTTCAGTGCCAAGAAATGGCTTAAATGCAACTCTACACTGTTTCCTATGGAATATGGTAATATATGAAGTCCCTGCCGTTTTCTTCATCCACTGTGTGCTTGGGCTGCAGCGGGAGCACACCAGCTCACCTACAACTCTACTCAAGCAGAGGTGGTGTATTATTAGAGTAACTTAGCCATGCATGTTCACATTGGAAACAATACAAAGGAAAAAGTAATGTGTAATGATTTTCATGAGTTAGAAAAGATCCATCCATCCATTATCTATACACCGCTTAATCCACACTGGGGTTGCAGGGGGGCTGGAGTCTATCCCAGCTGACTTAGGGTGAAGACAGGGGACACCCTGGACAGGTCACCAGTCTATCACAGGGCTACACTTAGAGACAGACAACCCAGCACACTCACATTCACACCTACGGACAATTTAGAATCACCAGTTAACCTCAACATGTTTTTGGATTGTGTGGGAGGAAGCTGGAGAACCCAGAGAGAACCCACGCTGCACAGGGAAAAAATGCAAACTCCACGCAGACCTTGCAGCCCCAGCTAGAAAACATAATCATTAAAATTAGCTTGAAATCACTGTATGTGTAATGCATGTAGAATATATGAAAGTTTATCTTTTTGAATTGGATAACAAGTAAAAAAAAAAAAAAAAAAAATCAAAAAAATAACTTTTCGGGATATTCTAATCTTTTGAGATCCACTTGTAGATTACTGGTGTCAGGTCGTCATTTCTGCTGGGCCAAAGATTTTGATCCTGCAATAAGACAGTCCAACTTGACTTCCTCATTGAATCTGCCATTTAATGACTGTGCTTGCCACCCTGCATGGAAATGTTTCAACCAAAACAATTGCCCTGTCAACATTTTGCAGTGGCATCATGCAACATCCTGGGCTTAGCGCTGCCAAAGACAATAGTGATTAGTTTTAAGAAATACAAACAACCCAGGGTTTTCTTTCCTCTATAGCAGAATGATAACAAGGTAAACCCTGGAAGTTTGAATCCATCTTTTTGAGACTGTTATCAGTACACAGTAGTTTCAAGGCGGACACTGACTGCTGATGTTGCTCATGACATGTCTTCCAGCTCATCAAAAACCCTACATGGCCAAGTTAACAAGGTAAGGACAGAGAGGAGGCCGTGATAAAATGCTACATAGAGAGATTATTAGAACACTCAATCTGTTGTCACTGATGTAAATAAGGTGGACACAAAATTAGAAAAACAGCTAAAAAAAAATACTACCAAGCTCGAAGTTGGGTTGAGTGGAACCAAGGCCTCTTTAAAACTGTTTTAACACCTTCAGGAGTGCACTGTAGTGGAGTTTGATTAGACGTGACTAGGTGTTTTGAACAAATATGTGCATTTTTATCTGGTTGTTATTCCCCTTTAAGTCAGTGCAACTTGTGCTCACCACCCACCACATCCACAGCTCTCTTCTCCACCTCCAGCTCTGTTCCTGCTTGACTTTCTGCTGTGCGGAGCCTCTTCGGTGGGTTCATGTCCACCTCTGACCCCCTGTCCAGCTCCTCCGAGTCCTGAAGGTACATCGACAGAACACAAGATATTCGCTGACGAGGAATCATTTAACGCTCATATTGTAAATGTTTCTTAAACAAAACTGATCTACATCAACTAGTAACATCGCCGTAAAGGTGTTCTGTGAATTTTAGTCGCAGTTCTGGTGTCAGTTTTCTCAAACGTGCTGCTCAAACTCGCAGCATGGAGAGCAACTCGACCACTTCCGCAAATAATGAATCTCGGACTCTCATTGGCTGTTGGAAAACACGGACAGACACAGGATTCGCTCCAATTGGCTGTCAATCACGTGACGTCTTTGACCCTTAAAAATAGATCTTCAGTAAACCTGTTTCGTTTTTTTGTTTGGAAGAAGTTGTATATTGATAAAGACTGGAATTTTTTTTGGTGTTTAAAATAAGGTGTGAGATGCATATCTCAAAATACTGCACAGGTTAAATCAGTTGTTTCAGTTGTTTAAAGATATAGCTTCAGCATTGACTCTCCTTGTTCCTCTGTCACCATCGACAGACTGTACTTTTAGTCCGATGTTTTTTTGTTTGTTTGTTTGTTTTTACATGACTTTAATGTTTTCGACTTGTTTACTTTTTAAACAGAAAAATGTGATACTTGCTCAAATTCCTAAAGTTAATTATCCTATTTTTTCCTCATAAAAGACCTGTACATAAAATGTATTTCATTATTCTTATTTTTTTTATTACCAATATTCCATATACTTACCTGACTGTCTTTATGTCATACTTTGAGTTCTACCTAAATACAACACTGCACAAACTTTAAAGCTGTGAAACTAGAGCCTTATCTAATGAATTTAATTAATAATTAATTTTATTTTGTTGTTTTTTTCTTTTCTTTTTAGTGGTTTGTTTCTGTTCCTCTTTTATTTTTGTATTGATGTATTATTATGATCTTTGCACTATCTTGAGCACAAGATAGTTCATTACCTCATTACTATTACTGGTATCAGAAATTTTGTAAATGAAGTAGAAGAATAAATATTTTGACGAAAAATGAATCCTTGATTTTCTCCTGCTCTTTCTGAATGATATAATTTAATATTATGACATGGTTTAAATAAAGCACAACATGGAGAATTCCCAACTCAAAACTGACAAATGATGATTAATGCCCTATTAGGATTTATGTATTGGTTATGATATTATGTTAGGAAATTAGTGAAAGCAGTCAATGGAATTTTATGTGGCCACTATGTCTAGCATTTGTATTTTGGGTTTCTCTATTTTGACAAACAATTCTTTGCACAGGGTCCAATTATTGAAGTAATAAGTAAGCAAGTAAGCTCACATTTCATGGTAATCGTCAGTAGGTTGTTTAAATATATGTAAAACGGCATTAAATGAATTGTTTTATCTGATTGTACATGTTACAGTTGCAGTCTGATGAGAGTCAGTGACTCTGCAAATGTCACTGATGTAAAGTTTGTGCTATTTCTCTATGTTTTATGTTCAAGTAAATGTCAGAACATTTGACTGAATACCCACTAAAGTTAACAGCTTTTCTTCTCCTTTGTTGTGTTTGCTCAGACTCTCTACTGATGACATGTAACAGTGCACCTCTCTCTAGCTTTCCTGTCATGTTGCATAGGGACCAGATCACCGTTTTCTATGTTAATGTTGGCAGCTGTAGCGTGGGAGGTTTGTCTTGGTGAACGGACAGAAAAACAGGATGGGTTTAAATATTGTTCTTGACTGTCGTTTTTATTTTCAAAGGTATCAGAACCGTGAGAAACAGAGTATGTACCAGTCTGTGTGTGGTGGTGTGGTAGCCCTACATGTGATTGTGACATTATTGTAGTCAAGATGCAGACATTATGATATGAGTCAGAGGTCAACCAACTTCCTGGATTAGGAAATGTGTTATCCATGTGAGATCCACTTTCTGCAGTATAGTTTGTTAAGCCACCTTGTTACTTTCATTTTAATCTTCATTTATTCTTTTGTTGTTTGTTTCCTGATAAAACAATTTATCAGCAATAAACAGACAAAAGCCTGAAGCAACATAAGCTGCTTAACTTGCATGTTATTCACTTTACACACGGAAACTGTTTCTCTCTTCTGGCTGTTATTTTTTAATGAATTTTAGAACACGCACACGTACAATCCTCATTATTCTGACCATTTTGTCCAGACAGGATGTCGTTGAGATGCTGCTTTAAATGAGTGAGCACCGTGTGCACGCATACATGTCGATGCTGGTTTCTCCTGCAGACTAATTGCTCCCACATTGCAGCAGCATCTCGGTCAGACGAAGCTCAATTTATCACTCTGAATGCTTCTTTAAATTGGATGACTGCCTCACTGCAGGCCAGGAACAACAGCTCCAGGGGGGCAGCAGACTCGGGCCAAGATCAAGAATTATTCATGCTTGAGTGCTCGATAAGTGGAATCCAGAGAAAATTCGGCCTCATTATACAGTTGCACTGGCGCGCGCACACACACACACCTGCTGCACAGAATAGCAGGAATGTTTGCTTTCATGCCTGCACGATCAATCTTTTACTTTTGAGGAATTAGCATCTAACAAAAGTGTTATTAAAACTTTGTGTTACTGTATTTTGAAATAAAAGACTCCATAGAAAGCATCCATTTATCCTTGTGTTGGACTGGGGCTGTGAAGCAAACCAGATATTAATTTTCTGGCTAATGAGAGATTGATTGTTCCAGAGAACCATGCATGATTAACTTAAGCAGCATTATATTATGCAGACGTTTCAGTCTTAGAGGTTCAAATTGAGGTTATGAGTCCGTTATGACCTTGCACTGCAGATCCACAAGGTCTCTAATGACTTCACGGGTACTTTTGCAATACAGAATAGTTTTCACTCACTCTCACAACTGTTCCCACAATCACTCACTGCCGCCTGTTTACCTCCCTTCCTTCGCCAAATCAACACCACATGGCGATGTTGCATATCCAGCGTGCACACCAGTTGATTTAGTGTATCAGGAGGCTGCTCGAGACTGCAGCTGCTTAGATCTGTGATCAGGCTGCAGTTGATTTTGTTTGGACAGAAATGCCAGACATTAAAGAGAAGGGAAGTGTGTGAGTGTGTCTGGAGTTGCCGGCATGATTGGATTTCCTTGATTCATTTAGTTTCGCTTTGGGAATTGGGAATATCTGACCTTTGGAGAGTCTGCAAGAGGAAATTTGTGATCATTTAAATGTATCTTGTGCAGGAACATATGCAGAAAAAAAAGACAGAAAGTGTAGGAGCATTTTGACAATGAGGATGGATACATACTGACAGGAGATATTATGAAGGAAAAATGAATTGAAATGCCATTTTACCAGCAGCAGGGCCTTAACCAGTAAATATCAGTCCTTTGATTTCCGACTGCCATGACCATTTGGGCCAGAGCAAAACTGCATGATATATGGAAAACTTGGAAACTTGTTTAGTTAGATTAAAACTCATATTTACATGACAGTGCAACAATCAGCATAGGAACGGCTGGAACCACCAGAGAGGTAGCTGTGTCTATCTTGTATCCCATATGTGAAGTTATCACTCATCGAGTAAGTGGGAGGGGGAGGGATGTAACCACCACGGTTTTACACTGCGTCAGTGCTACCACCTAGTGGTTATAGAATGGGACACTACAGAGACTGTTGCCACAAGCCAGTGAAGCTTTCATGAACCTGAACAATCCCATATTCTTGTAGTCGGCTGCTATCGAAGCACTTTTGCACATTCGTGTGGCCCTCCATACTTCCCAAACATGCCAAATTATCTAAAAGCCAGCCTGTGGACTCCTAGCAGGTTAACCTGTCAAGTTTTAGCTTGAGGATAATATTCGAGTCTTTGGAAAGACCTGATTCTGCAGTTTGGTTAAGTAACTTTGAGTGTCTGTTAGTTTTAATAGTCTCCATCAAAATTGTCTCCAGGTACTTTCTTACTTCTGTTACGATCATGTTAGCAGAGGTATTTGAAGGTTCACGCTCATCCATCCTTCCATTTTCTTCTGCTTATCAGTTCGCGGAGGTAACAGATGAAGCAGGTCATTCAAGACATCTTTCTCCCCAGCAACACTTTCCAGCTCCTCCAGAGGGATCCTGAGATGTTCCCAGGCCAGATGACATATATAATCCTTCCAGGGAGTTCTGGATATACCCTGGGGTCTCCTCCAAAGGAAGTCATCCACGAGGAATCATAATCAGACACTCAAACCACCTCAACTTGCTCTTTTTGACGTGCAGGAGCAGCCACTCTACTCCAAGCTCCCTCCGGATGTCTGAGTTCTCACCTCATCTCTAAGGCTGAGCCCAGCCACCGTACAGAGGAAACTCGTTTTGGCTGCTTGTACCCGTGATCTCATTCCTTCTGCTTATGTTTACTGAATACAAACCCAGTTATTGCACCACACTCAAACCACAAAGACACTCAATGTATTTAAAGGTCCAAATTCAGTATATACTGAGATTAAAGAACACCTTGAACCTCCAAGTAAAAGGTTCACCATCTTTAACATGTTAGCAAAGTTTTGGTAATTTGCAGTAAACACAAAGTACAGCTCAAAGCTGATGTAAATGTCGCTAGCTTACCAAGCACTGCACAATTTAACAAGTTTTTTTTTTTTAACCGTGGTAATTAATCCATATTTTGACCTGATTATGGCACAAAATTGAAAAGGCAGGTTGTTTATCTTCTGGGCACAATGAAAACTGTGATTGTCTTTTTTTGTTTTTCAATTTTTGCTATGTTCAGACATTTTATAGATTAAATAATTAAAACAGATCCCCTCTTCTACTTGTACTCACTGTGGGCTTGTAGTAAAACAGCCTATACTGTCTCAGTTTATGTGACGTTGTGCCGGTAATCCAACTGGCCTGTTAAAGCACTTAAAGAAGAGAAAAGTGGGACAGAAATACAGTAATAATGATCTTCTCCATGCATGCACGGCAGCATTGCTTCTATCTTGTCTGTTTTTTAGCAAAACATTGTGTAGCATCAAAACAAAAACTGCAACGTTTTTCCCACAATGCCTTGCAAAAGGCTCACTCGTGTCTCATAGGAGAACGTGGTTGAACATGGTTGCATGGCCTCATCATATTGCGCTCAGTGGGACTCCATAAAAACAAATTTACTCATTGCTCATCAGTCAATCAAGACCTTAAAAATAATGTAATGTAAACACCATCCATTTATTGATATAATACTTTGTAATACAGCGATATCATTCTATTAAATACATATGTACTAAGCCTGTGTGTATCTATAGGCAGGCATTTCACATTCAAGTCCAGGTTCAGTGCAGTGATGACCAAACATCTTCTCTGGTTCGTCTCAGATTCTTTTGTTCCGAACACAGCAGTGAACGATGAGCAGAGGAGAGGAGCTACTGCCCAGAACGTCAGTTCATCACCTGGAATCATTTCACCTTATTTCTATTCAGATTTCCTTTAAACCTCCCTCCTCCTATCTGTTTTCTTCATCCCACATTGTTTTTATCTGGAATAAAGTCACTGATCTCCCTGTCATTTTTTCAAATTTTTTCTGTCGATATATGCCTTTTCATCCTCTAAAGTTGAATCTGATTGGAGGAGGGACAGAGCGGTCTCCCTGAGGTCCTCCTAAACGGTGCCAACATGAACCAGCCACGAATGCATTGTGGGTCAGCTGAAGAGACAGGCACGGGGGTCCGATAGGGTACAATCAGTGATCAGCTTAGGTCCGGATTGAGACAGTGACGTCTAGCTTAGGCTGGTTTAGTCCAGTTTTGAATCCACCTGGATCCTGTTGGGGCTACTCGCCTTGAAGGACAAATAACTGAGCTAACTTAGGACCAGATGCTGTTGAGCTCTGCAAGGTGACAAGGCAATGCAAAAATAGATACCATCATGTAGATGTGGAAAAGAGTCGATTCGTTGTTGAACAGAGCTGCGTGATTTCTGGAATCTTACAGTAACACACTTTTTGGACCTTCTCCATTGAGCTCAAGATACTGTTTGACTCATGAGAAAAAGAGGAAATATTTGAAGAACTCATATCAGGTGCTCAGCAGAGTAGAATAGTTTGGGGTTGGGATGCATTCATGCTTTTGTCGGTGCAGCAGCAGCAGTAAGGATCCTGGTGAATCTTGGTGGACAATCAAAGTGTGTGGCTTCATCCCAATCTTCTAAAGGAAAAGTCTCTGTGGTCCAAGGGTGCTCCGAGTCGTCACTGTTGATGGGGAAAAGGCTTTGAGGGGACTGTCGAGATTCACCCTGTTAGTTTGGTGTTTTGTGTACATGTTTTGTCTATGCACCCTGAAGTGCGCCTGAGTGCATGTTTGAGTGTGTGTGTGTTTGTGTGTGTGTGTGCGCGCAAGTGAGCTTTTCTTCAAGAGTTCAGGTTATATAGCAGCTGATGTGTCTTTAGACAGACACAAAATACATCCTGTCGGAGTTTTATCCACTTCAAGTGTGCACAATGACATCAGACCAGGATCCGGTTCAGGCTCATTTCAACTAGTCTCAACGTAGTTAGCATAGATTGATCCAAAAAAAAGAAAAAAAAAAAAGAGTCCGTTCGGCCGTTTCCCTCTGTAGACCAGAGCTTTGAGGATGCAGGAGTCTCAGAGGAAGGGGTTGTGGCTGTGTGTCTGTGTCTGTGACTGAGTGCGAGGTGCCGGTCGTGGGGAGAGGGGCAGCAGGGGCTGTGGGAGGTTCGAGGGAAGGTCCAGGAGTCCAGCAGGAGGCTGCGTGAGGGAAGAGGGGATGATGGGCGGCTGGTGGAGCAGAGGAAGAGGCAGTGACGGGCTGTAGGACAACATGTGGGGGGGCAGCGGGGAGGTGGAGGCTGGTCGCATTTGGTTGAGGGTGAGGCGAGGCTGGTCGCAGTGGAAGGGATTGGTGGGAGATGGTGCACTCAGACCTGCAAAGACAGAATTTGGTGGTTGGAAAAGTAATAGTCACAGATGTATTTTTAAATGTATGTAAGTGGAAGCAGGTGTTTGTTACCTGAGAGGAAGGGGTTATTGTGCGTCTTGCTAGGGGGATTGGCGGGAATGAGGGTATCTAAATTGACCAGCGAGGCCCCTGTAGGTCCCAGGAAAGCCTCTGGAGTCCGGCACACCCGTGCGGGTGGGGCGCTGAGTGGGGGTGCCAGCCGGGACAAGTCGAACATCTCCGGGCTGGCCGACTCTCGTCCGTTTACCAGGGGTTTCACCGGTGGATCCGTTCCAAATGGATCTGGCTTGGAGTCTAGTCCAGAAAAGAGGTCAGACTCTGGCTTTCCTCCAAACAGCTCTGCATCTGCACCAGGAAGGGAAATGAATTTAAAAATAGTTCTTGAGGAAACATGATGCAATGCGATGTCACATGCTGCATGGATGACAAATTGAAAAGACCAAAATAGTGTTCTGAGTAAAGTCTGAGATCACCATGAGCCTTCAGAACAGTTTGAGGGGTTCTGTGTTGGCCCGCAGTGTACAAGGATACTACAAAAAATTCTCACAAAACAAACAAGGGATGTAACTTTAGTCTCTACATAACTGTACACTATAAAGCCTTACATCACTGTCCACAAAACTCAGATGTTTACGGCAATCAGACACAAAAGGAGAGGAGAGGTTTAAGCTGGTCACACAGCATCAGGTGACTTTTACTCCATGCACCTTACTCACACGACCTGCACCGTTTGACTTCTATCTGTTTTCCAATCTGAAACCCAATCTTGCCATTTTCATAGCAATGATGAAGTCTTGCATGCTGTTGAGGAGAATCCAGAGGCCCTAAATGTGACCTTATGGAATAGTGATGCTTGAACATCAGTGGACCACTGAAGTTAAAGGAGACTGTGCTGAAAATAATGCAAGAACAATGTTTCTCCTGTGATGTTTGGTCGAGAACTTCTTTAAGCACCCTCTCATTGTGTTCAGCCACAAAAATCAATGGCATCAAAATTTACAGTAGTCGGACCAACAGCTCACGGACAGTTTTTCACAAAATATAATATTATATCTTTCACACTCAATGGTGTTTTTGATGCAGTGCTTTTCTTATTGACTCTGCAAGGTCCAGTAAATCTTACAGTGCTTCTGGCGGTCTTGTATTACCTGTGGGACTGGCAGGTTGAGGGGAGGACACTTGGGGTATCTCTTCTTTAGGCTTCTCCTCCTCCTCTGCAGCGAACGGATCTGTCCTGTCACCATCTGCATGTGAAAACGCAAACTGATGAAAGCAGCAAAAACACAATGCAGTGCTTGAGTTTTTGGACATGCACTGAAAACTACAGTGGTGTGCACTAATAAAAAAACTTGCGATGCTGGCCAGTGTTACTGTAAAAAGGCACTGCACCTCCATCTGTCGGGCTGTCCCACGCATTATTAACAGGACTGGAGGCCGCGGGCGCCGCTTCCCAGGGGTCTGTGCATGAGTTGGCGCATGGAGCCCAGGGGTTGGACGCGTTGGAGGAGGAGGGAGGGGCCGTCCAGGGGCTTCCAATCACGGGAGTGCTGGAGTGGACCGCTGTGAAGATGGAGAAAATTTGCTTTGAGTGTAGCGTTGCAGGACACGGCTGCTGTTTGGAATACAGAGACTGTAGCTCTGGCATCACACCAGGCTTGCATCTTAAAAGCGTCGGCGATGAGTCACCCACCTACGGAGTCCCAGGGGTCGGAGGTGACGTTAGAGGTGGGCTGCGAAGAGCTCCAGGGGTCACTGGGGGCAGGAGGGGGCTCGGATGAGGGTCCAAATATGTCCACCAGGTCCAACATGGCGGACTGCAGAGGGAGCAAAAATCTTACAATCAAACATCCTCTTACGTGCTGCAGGAGTTGCGTGACTTAATAAGAGCAAGAAAGAAAACTTATGCAACCCTGTTTGTAGTTAATTTAAGAAGCCGAGGCAGAATGTGTGAATCGAAACTAATGTTGCAAGAACAGGAATTCTTTCTTGATGCAGCTGAGATTTAGTCACTCAGAGAGGCTGACCACATTTACATGCAAGCTTAGTTTCCAACTCAAAATATGACAATGTTTCTAATTTGATGCAGCTCGTGTGAAGAGCCTGTTGCATTAGGCTATTCTGAATTGTTGCGAGTGCAGCATTTTCTGATACAGATGTGGAATATGCTGAGATTATTCATGAATTTGGAATCTCACGGGGAGTTTTTCCTGAAGTTTATAGTGCCTCTTGCGTGTTTATGGCTAGCTCTGTGTGTTGTACACAAACCCACAAACCCACAGTTTGCAAGGCTCAGGTGGAGATGCAGGCATGTAAAAGAAAAGGCCATACTTTTGGCCGGAAGGAGAAACGTACCTTTGTTTTGACATTATGAATGACTTGGATATGGGCAGGTTTTTGGATACATGCAAATACTGCATGAGAAGGTGATTACAGGAATGAAACAGGTGTGTTCATATGGTCAAACAAGTTGCATCACTTCATGTAAACAGGAACAGTCACGAAATATTACTTTCGATGTGCCATGTGAACAGCTCAGTAGGAATACTATCTTTTCTTTTGGAATAAGGGCAAAAAAAAGAGAGAATATTTTGTGTATGTAAACAAAACATTAAAAGTTAGTGTTTCTTTTTGGGTTTAGAACATCTATTGGATGTTCTCAGGGGAAAAAGAAGCAGAAATCAGCTTTTTATTAACTCATTACAAGAATATATTTTTCACAGAACAATAGCAACTAACTAAACCCACCCTGACATTGCCTGATAATTTTGTTTTACCAAGAAAAGGCTTATCTCACTTTTAAAAAAGAAAGTTTATTTCAATTATACTTCACTATCACTCAACTGAAAAGACACATTTTTTATCCTTGTGAGTTATACAGTTGAGCGATCCATCATTGTAGAGTCTGAGTTATGTGTCAGAGATGCAGGTTGTTCAGTCTTGTGCATCTTCTATCTGCTGTTTGGTATTGTGTGCATGTTGGCAATGCAAATTATGTTGCATTATGCAGTGAAAAGTGCTTGAGGTAATTCAGAAATTCATAAGTTTGTCAGGCTGCATCTGGCTCCGGGGTTTAGCGTTTATGCTGCAGCGCCTCAGTTTGCAGTGCAGCATCTTACTGCAGAGCCTGTTCAGAAAGTTTTGCTTATTAAATACCCTGCACGCATAGGACCTTTCCAAAAACATATTGACCTCCACATTTAAGGGATTCTTGTTTTTTTTGTGCACGCAGCATAACGCAAATTTATGAGGTGATATTTTAAAACTTTCTCTCACAGTGCATACACAGAGCTGTGAAAAAGTATTGGCCCCTTGCCCAATGTCTTCTATTTTTGCATATTTATCTCACATAAACATTCACAAAATGCAGTTTTTAAATGATGATTCATTGAAGATTTATTTATAAACCTGTACCATCCCTGTGAAAGAGTAATTGCCCCCCAAATCCTGTGCTTTGGTTTTGGGGGGCAATTACTCTTTCACAGGGATGCTTAGGCCTCCCCTGGCAGCAACAACTGCAGTTAAACGTTTGCGACAGCTTGTGATCAGAGGAATTCTGGCCCACTCTTCTCTGCAGAATGCTTATTCGGCCACCTTAGATGGCTTTTGAACATTAGCTGCCCTTAACAGGTCTTGCCACAGCAGCTCAATTGGATTCAAGTCCTGACTTTGACTCGGCCACTCCAAAACCTTCATTTTGTTATTTTTGAGCCATTCAGAGGTGGACTTGCTTGTGAGCTTTGGGTCATTGGTATGCTGCAGAATCCATTTGTGCTTAAAGTTCAGGTCATGAACTGATGGACGGATATTCTCCAGGAGGATTTTCTGATAGAGAGCAGAAATTATGGCTCCATCAATGATTACAAGTCCATCAGGTCCTGTGAAAAGCAAATCAGCCTCAAGCCATCACACTACCACTACCGTGTTTCACTTTTGGTATCATGTTCGTCTTGTAACGGGACCCAAGTCATCCAAAAAGTTCTACCTTTGACTCATCAGTCCACAGGATGTTATCCCAGACGTCTTGGGGCACTTCTCGATATTTTTTGCAAATGCCAGCAAATGCAACTCTCCCATGGATGCCATTTTCGCCCAGTGTCTCCCTTACTGTGGAATCATGAACACTGACCTGAACTGAGCCAAGTGAGGCCTGCAGTTTTTTTTTTATGTTTGTCTGGGTTCTTTTGTGGCCTCCTGAGTGAGATGTCGACCCGCTCCTGGAGAAGGTTTACGTTTTCTACATTTGTAGATAATGGCTCTCACTGGACTCCCAGAGCTTTAGTAATGACACTTGTAACCCTTTCCAGAATGTCAGTGACTTTGTTTCACATCTGTTCTTTAATCTCTTTAGAACGTGGCATCATGTGCTGCTTTTTCAGACCCTTTAGCCTACAGCACAGTGATGTTTAGATTTAAACAAGCCTGCCAGTAATCATACGTGGGTGTCGCTGGAGAAATTGAACCCAATTGTCAAATGAATTTGTTCATTTGGTAGATTGGCAGCTATTACTTTTTCACATAGCTGAACAGTATCTTTGCTTAAATGAATGAAATCACCCTGTAAAAACTGCATTTTGTGTTTTTCTTGGGTTATCTTTGTCTTATATTAAAATTAGTTTGATGATGTAAAACATTTAAGTGTAACAAATACGCAACAATAGAAGATATCTGTAGGGCCGCAATTGTTTTTTTGTTTTTACAGCACTGTAGTTCTGAATCTGCATTGTAGTGAAATGGGTATTTGGAAAAGTGATACATAAAAAATATAAAAGAATAAATGCACATGAATTACCAATGTAATAAAGTGATTTCATATCAGTGCATGGAAAACAAGCACCTGAAATTGAAATGATTGTTACACAAATAAACACAAATAACTAATAATCTTGTTTCAAAGGAAGCAATGATCTCAGATACACTTTTTCATCAGTGACATCCAGGAGTGGAAATGCAGTTTTCATCTTCTTATTACTGTGAAGGAAAAATGACTTTCCTTATTGAGATATTGAACCCTGATTAACCTCCTTAGATAAATGTAGTGCCTGTAGCAGATGTGCACCCTGTAACCTCTGTAGATTCTGAACCTCGCGTAAACCTCATTGGAGGAGGACAGGCCAGAACAGCCTGAACCTCCCAGGACCAGATGATACCCAGGCACTTATCTTTGTTTCCCTTTCTCCCATAAATCTGGACGTGACTCCCACCGAAGGAGAATATAAGACTAAAGGTGTGAGTGCGATCTTTAGAATTGATGCTGGCGTTGCATGTGTCAACTGCTGTCCTGTTGGTGTCACTTCTCCTGATGCATCAGGAAACCTTATTTCAACCTAAGTCATCTGAGTCTTTCTGTCTTTCTGTGTCAGGCTCCTCATCCTACATCAAACTCTTCCAGAATTTCCACAACAATTACCACTCTTAACATAAGAGCCCTGAATGACAAAAAACGGTGACAGATTTAAAAAAAAAAAAAGAAGGTAAATTTATACCTAACAGCACCTGCATCATTTTGAGGTTTTTAATTTCTTTCCTTTTTTGAATGTTTTTTTTTAATGTTATTTTTTATTTTTTATTGTTTTTATTCCTATGGCAACACCTTTTGCTTACTACTGTGTGTCAGAGAGCTGCATCATAAATCGGAGGTTAACCTTCAATTAGTTCCAGTGAGAGTTACAAATGTAAATCAGGTGATAAGACTTTCTCAGTGCGATGTGTCCTGGGTTGAGGCTGTTCCACCTTCCACTTAAAGATGGGCCTATTTTTTTTTTTTTTTTTTTCTGTGAGGCATGCTGAAACCTCATTAAGAAAGATTGCTACCCCAGTAAAGTTTATTCTAATATCATTTTATTGTCATATTGTCATTTCAAGAATAGCCTCAAGGGACTTCAACAAGCATTTAATGTTGTCCAATGAGAAATAAACAGACCTTGTTCCGAGAAAATCAATGCATTTTACATTTCTTAAGCATTTATTCTGAATGCCATAACTGAACCCTAAATACATTAACTTGGACAGTTCAAATGTGTTCATATTGGATTTTTGCATTAGAAACCTGAAAGTGCAAAGTGTGTTAATGTAAATGATCCGTTTAATCTCAATATTCACTTTAATGTTTGCTGAATGTTAACACTCCTGAATGTTTGACACTAATTTTCACACTCATTTCCTGAAGGGGTGAAGGTGCGACGCTCTACTCTCACTTTCAGCCTCAATTAACAACATAATATGGAAGCCAGTCACAGTCGACATTACACTCGAGTGAAGTGTGGAAACTAAAAACATCTGGCTAAAATACACTGAGAGCTGACTTCTTTTTAGGAAATCTTGGGCCCACCATTTCCAGTTTAAAAGTATTCACCTCTTTTTGGAAGTTTTCCCCTTTTATTGCGTTTAACCATTGAATCATGATCGATTTAATCTGGCTTTTTTGACAAGAATTTACCAAAAAAAGACTCTTTCATGCCTAAGTGAGAACAGATTTTTACAAAGTAACGTCAATTAATTTAAAATAAACAATAAATAATACCATCAGCAGTGATTCCTTTTAAAGTGACTCACCTTATTCAACATAGGTGCAGCCAATTAGTGCTAGAAGTCACACAATTAGCGAAATGGAGATTATGTGAGCGCAGTGAATGTGACCGTAATATGAAGAAATCTGTATCTGAAAGGTCCACGTCCAGTCACTGGTTAATCAGCACTCTAGGCTACAACGACACCATTAAGACAAAAGATCGCTCCAAGCAGCTCCGTGAAAAGGTTACCGAAAAGCATAAGTGAGAGGATGGATACAAGGAAAAGTCACTGAATATCCCTTGGAGTGCAGTTACAGTCGTCCTCAAATGTATTCACACCCTTCCATTAAAGAAAAGGCAACATTCACAATATTCACTCAAATAACTAGAACTTGAAAAAAAGCAATATTACATTTTTTTTAAATTGCTAAATTATAATTTAGTGAAATAAGACATTGCTTTTGAATTGTGGTTGAAAAGAATAATAAACAAACAAACAAACAGAACTGTCCTGGACAACTTAGAGCACTTTGCTGGTAAGCAGTGGGTCAAAATCAAAATACCTGTCAACAGGTGCAGAAGTCTGATGAAGAGTTACAGAAAACACTTGATGGCAGTGATTGGCTCAAAGGGTTGTTCAACTAAATATTAGTTTATGGGTCCCATCATGCTTGTTTGCTTGATTTTTACTTATTTATTTATTTCAGCAATTTCCCTGAGGTTTCCACCAAAGGGATCAATAAAGTTCTATTCTATTCTATTCTATTCTATTCTATTCTATTCTATTCTATTCTATTCTATTCTATTCTATTATTTCTATTTTTTTAAATATTTCTGTTGAACCACAATTCAAAAGCAATGTCATGATTTTCATTAAATAGTTTATTTGTTATTATTTCTGTCAATGTCAACTTATTTCATTTACAGCTGTTTTCTTCTTGTTTAATGGGAGGGTATGAATACATTTGAGGACGGCTGTAAATCCATCATTAAATTATTAAATACTTGTCAAAAAAAAGCCAAAACAAACTAACTGTGGTTCAGTGTTGAAAAGTAATAAAAAGGGAAACTTCTAAGAGGGCTGGATACTGTTCATAGTCACTGTAAACGTCTGAAAAATATTTACTTACTTAGTAGATGCAATTTTTTAAATGTATTAAAAGTCAATGTTTTTTGTGGCTTTTGTGCTGTTGAAGGAATAAAAACACCTTATTGGAAACAGAATCTATTGGAACATCACCAGATTAGAAAATCTGATAATAGGCCACAAATCAAATGCTATTTATTAAAAGTGTGACGATACAGGACATGATGGTCTGTGGCACGGTGTTGGGTTTTGGGAATATGTCAGGCATGTTGTCAGTCAGGAGCAAACGTTTCCATTGTGCCTAATTTCCATGGCTTTTCTCTGACACATCTGAAAGCACCTGCTTTTCTACGATAACAATGTAATATGACCAATTAGGAGCCGCGGGGACCTTTACATAAGACAGCTGGTGACTCTGATTGGCTTGTTGACAGGCCAATGAGTAACGGATCCGATGTGCTACAAGATAAGGAGTACGCTTTCAGGGAAATGTCATGCTGAGCTCAAGGTTAGATGAGACACAGTCATTATCATTCAGCAGGCAACTCTCGCTGCTCGCTGCCGTTTCTCTCTTAAACCTCCCTCATTACGCTGATCTATGTCTCATCTTCCCTCCCGATCTCGCAGTCCACACCGTACGCTCGACTCCATTCTCTAAATGCTCGCCGGCAGCCACCTACAAATGTGCTCGCCCACCTTTCCGCGCAAACACACACACTCGTGTTTTTTAAACTCACCTCGCGTGTCCCTGACTGGCTCTCTCTCCGGCTCTCATCCAGGGCCTTCTGTAGCAGCGACTCGTCTCCTTGGCGACAGCGCTGCTCCTGCAGGGGCGGCATCGTGACATCATCAACATTTTTGCCGGGGCGATGAGTGCGGACACACAACAGCATGTACACACACACACAAACACACACACACACAAAACACAGTTCTTTGGCTTGGGAGAAAGCAGCACGAGTGGCTTTTTGTGCTTTTGAAATATTTAGTCGACAAAGAGCAGGAGGTGGTTTAGAGCAAAGCAGAGAGAAAGTCTCCCTAAATCATATGGAAAAGTTTTGCCATCACTTGTTTGGGACATTAATATTGGTGCTGTGTTAAGTTAAGAGAGATGACAAGAACAACGGCCGGCTACAGAAGGAGGAAAGGAAGGAAAGGGTAAGCATTTTAGTGAAGATATATGAGCCATATTGTCAAATACACAAAAAGACGCACAGATAGAAGGTTAATAGAAGTTCAGACTGAGCAGATAGGCGTGTTTTTGTGTGTACCTGCTCATGCTCCTTTTGGCTAAGGCTTTAAGCAATCTGTAGTTGTGTGTCTTCATCCATCTCTATGGTAACAGGGTAAGGAAGGGCTATCTAGACGAGGGTGGGCGAATGTTCAAAACGTTTGTAACATTTTCATTTTCATTAGTGGAACCATCAGGAGGCAATTAGACACGTGTGGCTCCGATACACAGATCATGTGGAGAGACGCTACAAAACCACACAAGGTACTGAGATTATACACTGTCGGAGCCCGTGTGTTGTTTTTGTTTTTACCTTCTGACTCTCCTCCCTGCTCATGGCTAAAGCCAGCTGGAGCTGCAGCTCCTCCTCCCCGCTGGTCTGAGGTCGAGCCTGCTCCAGGTCTGAGGCGGCGCGAGGAGACGAGGACGAGGCTGCAGAGGGAGTTTTGGGGAGGAAGGAATAAGGTCGTGTGAGGAGAGACGATCGGATTGACGTGAGGATGCATGAGCAGACGCACGGAGACAAGGAGCACAGGAAAGCGTGGGGCTGATTTGAATATTTTCAGGCCTACGCTGCAGTATTGATAATCTATGTGGTGGACCGTCCAAAGTGCTGGGCTACAGCACAAAAAGCATTTCATTAGGGATTTGGCGATAAGCCTGAATACAAATGTGTATTTTTAACTCTTGATCCATTTATTCACAAATTGCCAGCATACAGAAGAAGTCGTTCGGTGCTCCAGTTAATCTGACTTATTTGATTAGTTTCAGACATGCCACAATGCCATAAGGGGGAAAATAAATCACAAAAAAGTGGGTAAAAATAGACAAAAATCCTAAAATAATGTCTAAAAACAAGCAGAATGAAGTTCAACTCATTCCCTACTACCCGCTACATGTCTGTACATCTCATATCTCACTGTTTCCTGTTTGCTTTCAACCTTAAACACCTCTAAAGAAACCCAAAGAACACCTTCACTGTTCCACATTATTTGATTTTGTTTCACTGTGAAGCACTTTGGTCACCCTTTGGGCTGTTGTAAAGGGCTGTATAAACGAACTTTGATTGACTGATTGATTTTTATGCTATTTTTTGGGGAGTGGGGGGGGAATGTTTTCTTAAATAGTTTTTTTAGTTGTACTCAGTTTGAGATCATCACCCAGACTGTTCCATAAGTTCACCCAACAAACTGAGAAACATCTATTTCCTCCTAATTCATAGACTTCAATGTTGCTTCTGAACAGTTGTTGTATTATTTGCTTTAAACAATTATTTGCGCAGTTCTGAAATTACCTAAATCAATACATGTTGAAGTATTTGTTTAGGAAAACAATACATTGGTGTGCTCATTCTATCCTACATTATGTGAATAGCTTTTTCTGTATTATTTTTACTGGATATAATGTGGTATTATATGTGCTGCCCCACACTTCTGCGCAGTAGATCAAGTACGGTAAAAACAGTGAGCAGTATAATGTAGGTTGAAACACTCACAGTTAAAGGAGGACGGAGAACCTCTGGAGCGGCTGAATTCCTCCCCGTACAGCACCGCCATGCTTGGCTGACTGGTGCGTCTGCCCGGGTGGTAAGACGGCGGTATGCCTCCGTACACGCCCCCGCCTCCGCCTCCGCCGCCCCCGCCGCCTCCGCTGCCCCCTCCAGCCATTCGCTCCTTGGTCTTCAGGGCCTGACTCCTCTCCTGGCGGAGTCGCTCCTCGTCCCGGAGGAGACACACCAGCTGGCGGGCCTTTTCCCTCACGTTCGCCCCCTGGTCTCGGCCGTCGCGGTCCACGTACTGGAAGTCTCGGAGTGTCTGAAACGGCACACAGACACACAAGTGGCGTTTTGAGTCTTTTGGAGATTAACACCAGCTTTTAAAATTACATAGAATTCAAGTTGTGGTTAAGGAGATGCAGGAAAACCTGAATAATGTGACGCTCCAACAGAAATTCAGAGCACAAGAGGTCTTTTTTATGTTTCTCACCTGAGGGTCAACCAATACAGGGTTTTCATGGCCGATACTGATGCTGATTATTGTTAATTGAGAAAGACCAAGAGCTGATATTTGAGGCCCATTTACATAAAATATTAAACATCAACAGTATATGATAGCAGGAAAAACCTCATTCATTACTAGGCTTCTTCATTTATAAAGATTACTGTAACTGAATACACACAATAGAAATAAGAATCACAAAATCAAAGCATCATGTGTCGATTGATAGAGACTGATCAGTTTGTCTTATGCACTTTGTCTGCTCTTCTCTGTTTTCTTAATCTTGCTCTGTTCTGTCACTCATATTGCCAACAAGGCCCATATCTAAAAGCATTATCAGTTATTGTTTTCCAGACTCTGTTTCAGGGTAATCGGCCTCCCAACTTAGCTGCTAGTTTCCCGATCTGTGGTGACAGCTTGAGTTTCTTGTTCAGTTGAAGCTGATAGTGTCTCTGCTTGAGACCAGAGAGTTACTACAGCCAGAGAGAGGCGGCTGAGTCAGACTCTAAAAAGTAATAATAGTAGCAATATATCAATAACAACCCGTTCATATGGTGCAATAAATTGGCCTGTGGTATAATATGTTTTATTTCTGCCGTGGTAGTACAATACTGTTTTTTAGTATTGATTTATTTATTTTTTTGGCACACACTCTACAACGGTTTCTAATTTTATTTATTCGGGAACCTGTCGTTGCCTTTTACAACTTCTAGGTTTTTCTGTTTCTTTTATTATTGTGTCTGTGACCTGTGCTCGTTCTAAGGGCATTTAAGATACTTTTAATGTACAATAATCGACCAGGACGATATAATCCCTCTATCCCTATTCTCAGCCTTTTTAAATCACTATTTTACCTTGATTATTCATTTAGTGTTTACTAGTTAACTGTTCCAGTCAGCATTTGAATGAAATTTCAGTGTGTTAGAAGTGATTTTATTTACTCTGTGTGGTTTAACGTGGCGTAACAGGAACACGAGTGGTTGTCAAGGAAACAACAAATGAGGACCCCATTAAAGAATAAACCATAAGCACTCAGATTGCTCTCTTGTCATTTACATTTCAGTACCTGAATGGTGAAGGCATTCTCGCGGCACTGCTGGGCCACTCTCTCTGATCCTGTCTTCAGCAGGTAATCCAGCAGAGTCAAGGCCTGGAAAAACAAACGCTTATTATCACTCTGATACTCCCAAAATTAGTATTTTTGCAACATCTCTGTTCTACACATTGCAGCTGGCACGACTGTTGTTTTGTTTTGTTTTCCTTTTGTGAGGAAAAAAACAAGAAACGCACCAATAAATGGAGCTGCTGAGTGGTGGCGGTGAGAGAAGTAACTACATGTAAAGTAAGCCAGCTCGTGTCTTTGGTGAGGTCACCTTGTAGACATGTCTCCAGTTCTTGCCGCTGTCATTGAGGCGTTTCCACACCATGCCCATCACCTCAGCAAACGCCACCACGTTGAAGGTCAAGTCAGCGATCTCCGACATCAGAGACGACGAAGGGCCCCATGGATCATTCGAGGTGGCCTCGCGAACCTACCATGAGAGCAACCATGATGTCTGTTTATATTTCATGCAGTAATGCTCTTTCTTTTCAGGAGTATCAGTATCATAAAAAAGCAAATGCCTTCAAGTGTCAAAGCATTTATATTAGATTGCATCGACACAAAGAGAGGCGGTGGAGTTTGATCCGACGTGACTCTGCATTAATTTAAAGGAGTTTACGCTTTCTCAAAGTAGAAGCTGAAAAACATTCACAACACTGGAGCAGAATGCAGTTCATTTACAATACCTTGATCTCTGCCTCAGAATAGTTGTGCACAATGTTCTTCACCTGCCGGCGCAGGGCTGAGGTTGTCATGGTGACAGGTGATGAAGGATGTGGAGGGAGAGAGAGTAAAAAAAACAAACAAACAAAAAAAACAAATGCTCAACAGGTTTAGAAAAAGGGGGGAGGAGAAAAGGGGAATGTGGATGGAAGGAGGAGAGGGGAGGGGAGGAGAGGTAGCTACGCCAGTGAAGGCTCCTCTTCTCTGTCAGGAGTTAAAGGACGCCCCTGTGAAAGAGATAAAGATTATATATGAGTACGAATAGAGTCTAGAAGTAACTTTATATCCTTCTAAGTCTGCATTAGTTGATCCAGCTAACCAAAAAACTTTGCGTAAACCTTGGAAGCTACTGTGAGTTATTAAGATTCCATCCAACAGTTAGTTAAATACTTTGATCTGGACCGACGCTGCCATCTCTAAACGCCAGCACGGCTAAAAACAATGGGCTAAAGGCTGCAGGATTTGATTTATTTCTTTGCCATAGAACACTCAAAGCGATGTGAACAATGACTGATGATAGCAAATGACTGAGCGGCTCGTAATTGGCGCCCAATCGCACAGAAGTAGGTCATTCAAAGGCTCTGGCACTCAGGTGTCTGATGAAGCTTCTTGGTGGCTCATCTTATTCAGGCCAGCGTGCTTGTGTGCGTGCACAGACGCACACGCGCAACCCATTTTTCTCCTCCAAATTCATATTTCAGAGAGGACACAAGGGAATCGATCATTAAGGATTCCCGTGATACGTCTCCCTCCGCCTGCGACTATAAAACCTTCACTGACACAGAACGTAATTAACCCACTAAACCGAAGCTGAACTAGGGTGACCCCGCCAAACTAGACCTACCGTCGTCAGCCGTCGCCTCGCTAAGCTGTTAAATGATTAAAAAATAGTGATGCTTTTCAAATCCCCTGTCCCTCTGATCATGTTGTTGTCTTTCTTTTTTAAAAAAAAAAGTTTGAGATAAAGCTGAAGAGTTTTGTTGTTTCATCTGTACAGCCACACATACTATTTTTGTGTTTATGGCAAATTTCTGAATGAAATAAATCAGAAAACCAAACTCAGTCTGGCTTTACTTGCACCCATATTTAGTTAGTTTAAAGAAAATTATATTTTTAATGCCAAAAAAAAAGGACATTATGAGTTAGAGTGTAGGTTTTTCGATTACGGCTAATCATATGCAGACAAATGTTTCGACTAAACAATTACAAAGTGAGACTCAGGATTCTTAACAATCAATGTTATCATGTTTATTAAATCCTATTATATTTAGCTTATCATATATACTGTATGTCAGGATTGGTATAGATTGTATCTGCTGCTAAATACAAACCCTAGAAAAGCATTTAGATATAACTTGTGTTTTGTGGGAAAAAAAGAACAACATCTTGGCAGACATGTAATCATCACATTGTTTAGACTCTCACATATTAATATTTGTATTGTTAGTTATGAAAACTAGTGAAAAAACAGCATCTTTTGGCCTATATTATGTACTAGATAAAGAGTAAGAAATTAAAAGTGGTTGTATGATGTGAGGAAACTCATTCCCCCCTCCCCAACAAACTGCTGGACAATATAACAACATTAAGTTTTGTTAATCAATAATTCATACAGAGAGATGCAGACTGTCATTTGAGGATGTAATAATAATATATCTTGTTTTGGAGCAATGGTAATGCAATAATGGAATAGTCTGATCGGAATCAAATTAAATAAACTTTAATGTTATTTTACACTCAGTTGCAATGAAAATCTGTTTGGATCACTTCTGATCATCTAAATTAACTATCAGTAGGTAAAAAAAACAACAACAACAGATGAATTCTAAATAATCGGACTAGCCGCACCAGAATAAACGAAATAAAAATAGAAAAGCACCACAATCGGGGACTAACTACACCTGCACTGAAGTCACTTTTACACTCCTGCTGGATTTATTTTACTTTTTTTATTTATTTATTCAGATTATGAGACAAAAGGCCTCCTGGAAAGCCCATCACTTTACTTGCAGTGTTTTGTTTTTTTTCTTAATTACAATTTAAAACTACCACAGCACCTGCAATTCACATTTTGTTTGGAGACAAATAGAATCTTTTCCAAAGTTTCCTGCCACAGCAGATTCACACTGACACTCCTTCCTGCATTCTGGAAATACAGCAGGACACTGTAAACTGTCAAATTGTAGGAAATCATGAATGGGAATCAATAATGCAGATTTTGCAGCAGAGCTTCAGCGCAGCGATACTTCTGTCAAACATATTTAAACAGCTTTACCAAATGAATTACAGACTAATTAGGCGTTAAGCGTATAATTACAGCAAAATCAGTCTAGGAAAAATAGTAGGTTGGACTCAGCATGTGCAGATGTCTAATGGCCCCTGATCCACTGGACCCTGAAGCATGTGCCTGGTAGGATAATTCAGTAATCCATCCATGCATTTACCCTTTAATACGAGCCCCACATTAACTGACTGCTACTGTCTTTTTAAAGTCCTCCATTCATCCCATTTAACAGTTTTCAGCCCCAACACAGTTCACACCTGAACGAGTCACAGGATGCCTCGTCCTGGCGAAAAGCAAACATCAGCAGAAGCACAGAGGAGTTTAGACACACACGACAGGGACACGGGCAGAAAACTCAGAGAGGACGGCGAGTCTGAGAGAGTCTGTACATGTTGCAAGAGAGACGGCGAGGGAGGACGAAGGGCACAAAGAAGAAAGTGACACTCAGCAACTTCGACCAGGATCACCTTTCTGCACAATCATCTTCAGCTTGGACACACACATGCACATTCCCCACAGCGCAGAGGTTATTACAGGCTGGTGTTGTCTGCTCTACTTGCTCTTTGTACCGCCTCAGCTGAGCCTCACACCACAACAGATATTTCACATTGTGGAAGAAATATGATCTCTGTGTGTGCACAACGATTCTCAAAAGTCGAGGAAGAGGGGAGGGCAGGAATCCAAGGCCGTGAGATGAGCTGAAAGAGAAAGGAATTTGTGTGGCTTTTGAAATCCCAGATGTAAATCACATCCAGCCCTTTTTCTTTTTAATTGAATTTCTGCACTGTTGTGATCCCAGGACCACACATGTGCTATCTGTTGTTGTTCTTGGAAATCCAGCCGGGGTGGGCCCCATCTCATCAGATAGAAAATCACTGTGGTGAAGGTGTTTGATTACATCTGCACTGTGTAAAATTATAAATAAAATGACAGCTCGTGTTTGATAAACCAGCACAGAGACAAACCGAAGGCGCTCTGTGATTAACAGAACAGCTCCGACATCCCCATTGAGGTTTTACTGGGCTTATTGTCTGATTCACAGCCGTATGCATTACATTTATATGACTCATCTGAGTGCAATTACTCAAACAAAACCTCGGAGGCACAGTGACTAAAATTATTCCAAGCAGTCACCTGCTGAATTCATCAGCTCAAGTTGCGATGCTCAGATCTCCAGAGAGACAGCTGTGTGTTTGTAGATGTGAATCAGTTTGCGTGAGCCACATTAAAAACACTTCATGCTTGGAAAACTGAAGAGAGGCTGTTTTGAGTTTGAAGGTCTGATGCGTCAAATTGCACCGAATTTACGTCACTCCGTCGTCCACGTTGGTGCATGCGCATGCGTGCTGTGGAAGCAGGTGGAAGATTTTTTTTCAGGGTAGATATCTCAGACTCTGAGACTCAGGAGTAGAGGAGGGGGGGAAAAAAAGACGGATCAGGCTAAAGTTGGGGTCAGACTAGGCTGCACTGGTTTGGGTTGTGGATACGTTAGGTTCAAATGGGACACTGAGAAGTCTGTGAAGCAAGATCAGGTGGAGGGATGGAGATGGAGAGAGGGGGAGGGCGCCCATAGTGGGTCTGCATAATGCATCCCCCTTTCTCCCCCACATCCCCCAGCACACACACGCCCCCTCCTGCGGTGGATTCCCTGTGCGGGCTGCCATGTGTAGCAGATTCCTGTGCAAGGCCAACTACTGCTGGAGTTGCTTTACACATTTGCAACACAGCTGCCATTGCTTTAATATATAAATATATATATATATACACATGCTTGCTTAACAAGAAATAAATGCCCCCCCCTCCAAAAAGACAAAAAAAGAACAACATCCCTGCGTCCTTACCATGCCCACTGCTCATCTCTCGCCTTGACCACGGACCATCCTCGCCTCTCTGCTGTCTGTCTTCCTCCCCAGCGTCGACAATATCCACTCCGCCGGGATGCGCTAAGCAGGGCAACCACAATTATCCTCCCTTCTCCTCTTCCTCCTCCTCCTCCTCCTCCTCCTCTTCCTCCGGCAAGCGTGACTTGAGGATCCGAGCAGCGCCGCTTTTAGGAATCCTCTAAAACGGGGATGTCAGCGTCTTAAATCCTCGGCCTACCCCGGATGATACGAGCCGCTCGGGCCGACAGTCAGCGGTGAAATCCGCATAGGACAAGGATAAGCCACCGCGCACGGCTCACTCACCCCCCTCTCTCTCCGTCCACACACGCATACAGCACCGGCAGGCCAGGCACGCATAGCGCACACAGCAATCACAGCGGGGCGCGTAAAGGAGAGGCGGGGACGGGGGCGCGTCCTCGGCGCCAGTCAGCGGTACCTACTACCATCCATGTGGATGACACAGAGCAAATATTTCTCCAGATGCACCGTGACAGAAAAACTAAAAACAACAACAACAACAAAAAACCCGTTTGACAACAAAATAAGGCATGAATCAAATTAGAGTTTTATTACATTCACTGTAAAAAAAAATAAAATAAAAAAAAAAAGTTGGTAAATTTTACTGTGAAAAACTGTCAAACCATGACAGTAAAAATCTGTAAACTATTAAACAGTTTGATACTGTTTATATAACGCAGAACCACCGTAAAATAAGTTAATCAGGAAACACTGTAAAATACATCTCCCTACTGTTGCACAGTATTTTTAATGAAAAAATGCTGTAATATGTGTAAAATTCAACACCGTCATTTTTGCATTTATTTCTTGCAAAGAATACCGTTTTTCACAGTTAAATGCACATACTTTTGTGGTGACAATGGAAGCATGTTGTAGTATTTATAACAAGTAACAGCAATTTTTGCATTTATTTCACGTAGAAAATACAGTTTGTTCTGTCAAATTGATGTACTTTTGTGTTATGGACATATGCTTCAATTATTATGACTGCTATAACTGCAATTGTTGCATATAAAATACACATTACATTTTTAAATACACTAACTGTTGTGCTGATAATGGCAAAATGTTGTAATATTCATAACAGTCCAAATTGCATTTTTTATATTCATTTCTCGTAAGGAATGCAGTTTGTAACTGCTATTGTACTCTTACCTAACGACTATTGTACTATTCTATTGTGCTCAGAACAGAACTATGCCGTAATAAACTCAGCAAAAATAGTCTGAAAACTTGTGTTTCGTAGATTATTTCTCTGTTGTTACAATACTAATTGTCATTGTTTCTCAATACCAATTAGCACTGTAACAACAGTGAAATAGTTTATTAATCACAAGTTTCCAAACTATTTCACCAGGTTCATTTATATCAGCCAACAAAGGAGCTTTAAGTAGAGCGAGGCCTCCATATACACCCTTTATTGTGATACCACCTCATAAAGTGAAATGTTGGGTGCTGTGATCACTTACATTTTAATGTCAGAATATTAAAAACAAAAAAAGAATTAAAACAGATTAATGTGGTATTTTTTGATCAATGACAGTATGTCCCTCTTTAGTTACCATCCCGAGGCAAGTTCAGTTTATATAAGGAAAATCATTTGATTTTTAAAGCATCTTGAAATTCTATTTATGGCTGATATTGAAGCGCTTGTCATGAAGGTTTATTTTTTATTCATTTTATTCACTCTTAGGGTCCTCCTGCTTTGCTGCTGAGACATTTATGTTGAGCATCGACCAAGAGGTTGTGAATGACCACATCACTTCCTTCACATCTGCCATCTGCCTGATGTTTGGCAGTTACTACTGCTTCAACATACACTACCCAGTGGAGCTACGGTCCACAATGGAGTTCCTCCAACGGCAACATTTCTTCTTTTTACAATATTAGAAAATACCAGGCATTTGATATCCTACCTGAAGTGCTTTCTTTCTTTCTTTCTTTCTTTCTTTCTTTCTTTCTTTCTTTCTTTCTTTCTTTCTTTCTTTCTTTCTTTCTTTCTTTCCTTCTTTGTTGTTAGAGTTATATTTCTGAGAATTTTACAAAATGTATAGTTTTACTAACTAAATTGTCTGGTACAGTTTGTACATGTTCAGCTTTACTGCACTGGTTTTGTACTTTAAACATGTTGAGGTAAAGTTTATAGTTCCAGGAATGTCTTAAAATGGTAACACTTAACTGGAGGTATACAGTTAATATATTTTAAAGAACAGTTCAATTTAGAGATAAATTCAGTCATTATCTACTCACCCTCATGCTGATGAGAAGTCCGCTGTAGTTTTTTTAATCCACAAAACACTGCTGGAGTTACAGAGCAAAAAAGCTTTCAGGATTTTTTCCAGAACAATGGAAGATAAAAAAACAATAAATCTCTGCAGACCTCCATTGTTTTGGAAAAATACGGAAACCTTAGTGTTCTGTGTACTAAAAACTACTCTGGACTTTTCATCAGCATGAAAGTAAGTAGATAATGAATTCATTCTCTTTTAAAGTGAACTATTTCTTGCACCCCTGTGAAGTATTACCTTTACCAGCTCCTTGCAGTCATAAAGATAGCATAGTCTTTAGATTTGTGATGCAAGATTTGAAACATTTGCTCAGATGTTCTCAAATGAAGTGTAAAGCTTTCTTGGCAAACTGGCTGCTACAGTTTGTTAGTAAAACGTGTTTTCAGCTGACTTCACTGGTTTCAAAATTGGTTGTGATATGTAAAACTTTAAATATGTGATATTTGCGACCTCACAAATATCAAATAAAGAGTTGATATATTTGAAATTTTAAAGGTGGATATTTTTGTGGCTGTTTTGGTACATGGGGCAATTTGACAATATTAATTCATGCTGTGTATCAAGTTTATGGAATAGAATGAATGACACAGAATACACTCTTGTATGGCAAGTTCCATATCCTCTGACAACAACTGAACGGCTAACTTGGCGGAATATTTATATAAAAAAAATGTTCATCTGATATTTTATTTTTATATTGCTTTCTGATTCTACTCTGAAACAAATTTTACTTCACTACATTTGTCTAACATCTTTAGATTTCTGCATTGATAGATTTAAGCTGTAGTTTCATACTACTGATTATACAGTTAACCAACATGTTTCATGGTAGAAATCCTGTTGCTCAGTATTTTCAAGTTTATAAAGCAAAAAATTGTTTCTTTTAGTGGTTCTGTTACAGTACAATATGGACTAAAACACCATTTTTAACCATAAAATCAGCAGCCCGAGCCTTTATTACAGTTACCAGTAGAAACTGATTTATTGGCATTTATACGGGGAAATTCTGCCTTGACCTTAATATTTGCGGAAATTTCTGGGAATTTTACAGAATAAATTGGTAGTTTATAATTTACACTGTTGATTGTCAAGCAAAAAACCGTCATATGTAATGTCACAAACTTTATTTTCTGTGGTATTTTCCTGTAAATTTTCAAGTAAAACACATTTTGTTTTAAAGGTTTAAACTTTTTTTAAACAGTATAATATGGAATGAAGCACTTTTTTTAACATTAAAATCAACAGTATCAATACATTTCTTTTCCGTAAAGGAAGAAAACGTTTTACCGGAATTCTACGGTAGTGTTTCAGCAACCACAGCTGCTGGAATTTCACCGTAAAAGTAACCTTTTTTTTTTTTTTTACAGTGCTATGTGTGCCTGACTCTCATTGGTGTCCCACCGGGAGCTCATCCATCAGGTCACACAGGTTGTCCACTAGGTCCTCCATCAGAACATAAACCTGCCAGGTAGATAAAGAAAAACACTGAGCAAAAAGTCAAACACAGCAGGAAAATGATTTTTTTTTTTCTGACCTAGAGAGAGAGCTAAAAATCACATTTCTATTGTTGTGGTTAGAAAAGGGTTCATATTAGCTTCAATATTTAAGTCTTTGAGTTGTTCAGCTGGATGCAAATTCTCAGCTATTCATGTAATCCACATCCTGGTGAAGTGTGGCTTTAAAGGACAATCATCAGACAGCACCAGTACATGGACTTTGGTTAGTGTAAAAGTACACCTCAAAATGCAGCTTTATTCAAAACAAAACACATGCAACAGATGACAAGACGTGAACAGACTGTCGCCATGTTGGATGCTATGGTGTCAGTTCGGGCTGTAGTCAGGCACTTAAATGTCCACAACTGTCCAGACAGCACGGTACGATAGACAATCTGCCACATGATGCTCAGGATGGATGTGTGATCCTGTGCCCTAAAATGCCTGCCAACTTCACCCAGTCTTTGAGGAAGAGTAAGACAGTTATCAAGCAGCATCGAAAACCTCATTAACTTGCTGATGTGTGACTCGTAACTGACTTGTGATTTCTGATCTATGACCCCGTTTTCAATCAGGGTTATTGTCATTTCCAACAGACTGTGTACTTGGTTGTTACTGGGAAGAATTTCATACATATACTACATGCTACATATATATATATACATATACTACATATACTACATTATTGAATTTCCCTTCTGGGATGAATAAAGTATTTTTCATTTTTATTTCATTTTCATTCATTTCATGCTGCGTTTAGCAAGAATAAGATGTACACAGTGATTCAGTATTGATCCACCTCCATGTTGTAATGCAGGCTTTCTATTAAAACCTTTAAAGTCTCTACTGTGATCTCAGAAACCCCAAATGACACCATCATAGTTTTTTTCCTCTTAAACTTTGGACCTGGAGAGCTCCTCCAGGGCCACAGTTGTACCCCCACCCCCATGCACGACAAGTAAACTGAATTTTACATCCATGCATTGCATTTGAAAGATAATTAAACAACTTGCCTGTTTGTGCAGAAGTCTCCCGTAAACGAGCTGCACGTTCGGGTCTACACTTTGGGCAGCAGGTTGTTGCTGACCGATGCTCTCTGAATGGATGTCAGTCAGCGAGACAGACTCCTTCCCTCGCCTTATTTGAGAGGCTTTCCTTACTTTATCCCATCGTTTCTCACTTTCCTTTGCACAGATGACAGAAAGATAAAAGCATAAATAATGAGACGCAGATACTAATATGATTAACTGAGCGTGCAGGATGACAGCACCAGTGAGTTGTTTGGTAAGCTGCATGATCATTTCACGGCATACGATGTGTTTAATGTCCTGCGCTGTACGGCTGAGGCAACGTATAGCCGCGTGTGCATCTGCCACAGATGGCTTGGACCGGCCCAGGTGCTATTAATTCACACTTTGGGCACACAGTTGGAGAGCAGGTGCACATTTTCACACAGTGTTCTGTTACCATGGTACCCTGTGAGTAATAGGCTGTACCTTACCTATGAGTCAACCATCACACAGGGGAGAAAATCACTCAGCAAAATATGTAGTCATACGGGCAAAACTGGGCCTCTGGTCTAATTCTAAATGCATGTGATGGTGGATAACGGCGAGCAGGACTATTAGGCGAGAGATATAACAGGTCCAAGGCCATGTTCACACACAGAACACCACAGCAGCTCATCATCTTTCAGTCAATCCCTTTAAATTCAGATTTGTGAATAGGACTGGGTACAATGAGGATGGGTGGATGGTGGATGGGAGCAGGAAAACAATCGTGTGCATTAAATGAATGGGTACACAGTGACATTTTTTTTATTTATTTTTTTGCTCATTATCACACCCACCCAGTCACTTTTTGTACCAAAAATATGAATGGCCACCACTGCATTGTCTTGTTTTTAGCTACAATAATAATCTCTCTGGAGGACAAAACACCAAATGGAGACCATTAGCTTCCCACATTTATTGGGAAAACTGAATGTGAAATGGCTGTTTTAATGCGACAGATGATTAGTGCATCGTGTTGATGCACAAACAGAGGCTTTAATTAGACAATTACAAAAATGGTTAAAAATTTGGACTCACAATGAAACCCAGCAAAAACACATTGTGATATGTTTAAGACAATGTTTTTTAGGCAACTGGCATTTAGGAGATAATATTGCAGGTGTTTGCAGGCAGTAGGTGGCCAAGTTTTGTGGAGGCAGTCAGTAGTAACAAGACAGGAGCCTGTTGAACGGCACAGAAATGAATAATGAACTGACAGCTTGTTTGAAGAGGTGAAGGTGACTCATGTTTGGATCAACTGAGCGTCAGCTGAAGTGATGTGTCACGTCTTACCAAACATGATAGCTTATTCATGCCCGTGATTAAAATACCTTTGACTCGTCTGCCTCCCTGCAGCATAAACATTTCTATAATTCTCCATCTCTGTGTTGATGAAGGTCATTCAGCCACACACACACACACACACACACACACACACACACACACTGTCTTTCTCACTTTTCTCTCTCCCACTCAAACACGTTTTCTTCTCACCTTGGCTGATTTTTCAGTTTGCGCTGGTGGCTTGTCCTGTCTTTTGTTGTTATCTTTAGGCGTGGATCTCGCCCTGCTCCTCTCCACTTGAGCCGCTGCGCTTCCCTTTTTCTCTACGTTTTCGCTGTCAGCCAAATCTGTATATACACAGAAGTAGTAAGTAGCACAAACTCAATACTGTGACAAATCTACTGGTAAGTCTGAGCCAAACGGTGTGAGTCTCACCAGCGTCAGATATTATGGATTCATCCTTTTCATCGATCCACGTTTCTTTTTCTGGGAGGCCCAGCAGGCTTCTGAGCCGCTGGGCCTCATCACTCATCCTGTCCAGCAGTATGCTCCACAGCTGATTCCTGCAGGGGGCACTACACACCACCATAAGCTGCAAGCGAGCAGGTGCAGAACATACTGTAGTTGTGTGACTCATGAGTTCATGCCTCACCCTATAGTGGCAGCTGATAGACTGTGGTGTTTCGGATCAGAAGGTTCAGAAAGCTGCAGCAATAGAGCGTTGAGCAGGACCAGCCTCTCTTCTCTGGTGAGGGAGACTTGAGCTGGTTCATCATCGGGCAGCGACAACAGAACCTGAAGTATAAAAGGAGTGGATTGCAGCCATCATTACGTTATGAAGTTGTACGTGCATTCACTGGTCATTTTATTTGTTACACAAGTGAGTCTAATTCAGTCCAATACAATAACTTTGCCATGAATTCTACCCTTCTCATGTATGTTAATTAGGTGGGAAAATATTACACTTTTGGGTCATTCCATCTCAGATCATCACATTTTTAAAATAACTTCTGCTCAGCCATCTCTGACTTGCTTGAAATTTTTAAAGCATAAAATAAAATTAAATATTTATGAAGATATTTGTGAAATTTAGGCTTGACATATCAAATACCAAATGCCCTTTAAATTGCCTGTCAGCCTATTTCAGCATGTTTTTTCATGAATTTGAATTCGAGGCTGTGTTTGAACGACAACATCCAAGGAACTTTAAAGACAAAAGCCTTAAACTTTTGCTGTCATTTATCATCATGACATTGATTCAAAACTGACTGGACAAGCACATCAAATAGTCTTTGATTATGAGTGAGTTGAAATATGAAAAAAAATAATGGAAGCTGAAAAATTCCATCTTTGAGCACACGTTAACAAAACAACTGATAATGCAGAAGTCAACTAGGAATATTTTCTGAACTGCATGTAGGATAGACATATGCACCAGATTTTTATTTTTAAGAATTCCTGAGATATTGTCATCCAAACGTAGCCTCAAATTCTAATGTGTGAAAAAAAAATGTGCTGAAGAGAGGCAGATGGGCAATTTCACAGATACCATTTTAAAGAGCCATAGCTTATGATCAAAAAGTTTCAAGCAAAGCAGAGATGATTATTTGATATGGATTTACCCTTTTAAATGTAATACACAAAGTAATTTTATATTTACACTTCACATAGAATTGTCAAGGGCTGCAAGGTGGCAAAGTTGGTTAGCACTGTTGCCTTGCAGCAAGAAGGTTGCCGGTTCACGTTCTGGCGGGGGCACCGGGATCTTTCTGCGTGAAGTTTGCATGTTCTCCCCGTGCAACGTGGGTTCTCTCCGGGTTCTCCGGCTTCTTCCCACAAGTCCAAAAACATGTTGAGTTTAATTGGAGATTCTAAATTGTCCGTAGGTGTGAATGTGAGTGTGTTTGGTTGTCTGTCTCTAAGTGTGGCCCTGTGATAGACTGGTGACCTGTCCAGGGTGTCCCCTGCCTTTGCCCTAAGTCAGCTGGGACAGACTCCAGCCCCCCGCGACCCTAGTAAGGATTAAGCGGTGTATAGATAATGGATGGATGGATGGAATTGTCAATTTTTTGACAACAAAAACAGACAATACGGAAGCTATTGTGGCTTCGTACAAGTAGAAAGTGTTGTACTGAATGGCATAATTCCCACTACATGACCAGCGAGACCACATCTGTAAGCCTTTTTAGACTAAAACTTCGACGAAAATCTCTTAATTTACAGCTATATTCTTTGTTTGTACTGACCATGTGCTTCAAAACTATCACAAAATGCCTCTACCTGTCGGAGCGAGTCGACAGAGTAGTCCCAGGTGCGTCCTTGAGTCGCTTCTTGCCACAGTCTCCTTAGGTCCTCCACTGGCTGATCAAGATACTGCAACTACAACCACAGATGGAGCTTAGCAGCCTGGAGTGGCAGTTTGTGTGAGGTGTATGAAGATGTGAACACAAGACTCATGAGCAGAAATTGCTATCACCCTACAGAACAATAACGGCTATTGACAGTTGTCCTCAGTTAATGCATGTCATCTTTTTTTTTTTTATTCACTTGTAAGGAGAAGTGAAGAAATAAGAGCGGCCCACTTTGGGATAGTAAAATGTGACCATGTGGGAAGCCTAGACAGCTATATTCATCCTAATATCTGGTAATGACAGCTGTGACATTAGAAGGAAAAGTCCTGCATTTACTCAAATTACTGATTAGACGACCCCTAATGACGGATAATTATTTAATTCGAACATCTTCTTTTCAGTGCTGTTTTCAATCACGCGCGCCCACATCTATTGAGAATTAGCTCAGGAGATTGTATTAGACGGCCTCCCAAATAACCTAATTAAAGTCATGTTCCTTTTCAACTGCTATCCGCTACTATGCTGCCACTGTATCGTGTGTCTGGTTGTATATATTAACAGTTATGATGTCTTATTAGTTAATTTGTTACAATGCCTTATGATGGCAATACTACAATCGTGGAGTGCTAAATGACTTGTGACTAACGTAAAATCCAGGTTGGGAAGGGAAAGCCAGAAGAAGCTGATCACACTTTTGCTAACAGCCAGTAAAATGTCACAGAACAACACGACGAATGGGTCCGTTGACAGGACATCTCTCTCTGAATCTGGTGGTGTGACTAAGATTCAGAATGGAATAAACATTAACACTGTGGAAGAAAGTATGACACATCAGTGCTACTTGAAACTGGGCTACTCATTGATACACGATGAGTGATGTGTTTCAAACTAGACATGAGACAAACTTCAGAAGGAAGTTTCTTTGTGGGCGCTGCTCGGGTCCTAAGGAGGATTTGAACAACAGCTCAACCAGCTCACCGAGAAAAGTTTAAGTAAGATTCTTTGAGGAAGTCGCTTGCACCAGTTCGCATTTACCTTGGGGTTTTTGCTCAGAAACTGTTGCTCTTTAGTCATGTAGAGCTCTGCGGGGGAGCTGGGTCTTTCTGGGGTGCGCACGCCCTGGACCATCTCATACACGATCGATCGACACATTTTTTCCGTCACTCTCTTTTCCAGCTTGGTCTGCTCAGAGGCACAGAGAGGAGAAAAGAAAAAACAAGGATTTCTGTTAATGAAAACATTCTTGCTTCATTGGTGTTTCTGTCTCACTTTCAGACACACAGTTCAAATGTTCAAACTACCTCTACGTAAAGCCTCTGGTCGGCTGTTTTGTCCGGGTACAGAGCAACTCCTGTCAGCCTGACCTGCATGGAGGCTCCTTGCAGCAGCACAGGATGGGTGTTGAGCTGCCAAACTTCAGTTTGGATACCTGGCTCATCTGACTTAAATACAAGCTCCAACTGCTGGGTTTCACCGGGGCGGATCACACCTAGATGGGAGGGGAAGCAAAATGGAAAGCAGAAAAGGCAGGCTGGCTGAATGATACAACGTGGTGACACATGGACAAACAGTGTGTGACGTCCAAATGGAAGCAGCAGGTGCTTGATTATCATTGTGTGTACCGGAGGAGGAATTGAAGTAGAAGTGTGGCTTTTTTTTCCTCGAACACAGTTGAGGGAAGAAGCGTGGAACACGAAGCTCCTGCCAGCTGTAGAAGATGACTGTGCCGCCCTCATTGTGTAGCTCCAGGCTGGATAAGGCTATTTCTCCAATCAGAGTCTCAAAGAATTTTCTGGCATTGATTCCTACTACTCCCTGATACAGGAGTGTTGGAGAATGAGAAGCAGCAGTCAAGGTTAGCAAAGAGGAAAAGAACATACGATGCCTGTTCTAAAGATAATATTACAGATGAGGTCAAATGTCACATTTAAGACACAGACTATGTCTTTGTTTGCCTACTACATGCACGTCATGAATCCTCATCTAAAAGCTATTATTCAAAGTATTTTGCAGCTGTCAAATAGAGCACACAATAAGAATCAAAGTTAAGCAAAAAAAATCCCAGAGAAGCATGAATTACAATGTGAGTTTAGGATAACGTCCATTTGTACAGCAGTATTTCCATCAGTACTCCAGCTGAGTGATGTTATCACCATTTTGCAACTTTCAGCTTCACAAAAATAGTTTTCCGACTTTAATCGCAGCAGTTTTTTCTTTGATCTACTCCTGATCAATGAGCCTGATGATTTTCTCATTAAAAGACAATCTGTATGAGATTTTTTATATAAATATTCTGGAGGAAATGTGAGTTTCTTGGTAACGTAACGTCAGTGAAAAAGGTAAAATGAAACATTATATATTGCACTACTGATGGAGTTTGTGCTTCAGAGGTGCTGAATTTATCCAAACGATTGATGAAGTGTTGAGTTTGCATAACCTAGGGAGCACGAGAAATGAGGAATACCCATCCCCCCCCCAAAAAAAAACATAAAGCATTTATACTTGCTGACCAACCGACTGTAGAAGTGTGAAGCTTCTCTGTACCTGGTTCTTCGTAGAGTTTCCAGTCCAGCTAGCAAGCTGACCACAGAACCTCAAGGACGGAATGACAACATCTCCCTGACCATCATCATTCTGTGACGGTGGGCCACTGTGGAGGACAATGAGACAAGCATATCACTCAGACCACATCTACACTAAGACATTTTAAAGACACTATTATGTGTTAAAACAGCTCACTTCCACTATAGCAGGTTGTTTCAAACTACTTGACCTCTTCTGTGTTTTATCAGCTGACAAAAGATAAAACTACATCACAGCCAACACTTGGAAACCAAATCATTATTTTATGGTTGTGATGTGGTCAGTATAAATTCAGATCAATGAGAAAAGCTGTTGTACATGGTCTGCTATATTCACATTTTAAAAGAGTGATCACAGAGCTGGCTAGAGGTGAGAGAAAGTTATTTTCTTATCTTTAGAGCAGTCACCTTACCTCCACACAACCCTGACCCTCACTGTGCAGCAGATTTCACTGTTTGCTACACACAAATGAAAAGATAAAGCTGCCTTTTAATGACTTTTTTTTTTTTTTTTACATTTTATTTTACCCTCTGGAGATCAGTTTAGCCTGGTCTGTGGGCTTAAAGGGTGTGGTATGCTCACTCCACTTGTCTGCACCTCCCCAAATAAGACGCTCTACGATTCTACGTTTTCTTACCACCACAAAGCAGACAATGATGGCAGTGTTAATGGAGACCAGTTACTAAGTGAGTTTAGAAATCATGTTGTTTAACTTCAACACAGTGTGGACAAGTGTGTTTTAGATTAATCTTTTTATCAATGCTTTTCTTTAACACTTTGAAAATGACTAGATATCCATGTAACTAACAAGACTCTGAGAATGAACAATGGAGTTCGTGATTGTCTTCTAATATTTAGCTTACGTCTTGAATTACACATTTTGCAGTGACTGAAGACCACCTCAACCAACCATCCTTCAAACACAAAGTATTTTCTCACTCAATTAAGGATTTGAATGTACCACTGAATCAATGACAAAGATATACAGATTGTTTCTTGGTGTCTTTGAAATAGGGACAGCCTAGTTTTGGCATGTAATTTAGAAAAAAGTTGGATGTCTGTACGTATATGACAAAGATTGGATAGATCAGTATTTCTTACAGGTCCTTCTTCTTCATCTCTCTGTGGTCCCTCTCCTCATCTTCCTTCTCCGGCAGAGGACTACGACACTCTGTGCCAACACTGAATGGCTTTCCAGAGCCAATCGCCTCCAGTCCACTGATGCCCTGTAATCAGTGACAAAGAGTGGTGGTTTTGAAGGATGAACTGAGCTTCATATGTAACATGTGACATTCTGGTTCTTATTATTGAAAAGTAACATCAGTGGATAAGTGTGTCCCGTCAGTGCGAGAAGACAGGATTAGGTGGTAATAAAACCTTCAGTACGAGAGCAGGAGGCGGAACACACTGTCCAGTTATCAATGGCCAAATGAAAGCTTATCAAGATGTACAAACACTTCAACCTGTTCCAGCTCAACAGTTTGAGGGAAGATTTACATTAATACAGTTATACATTTGTTAGATTTATTGCTCTTCACTCCTCACTGGATGGGTAGAGCGAAACAATGCAAAATCAATCTACTGATCTCCCCCTCTTCCTGTTGTTTAAATTTCTACACTTTTTAAAAATCCTTCTGTTTCTTCTTCTTCTGTTACAACTTACCATGCTCTCTGTTCTGCGTTTTCTGCCTAACAACCCCTCCCTGTCCCCAACATCTCTCACTCTCTTTGCACGAATGTCATGAAGCCATGGAAAATTCAACTGCTGACAGGACGATTTGTCTCTGTCTCCATTTGTCAGGACGTACTTCAGACCCAAAATCGCCTCAGCATCACATTACCCACCAGCATGTGTGTGTGTGTGTGTGTGTGTGTGTGACAGTCAGACCAAGAAAAGAAAACAAGGGTGGAAGATACCAACTGAGGCCAAAAAACAAGAATTTGAATCGACTCTGTCATAATCAGCACCTGTTGCTTTGGGTGTTAATAGGATTAAATGATGGGAACTGGCACATTTATGTTTAAGTGTTTACCCCAGAACCTCCTGCCCCTGCTGATGGAGTCATTGTAATGCAGAGAGAGCAGTAACGAAGGTTCTGTCCCTTTTCTCGCGCTCTGTTACCCCACAGATGTCTGCAGTGTTTCTCTATGACTGGCCACGCTCCAGATTTCATAACTGTACCTTTTCCGTATTTGCATGTATGTTAGCAGCAATTAGTGCTTATAGGACAGCTGCACCGCCTAATTGATCTCATTATACATGTGTGTACTGAATGCACATTTCACAGGCAATACAATATCATGTGTAATCACATTTGGCATAACAGTACGTGAACAGTTTCGTGTGCGTGTGTGTGTAGGTGTGTGTTTACGCTCGTGAGCCTGCAAGCAAATGTGCACTTGCGCGGATGTGCGAGCACATGTGCCCAGCTCATGTACTGTGATCTGTTCTCTTCACAGAAAACCCAGAACAGTGTGCCCAACGCTGAACGATCACAGGCTGTTTGTGAAGATACAGACTGATTATCAACAGCTTGCGTGTCCAGCGACTTGAGACAGAGTGTCCTGGGAGTGTGAGCAGCTTCAGAGGGCCGAGTGGTCCAATAATTAAGCTGTTTCTGTTAAAACAATATGCACACGCATAATAGATCTGCGTGGTGCATATGACACATGAATATCAAGTATCTTGTACCCTGTGTGGTGGGAATACGGTGACTTGGATTGTGGTTTTGTATCTTTCAGAACAGTTACTTTTCAGTGGCGGAAGTTGAAGCATTAGAAATGACACACAAGGTCAGTGAAGCAGTTAAAGGACCAGTGTGCAGGATTTAAGGGAATCTATGAGCACAAATGAAACATAGTATTGCATAAACACCTGTAATTGTTGTGTTTTTGTTAGCTTAGAATGAGCCCTTCATATCTACGGAGGGAGCGAATTCTCTTCTATGGAGCCCGCAATGTTGTATTGCCAATAGCCTGGAATGGACAAACCAAACACTGGCTCTACCAAGGGCCTTTTGTATTTTTATGTTACTCTGACAGCCACCATTAGTTTTGCAACACAGTTGTTAAAGGAGGTGTGAGGGAAGGGTATTTAGTTGGTGGCAACTTGCAAACTCATGCCTAGATGCTACTGAATCCTACACACTGAACCTTTGAGGTACCCCTCTGGAGCTGACTGATACAACTTAAGGAAAAAGCAGAGCTCTCTCTACGAATTAGAACTCAACATTTACCACATATGCAATCAGTCACCACCTTAAAACCAGTGCAGTGTTTGGCTGGGTACATTGTTGCATATCAAGAACACCCAAATGGCAAAACCACTCTCCAATGCCAGTTGCTTCCCACCACAATAATATTGAGTAGGTGAACCTACACAACATTATGCCGGTGGTTTTAATGCTATGCTGATGGTGTATGTATTAGATGCATATTTTTACATTCTGAAGATAATTATGATGCCCATTGCCAGAAGAAGATTAATAAGTCTGCTCAAAAACTCTGACAAATGAAGACCAGAGAAAACAAACATGTGTGCCTTACATATCCAGAGTGGATCAGTGGCATGACTTGGCTTAGAAATTCTCGCTGCTCCTGAGTTTCTCTGGCTTGGTTTATCAGCAAGCTTGAGGCTGACCTGTCGAGCAAGTCTTGACATACTTGGCCTAAAACAGACATAGATAAGACATTAATGCAGACTCAGAAGATCATTCTCATTCTTTGGAGAAACCTGCAGTTGTGTACAACTAAATAATAATGATGCTAATTTCTGGTGCAGGCTGCTGTGATCTCTAGTGAGCTCAGCAGATGAGACGTCCTGCTGCCGCCTGCAAAGTCTCATGTGTTTCCTAGTGCTGCAGGGCATTGCTCTGGATGTTTCTGACACCTGAAGGAATCCCCTTTTTCACAGCTTCTGAGTGCTGCTTCCCTGTGGCCCTAGATGAGGGATCTCTTGGGGACTTGGGTATTCGCTTCACCAACTGGTTGAGGAATGGAACATTAAAAAAAACAAACACACACACACAAAAAAAAGCAACCCCAGGTGATTACTAATGTAGCAAAGCATTTCTGTTGCATTTGTTAATTCACAGATTGCATTTAAGGAATAAGAAATGAATTTACTTCTGTCTCCCCTATGGCCTCCAGATAACTTCTGAAATCCTCCAAGCTACCCAGGATGCTGTGTGGAAGAAGCATCCCTTGGTCATTGAACTGAAGCCCCTTTAGTCCTGAGAGGAGGAAAATAGAGGCGGAAAGAGACTAAACTTTAAACCTCAACAAAGCATATTATGAAGGGAACAACATCTCTTTTATGCTACAATAGGATCAGACTTTCAGTTGGCTTCTGTTTGTTTGGTTGTGTGGGCAAGTTGATGCAAACCCACCTGTGTAGTCCAGAGGCTGAGAGTCAGAGTCCAGATTCAGTGGATGAGTCATGGTAGCTTGCACAGCTTTTCTAACTTCATCTGCTTCGGTAAACAGAACTGCAGTCATAATGCATTTAAATAAACATTTAAGATTTTTAAAATTCAAGTGGCACACAAACATTTTTTACAGTTTTTTTTTAGGAAGCAAAGTTATATTCTAACAAATGGCAAATATTGTATATGGATGAGGGGAGCTTTTTTTGAGGACTTGCAGGTGAAGTGCCAGAGCCTGCAAATCTTTTAAAATGTTGTTCTTAGAGGGATGGTCACCCAAAACCTATAAAGATTTTTAGCTTTGTGATCTCTAGAGCAGAGAAGAGAAAATGGATGCTACAAAAGAGTGGTTGCTTTCTTTCTGTCTTTGAACACAGATTGGTTATAATGAGTCATGATGCATTGCTTTTGTTTGAAGTCCCATGATTTCAATTTTTTTTATTTTTTTTTAAAGTGAAAGAGAGACTGTACTTTATTTCGCACAAAGTACAACAACGCTCACAAAGAGAAACAAAGAGATTACCCTTGAACACTATTATGGTTATGCAATTTTGTTAATTCTCTTTATCCAACTGTGCCTGATTATAGTTTCCATGGCCACAACAGCAATAATTAGTCCTTGGCTTTTATAAGCATTTCTCTTGCTCCATGTTTCCAATTACAGATTCAGTCCAGTTTGTTAGACAAGTGCTCCGATCTACAGGAGGCAAGAGACGCCCTTCGCCTTTGAGGAGAGAAATTGCTGCAGCGCTTTAATACATGTCTGCAAATTAATCTCTCAAAGAAACCATTGGTATTGACCCACTTTCTGGCTGTGATGTTTCTTTTTCCATTTAAGGCATCGTATCCGTCCAGATTCATTGCTTCCCACTCAGAGTCTCTATAAAAGCCACTGCATACTTATACTGACAGTAAGTACACTTCTGAAGTGCCTGTATTTTACTTGAGTATTTCCATTTTCTCCAACTTCACGGCATTTCAAATGGATATCTTGTCACTGTTGCTCCACTCCATTCATGAGATAACTTAATTGCAACATACAGATCAAGATTATGACTAAATATAAAAGTACAATAGATATTAAAGAAATACATGATGGTGCATTTTTATAGGTTAGGATCATTACTGATCCCCTGTGATAATTTACCAGCTACCCAGCTGTACATGAAGAAACTGTGTTGTAGTCCACACATTGAGGCATCAGTAATCACAACCCAAAATATATATTAATCTGAAATGAGTACTTATAATTCTACTTCTTTTAGTAGCTATAGTGTGATGCTAGCTAATATATTTGTGGTTTTATTATGTAGATTTTGAAATGCAATAGGCCAGTAACGTAATCAGTTATTATAATACTGGCCAAAAGTTATTACGTTATCGGTTCAGGACTTTTATTACATTATTGGCTTATTACATTTTATTCTGTGTATTGGTAGGTTGTTTTTTTGTTGTTGTTTTTTTTTCCACCAGACGAACAAGTCTAAATACATTCTCTCCCACCTTGTAGAAAGACATTAAGTCAAATTTAGCTGCAGGCTAACTATCCATCGTAACACAGCTAAAACAGGTGAAGCTAGCCAGACAGAGGAAACTGGAGGAAGCAGAGACACAGAGGGTTGGAGCTGACCTGAGTCGTTCCGAGGTCTGAGCTCTTTCTTCAGTGATTCACTCCGGTTCATTTGTTCTGACTTAATTCGGTAGTTTAATCGATAATGTGTCGTTAGCGCTGCTAACTGTTTACCCCGTTAATCGTAACCATGGCAACGGACGCTTTAGCACTGTGGAGGAAGAAACCCGTCCTTCTTTCTTTCTTTCTTTCTTTCTTTCTTTCTAAAAGGTGTGGGATTACAGGAAAAGGTCTGGAAATAACTTGAAAATTCTTATTATTTAAAAAAAAAAAATCTGAATAAATGATCGTTTAAAAAAACAAACAAACAAAAAAAACACTCTTTATTTTCTATTTTCGGCCAATTATCAAATTATCAATCAGGCTTCGTTTGCATGGCAAGCTTTATTCAGATGGAATGTAAACCCAAAACACATTATTATACCAGAGTGCTGCCATAATAAACAAACAGGAACTGCGGAACTGAGGAAACACTGGAATGACCAAATAAATGCATAAACGCAACGAGGAAACACCAGAGGCAGGATAAGTCCAAATGCAGAATAGCAAAACAAGAATATAATATTAATGAAGTGAAGACATGTCTGTGTAGATTCTCAGTCATTCAGGTCGTGGTAATCCGAGGAGTTTTAGTAAAAAGACGAGAAGAAAAATGAAACAAAAATCCAGATGCTTTTTTTTTTTTTTTTTTGAACCGAAGCTCTGAAGATGAACAAATTTAAGTAAAACGTACAAATAAACAGGGAAATTTAGAAATAGAATCAATTGAAATGCTAAACTAATAATGATAGTGACAATAAACAACAAAACAATAAATAGATGAATAAAAAAAGAAACTAGGTCTAACTGTACTTACTTATATATCAACATAGAATATAGACTTATAATAAACATACCCTAATAATAATATCACCAAGGGACTGGAGTAAAATCATGCAGTAAAATACCCACTGATCTGCTCAGCTCTATCCTACATTATGTTTCCTAAACACAGTGTTCTCCTGAACAACAAGCTCCTCTGTCAATCAGCATGACGCGGACAGACCACGGGGTTGAGGATAGTCGAGGCTATATAAAGACAACTGACATCAGCCAGCTCTCCAAACACAAGCTTGAGCAGGCATATAAAACGTCAGATCACTGATTCTGCCCACTTTCCACCTTCCACTATCCTGGAAATGGATAGCATCTCCTCCGGCGCGCCGACCACCTCCACCCCTGTTACGCACCAGCACAAATATTCCATGGATGGTCCCCAGTTTATGGATGCGCAGTGCGCCGGCTCCTCCAAAGTCTTACTGGCGTACAAGAGCGCCTCGCAGCACCTGAATTCTTCGGGAATTAAAGCGGGTTTGGGGATACTTAAAGTGGCCACGTCTCAGTGGAAACAGGAGAAGAAGACGCGCTCTGGGGCAGCCGTGAGGCAGCAGTCTAGCACCAACAGCAGCCATCCTTGCAAGAGATCCCCACTGGATCAGCTGGCAGCTCTGGTCCTCCACGGTCAAACCCGGCACCACCAGATTGGCCAAGGACACCGACAAGACCCCCTTCACTCCACTAAACCGCAGAACTGTAAACGCATCGTGGTTCTTGGTGCGCCACGGGTTGGAAAGACCTCCATCCTTAGACGGTACCTTCGGGACGGGTTTGTGGAGGATTACAATCCCACTTCCGAGGATTTCCTCAGGAAACTATTTCGTATCCGCGGTGAGACCTACCAAATCGACATCCTCGATGCGTCCAGGGAAAGGGACTTCCCAGCCAAGCGGCGGCTGTCTATCCTGACTGGTGAGTGTTGCGTTAGTCACAATCTCTGTCCTGCAAAAACATAAAAGCGTTTGCTAGATTTTATTTGTTGATTATAAAAGAAACACTTTGGGAGGTGATAAGTGCATGCGATATTCTTAAGACTCTGCTTTGAGTGCACGAAAAACAACTAATTGAGGGGAAAATGTGTGTTTGTTTTTCTGCAGGAGACATTTTCCTTCTAGTATTCAGTCTGGATGACCGGAGCTCTTTTGAAGAGGTGTGCAACCTGAGAACAGAGATTCTGGCTGCTAAATCCAAGCTCACCAGATCCTCTGTGCCAGAGCATTGCGCACAGCCGCGGGTTCCCCTGCTGGTCTGCGCAAACAAGGTGGACCTGCTGGAATCTGAGCGAGCGATATCTAAGGCGGAGGTGCTCCAAGCCCTCGGTGATGACTGTGCCTATTTCGAAACGTCTGCAAAGGACAGCACCAACCTCGAAAAAGTCTTCGAGACTTTGGCAAAGCGAGGCGGGCTCCCGACTGAAACTGGCCCGTCGCAGCATCGCAAAGTCTCGCTCCGCTCGTACCAGGCGATGCGGCCGGGCCGTGTGGCCGGGAGGGGCAGCCAGGTGCCAGGGCGAGATGATCCCTGCGGCACGCTGTACCCCCTAGCCCGTCGGCCGAGTTTTAGCACGGATCTCCGTCACGTCATTGGGCCACACACGGCGAGAAAGGCTGGCAAAGGACTGGAGAAATGTCATATTCAATGAGATACAAAGGGACTATGAGAGAAAGCGTCACGGAGCGAATAAAACAAGGCATGAAGCACTGATGCTCATAAAAATGTAATGCATTATGGGTGTCTAATTACATGATTACTTGAGATTATGTTTTTGAAATAAACTTTCTAATAAAATAACCACTGTCCTATGTCTTTAAATAAGATCTATCTATCTATCTATCTATCTATCTATCTATCTATCTATCTATCTATCTATCTATCTATCTGTGTGTGTGTGTGTGTGTGTGTGTGTGTGTGTGTGTGTGTGTGTGTGTGTGTTTGCCACCCATGCAATCAGCTGTGAAGGAGAAAGTGGGAGGATGTTGAGTCAGGAAGTCGATTGTTTGATTTCTGTATGACTATTGCATAACTTACATTGAGAAGTCTATTAGAAGGCAACTCCTTTTCCCTCGCCCACTCTTGTTTTATCTTCCTGCGTGCGTATATGAGTGTGTGCGAGATTGTGTAACACTTGTGTCGTGATTGCAACAAGTCCACAGCCTGAATACCCACACATCCTAAACAACTAGATTTAAATTTTTAAAAAATGGAGGTTTCCAGTTGGCATATACCTTCCACGTCCTACACCGCTCTATAAATGAGTCCTCAGATAAACCGGACTCTCTGTGGGCCCCCTGGATTCATGGTCATCCTTCATTCTGTGCAGCTGAAGAAGCCTCTGATGTGAGAGGCGTTGGATGAGGTCATGAGGGCAAAAAGGATGTGAGGGATGCAGGGTAACACCAAGACATAACCGGCAGGATGTGACTCTTTTCACCAGGCAAGAGAAAACACTGAGTGACGAACAAAAAGTTACAAGGTTTTACTGTGGGAGTTGTTGCCATGATACATTTCTAAAGCACACATTTGTCTCTCTCTCTCTCTCTCTTTTTTTTTTTTGGTTGTGAATAAGCTGGGTGTTTTTCTGTGTGTGCTGCACTCAGTGAAGGTTGTTCGCTCCTCATGCCGGAGCCACTGCGGCTCCGTTTCCATGGGCACTGCTTTTGAGTTCACCTAGCAGCAGATAACACACTACTCGGACTTCACATTTACAACAGACCCAATGTGATCCTGACCTTTTAGCTCTTTTCTTTTGTTTTTGTTTTTTTCCTGTGTGGTCATTTGTAACAAGCAAAAATAAAATCTGCTTTTCATGTGCACTGACAAAGGGATTAATAACACCTTCTTCTCGCCTAAAAATAGTGATAAAAGTGCAAACTCTTAATAATCACACTGCCATCACGACTAAGATCTCGTGTGAGGTTTCTCTCTGAAAAGGAAATTGGATTCTGTTGTAAAGATGTGTGCTGTGAGTCATGATACCTGAAAGCCTCAGAACAATGTCTGAACCGAGGTCAGACAGACCCTCAGAGATTTGGAGGACCTCATACAGATCCTATTCTTTGTGCAAAAAGAGCTGCTTCTAATAATGCACATACAGGAAAGAATCATCTGTTATCCATTCAAATGTGATATTCAATGAAATAATAAAATGCACAATCACTCAAAGACGCTTTTCAAGGGAAAAACGGTAAAAGTGGTCCTCAGTCATTCAACGCAGGTTTGCCTGGCTGAACAAAACGCTGCAAGAAAAGCATATATGTCCATCTATTGTTTCATTACTATCATTTAGCTACTGTCTGCCACATTTTCTCTTCTCCTGCTGCACATGAATCTTTTTGCAGTTTCCAGCGGTAAGAGGAGCAGCTTGAAATTCATAGTATTTTTTGAAACAACAGCTTCCTTCTCTTACCGTCCTCATAGCCTTGTACCTTTTACTTCTGCAGCTCAGCTGACACCTGCAGATCACATCAACTAAAGCTAGCTACACTCGTGACAGCCCCACAGACTGGTTGACATATTTTAATGCCACAAGATTTGTGTGAGAAAACTCAAAAATTGGTGTAGAACACACTAAAAAAAAAAATAATCTGAGCCTGGAGCTACATGTTGTATTCCTGCGTTGTATTTCTTGCATGAAGTTTCAAATACGACACATTTGAGCAGCTGTCAAGAAACAATATCCTTGCTGAGATTGATCAAGTCATTCAGATTCCTAAAAGCAATACTGCACCATGGAACCAGTCAGCGGTATATGTTTAAGGACAAGTGTGTGATTTCATTCTAAGATAACCCTGCCTACATTGCTGCCCACACATTTTCCAAACAGTAACTGCTCATTTTTGACACTAGAGTAATAGCTTTTAGGGTAAGGACGTAGCAAAGAAGTTAGTGAGAATGTGTGACACCTTCTAGGAAGTATTTACTGCAGTTTCTTGAGCATAAATGTGACCAAATCCTGTAAAAAGAAGAAAAGACAGAGTTGACAGACCTTCATCTCAGAGCAGCTTCTAGAGGAAAATACTGCACAGTGACTAGAAGTGAATTTAAAGTTGGAACGCAACAAACTAACGATGTGCAGCTTCACCTTGGAAGTTGGATTGCTTGGCTAGAAAGTAGTTCACTGTTAGTCAAACATGGAAATGGTTAATACATAGTCTATCTGTTTCTGTTTTACCCTTTTGCTTTTGTGTTTTCGACTACAGAAAATCCCCACCATCCAAACAGAGAGATCCAAAGACAGAGAAGTCTCTCCTTAAGCTTGCAAAGTCATGACTGGACAAACACTGTTTCTGTGGGGGACGTGAATAGAGGAACATAGACAATTAAGGTAAATAGACACTTACTGCATGTGGAAACCGTGTTTTTCTTATTAATAATTGGTTATTTGCACTATTATGATCACTTTTTCGATAACAGTATACCTGCCACACACAGTATAGTCGATACTGATATCTGTCACTGTGTAAAAACATAATACTTTGCTCTTGTAGCAGCTCTCAAACAATTCAAAACAATGAAGCTGATTTGAATTCCTCTCGGAATAACGTGTGAAATTAACACCTTTGAAGTATTTATAGTAAAAGACTGTTTTTCCGTTTAGCAGCCTAATTAGAATTATTTTCTGCATTTTCCTTTTAAGCATGCTGTCGCGTGCCTGCCAGTTCACATTGCAGGAAACTGCCACCATTTTCTCTCCTGTGTGACCCCGGCAACTTTACGGCACGTGCAGTAACACTTTTCTTTGTCATAGCAATCGCAGCGCACGCACACACACACACAAATGCACGCGCGCACACGCACAGCCAAACACTTGTCAGAACAGATGCTGCCGTCTCTGTTTGCACGTGAGGAGGATTCACATATGTTCCCGTTGTCCTCTCTGTTTGTAAGACACACACATGTAAGCACATACACACAACATAATAGAACTTGCTCCCAAACATGGAAGCCTGAAACGTGATGCTGTTTTTCCAACTCAGCCTCGTCCTTCACTGCAAGAATCGTTATTCTACTGCTTGCAATCATAACCTAACATTTAACGCTGTGCATTTCTTTGTGTTCTGTTGGTCTCGCATTTTCTCGATTGTTTAACGCACAAAACCAGGCACGAGGATTCAACTGAGCACTGAGGAGATGTTGTTTTGTTGGAAGATAGGCCATTTGAGCTGAACTACAGCTGCAGTTTAGATAGTCTGCCGCTCAGGAGGAAGATAAAATAGTACTCTGTTTGCATCCAGCATTTGTAATTTCACAATAATATAAATTTCCCCCATTCCACTGAGCTTTCTTTGTTCTTGTGAGACCGTGAGAGAAGGGAGAAGCCCACAAAACCTACATTTCTACTGGAACATGCAAATAAAATGCAACTTCTTTCACTAGTTTTCAATCTCGCCACCTCCTCTACAATGTTCTCCTGCCATAGGATCAGACATCCACAGCTGTTGTCATCGTGCCATTTCTTGACTCTCTCTCAGAGTGCACGGAGAGCTGTGTGTGTCGACAGTCCAATCAGGCACCAGTTCAAAGTGGCCTTAACTGAGATCATGTCCCAGAGATAAGGATGGATGGAGAGAGGCCAACAACAGGTTGTCACACAACTACATGACAGAGAAATGAAAGGATGGCAATGGAACAAGCACAAACACACACCCAGCCACCTGCTGCTAGTGGACAGCTCCCTTTTTCATTCTCGTTAGTCTCTTCAGGTTTGACTGTTCAGAGGGCGTTCCTGATCCTGAAGTGCTGTTTTTTTCAATTCCTATAATGTTTCAATACAAGCAATAAACTATGCTTAAAAATGTCACACTGTATGGCTGAAAACCGTTTGAGTCACAATTATTTCGTGCATAAGCTGTAAATGTAAAATCAAGAGATAGTCCAAACGAAATATGCCTGAACAGGAGAATTACTAGATGATGAGAATAAAGAGGGATTCAGTAGGAGTGTTTTTGTTAAACGGTTCAAAATCGAAAAAACAGCTATTCATTACAAAGTTAAGAAGGAAAAGCAATATGGTTCCACCGGGAACCCCAAAGTATGAAGCAGAAAGCGATGTTCATAGTTATCTAGTAGTTACGTCCAAAGCTTTATATGAGAGGGTGATATGCTTTGTGCTATAAAGTGAGAGGAGCGTCTTTTTTTTTTTTTTTTAGCATTTTTGAAAATCCATAATTTCTAATCAAATGTAATGTTTTTTGGAATTGAATGTTGTCAGTATTTAATTTTTTCCATTTTTTATATCGAAAAAAGATGCTTACATTATGTGCTTCAGCCAAAGATATATAAATCATGACGCCTGTAGAGGAAAATATTGTTTTCAATATGTAATATAACATTTTCAATGAATACGCAGGCAAACAAGGAAGAAAACAACAAGTGGGGTGCAATAGGTATGACAAAGGAGAAGAATGAGGGAGAAATGTTCCTGCAGAGTCTGGGCCAAGTTGGTATATGCAGTGCTTTCTAACGCCCACTAGAGGGCAGACTGTGCACATAGAGTGGGATGACCCAAAGTCTGGAGATAAACATTTTTCTTTGTAAAACACCATAAGACAGGGTTCCTGTAATTCACTGTTACAATGAGTGACCAAAATGTTCTTTCAGTGAGTGGTACAAGTACACACACGTGCAAAATATACAATATTTCAATTTTTAAAATTTTCTGAGCAATACGACAAAAATGTTCTTTATCTCACCCACACCCCCAATCATGCATAACTTTAACCCTTTATATAATTTAAATGGGTGAGTTATATAGAGACCAAAACGTCTTTTTAAGTTCAATTTAAATTGTTTCTATATTTATTTTGACCAGCCAGTAAACCTGTTTATTTCAGCTGCAAAGTTGGATATTTTAACATTTGGCTTTAGGGGGACAGACTCACTTCTACAGTCAGTCCCAAGTGGCTAATTGAGGAACTGCAGTTTGTAAAAACTTCCGCATTAGCTTCATTTGTTGGCAAATGCTACATCCCCATACCATTCCACCTGCCACCAGTGATGTGGCTTCCTCATTCCTGCTCATGTTTGATCTGGTGTAGGTACAGTTTTCCAGGATAATGAAAGTGATCTTGCCTTAGTATTTTACAAAGAAAAATGTTTATCTCCTGACTTTGGGTCATCCCACTCTGTGTGCACAGTCTGTCCTCTAGTGGACATTAGAAAGCACTGCATATACCAACTTGGCCCAGACTCTGCAGGAACATTTCTCACTCCTTCTTCCCCTTTGTCATACCTATTGCACCCCACTTGTTGTTTTCTTCCACTTTGTTTGCTTGCAGCCTGGTCATGTGTTTTCACTAAAAGTGAAACTTAACTGTTAAGTTTCACTTTTAGTGAAAACATATGATGACAAAAGCAGCATTCAGGATCATGTGGGGCTTTCTTAATGAGCCCTGTTTGTTTAAAGTGGCAGAGATGAACTTCTCTTAAAACCAAGTCATTTTACATCTAAAATGTGAAGAACAGTGCTCCTAAAGAAGATGTGTCTGACAGCAGTATGGATGAGGATGGTTCTACTTTGGTTGATATTTAATGTCCTGTGATCTTAAAGCTGCAGCATAAACAAGCAAATGAAAAGGTGGGTGGATACAATTGTAAATAAACACCAGGAGAAGTAATATGCATTTCAGACTTTATTGAAAAAATTGTACATATTTTTCAAACAAATAACACACAGAGCAATTGATGCATGAAGCACATTTCTCATAGCCACTAACAAATAAAGCATTCACAATCACTTTTTATTTTTTATTTTGAATTAAGCTGATGGGCCTCTTGTCAAACTACTTAAAGTTGTTACTTGTCTCATTCTTAGATGTCATTTATAGTTTCTTTCACCTTACTCTATTCGTCACAAGGTCTTCGACCTAAGTGACATAACCTATCTACTAGTCATCTAGCAAGCGTACATTTCAGCAGCTTTGACTGCTACAGCTGCTCCTACTCCGACAGGTGAAGAAAAATACACTGCTGCAGTAAAACCTACTGTTGAAATAACATTTAGTGCTTTACATACAGGAATCCCTCTCAGTTTTGTCGCTTCCTCCTCTAATTTCCTCTGGGCTTCCTTATACATGTCACTCGTGTAGTGTCTTCCTCCATTGTCTGTCACCATTTCGTCTATTTTATCTAGAAGTTCTCTTACTTGGTCTGTGCTTTCTTTCTGGCCATTGATGAGTGAATGGTATCTTCCACCACACTGGTTAATCAGTCTTTTCAGATGAATACTCTCTGCCACATAGTCCTTCACAGATTTACTCACCAGCAGGTCAGCGTGAGTAAACAGGACTATGGTGTACATGGAAGCGTCTGAGCCGAAGTTATCCTGGATCCACTTCACCGTGTCACTCTCCTCTTGTGTGAATCTAGACTTCAGGCTGATCACTAACAGGAAAGCATGGGGGCCAGGAACGGACTTCCTAACACAGTCCTCAATTTGTTCTTTCACTTCTGTTTGTGTTTTTTTAGTGTCAAACAGCCCCGGGGTGTCGATCACAACAACGTTCCTGCCACCATGTTCTACCTCTTGTCTGTCACAGCTGTGAGTCA